ACACGAACGCAAAAACCCTTCCTCTCAAACCTCTTCCTCCGCGGCGGCCTTGAGAAGAAGAACCCTACTGGGGTGCAAGGTTCTCGCGGACGGCGAACATCTTGGCGCTGATGTTTGCTGTGAATCCATCCACCTGCTTGCTATACTGCTCGACCTGCTTGGCGTTCAGCATGCCCTCTAGCCTGCTGGGCTCCTGGGGGAGCTTGAAGAGCCTCTGCCACTCGTCCTCGGGGAGAGGGGCCTGCTTGGCGAGCACGCGCTGGGCGTTCTCGGCCTTGCGCTTGGCCTGCCATTGCGAGATCTTGGCCTGCTCACGGCCGAGCTGGCGCTGGTAGAACTGGAAGTTGTTGAGGTCGGTGTAGTGCGTCTCGATGCTCTCGAGGAGGAGGTCGCAGGTCTTCTCCAGCAGAGGGTCGATGGAGAGATCGAGAGTGTCGATTGAAGGGTTCAGCGCGGGCTTGATCTGGTTGTTGTGGATGTCCGACAGGGAGCTAGGAGGCTCGACGCTCTCTTCCGTGGGAGCAGCGGGGAGCTGGTGAAGGAAGGAAGTGAGGAGGTGGGAGTTGCGGATGGTGACGGGGAGCTCGGTCAGAATGTCCCGGAAGGTAAGCTTCGACTTTTGCAGGCTAGGGATACAGCGAGTTAGAAATTATGAGTGACACCATGATGCTGGCGTACGAGATCCCCCGCGACGCGTGCCGGTAAAGTACTCACTGCTCAGTAGTGAACTTGGTATCCTTAAAGGCGGCCATGAATGCTGCGGAAAGGCGGAATGCTCTCAGAGTCAAGTTGCCCAGTGAGCTCTTGCTGGCGTCGTAAACAAGGGCGACAGCCGCCTTGCTCTCCTTCTGGTAGTGGACCTGGTTCTCGATGAAGTGCATGTTGACAAAGTTGCCCATGGTGGCGCTGGTGTACCAGCCGACGCTGTTGGCGTCAACATTGACCTCCTTCAGGTGTCGGATCATCTCGTTTGTGTAGGTGAGGCTGCTCTTCTGGCGAGGAGCCTGGGCGGCGATGGAGGAGGCATCGTTCTGGTGGGAGGAGTCGGTGGAGGAGCCCTCGACAGTTGGGAAAGGGAATGAGTTGGTGACCTCGATCAGGCTCTCTGTGTCCATTCCGACAATGGCGCCGGTAGCGGTGGTGGGGAAGGCCGAAGCACAGTGCTTGGCGATCTTGATGACCACCTACAGTCACATGGCGTTAGCTTTTGTTTGGCAGGCATGCGCGCCCCTTGGAGCTCGCTCGGAGTGAGGGCATTCGAGATGATTTTGGTGGTGAGGGGGGGTTGGTGGGGCAAGTTTTCGATTCGACTCACCAGAGCATCGACCTGCACCGCCTGAGGTGCTTCCTTCTGAGAATCGCTCATCTTGGGAATTTCGCTGCTGTTCGGGGTGTCGAGACGTAGGTCGGCTTCTCTCGGGAGGGGATCGTTCGCGGCGAAGTGAGGTTCTGCGGGGGGCGGTCCTACGGCGATTTCTTGTCCAACGAAGTTGTAAATATCGAACTTTTTGCGCCCAAATTGTGGGCGTTGTGGGTGAAGGGCGGTGAAGCCTGGCAGAACGTACCGTTTTGGTGCAGGTCGTCGGCAGCGCGTCCGTTTCCGCCCTTGCGTACTCGTCAAAGCATGATATTCACGCATGAAAACAAGTAGCATTGAATTGGAAATCGTTTACATCTGATTTAGGAGCTTATCCATGCCTGTCCCCGAGGTAGTTGGCCTCATACTGCGCGTAATGCAATAAATGTTCACCACAAGCCTCGTTTCCAAGTTTAGGATAGGCTAAGTCTAGAGTGACTGAGAGAGTATTCAAAGGCTCCTGAAGCCGCATACTAGATTATTCAGATTTGAGAATTTTTTATGTCGCAGCAACTTAATATTAAATCTAAGATTATTCCACACTATTTTAAATAAGTAGCATCAAGTGACGATGATATAAACCCCCTGTGTACTGCTTTTGTGAACGGGACTACCTAGGGACCCGGTTTGTTTTCTTTTGCCACTCGAGTGCATCTCTGATTCTTCACTCTTACACAAATTCTACCGTAGAATCCAAACATTATCTTCCACAAGTGAAGCCCTTCCTTTAGCTTTTTAAACCAAGAAACGGAGATCGGTCGCCTCTTATCGCTCCGCCTCCCTCGAATGAAAGAACGGTATAGGGTAACACTCAATCATGAACCATCAACTAAACTCCCTGCATTCACAAGTCCACGATAAAATGGGTCACCACACGTCGTTTTGGGCTCTGCAATCTGTACTTTCGTGCACTGTCGGTGCCATTTTGGCTCAACACTATGTGGAAGAATGCACAGCTGAAAACAGGGTGCAATCTCCCGCCCATGTCCCCGATCGATCATCGATCATTGCAGTTTTTTCAGCCATTTCTCCGACCCTAAACTGGCCGCCGGCATTAGGAAGATCTCCGTCGCGGACCTCTCGGACCTGAAGCGCTGCACGTCTCCACTGGCTTCTCTACGACTGCTGTCATGTCGGAGGCCAACCAACGACACCTCGTCTTAGCCATCGGGCACTAGTCTTCAGACAACGACTGCAACGAGAATCAAAGAGAAGGCATTCGTAGTCTGGAATTAATGCGACGCATGTGAGATGTCTGCCCCATCCACTCACGCGAGCCTGATCTGTCCATGCCTTTCCACTTGACAGTCTTCGCCCTTATTTCCAATTAAGCCGCCCCATGATGGGAAAGAGACTTCAGATGTTCTTATTCCATGCGTGTAGATTGAGTGCTTCTAATATCCTGTTATGTAGTGCTTCTGGGGGTAAGCATCTCACGTACGCCTTACGCCTGGGATTTTAGCGAGAAGCAGCAAATTCATGTCGGATTTTGGACGGCATTGACTGAAATCCCGCCTGATATTCAGACAATGGATATTATTATATGGTGGTTTCTCTACATCAATATCCTCGGGATCAATGGTAATTGCTCGTGTCAATTTACCAGTTAGTGATCAAGCCATTACCTCACGCGGCTCCTCCAGTCATGGCAAGGGAGGTGAGATGGAACGAACGGGCAACTAGTTTTGAAACGATCTGCCTACTTAGGGTGCCCCTCCCTTCTCCTTCAAACCTAGATATACATCCTGTCCCTGAGCCGGCAAGCTAGCGCCGGGATTTGGATTGGTGCTCTCTATTTGAGGGAAATTGATTTCTGTTCCATCTCCCCTAACTGCCTTCCGAGCCATTTCAACCTCTATTTCCAAATCCCGGCGAAAGTATTGAACGATCCGTTTTGCTGTCGGGTCATATCTGAAGCAGTTCTGCGCTGAATGAGAGTAAATGTGTTTCAGAGGCGGGATCGAGCAACGTGGCTGATGTTAAGTGGGAGTCCAGATTCAACATAACCCTCTAGATGTTTTGCAAGATTTATTATGCAACATAATTGGCCTAACACGGATCCAATAAGATATAAAACATCGTTGTGTAAGTTGCAATTGTTGGCCGACATGTGCACATCAAGAGTTACAAGATACTTTAGATACATTGAACATGAATGACATGAACAAATTTAGTATCCTGATCAAGGGAAACATCTTTGCAAATCAATGATGATGCGGGTGGTACAGCATCACACGTGTGGAAGCGAAAAGAGGTTGGGGCTTTCTTGACATTCTGAAAGGCGATTCCTCAAAGTCCGAGATAGGAGGACGCACTCGCGCCCATCTTGGGTTAACTTTATATATTAATCCTGGATGTAGAAGGTATTGCATTTTGATTTCCATGCATGGTACAACCCTCGGGGATCACAAACGTTAAATCAGTACTATAAAGTACCGCTAATAGAGAATTAGAGGACAGTTGTGAAAACACTAGTTACGTCCTTGCTTGGGTAATGATGACACGTTGCCCGTAGGAAACCCCCCCCAAATGTAAGCAGGATGCGAGGTGTTACACAAGAAAGTGACTCATCTGCTAGTATGAATATGAAGATACTTACTGCATTTCCTACGAAATTTGGCATTTATGCTCCCTGGAGCCAACAGCGAAATTGAAAGGCTTTTTGTCAGCCAGTTCACCAGGTTTTCCTCTCATAATATCTGGTAGGTTGCTTTGCACGTTGAGATCCTGCTGTGTCTTCTTTCAACCAACGGAACTGTCTACCACTCTCTCAGATCTTTGACAAACAGGAGGAAAAAAGACAGCAAGCCAACGCGGTTCGCTTTACTTCCATTGTATTGAACTTTGCAGCTATGACTCCAGGCGGCTCCACGAAGCCCAAGTCTGCCACTGGGCAGACCCAACATGTCACCTACATCAAGCGACATCCCTCTTTCACGCGAGAAGAGTTCTGGAAGTATTGGCAGACTGAGCATGCGCCCAGAGTTGCCCCGTTGGCGGCCCATTTCAATATTAGCCGCTACCAGCAGGTATGCTGAACCAGCCCATAATTTGACATCGGTTGCGCACCCTTGAAGTGCTGCTAATACGAAAGTCGCTTCAGATCCAAGTCGGTGGCAAGATCCTGCCAACCGACGCCGGGGCCGATGGTCCATCTTCTACTGAACTCGTCGAATTTGATGGCATCGCGATGTTCCTCTACGAGTCGCCGGAGGCTCTGATCGCCATGCTTTCCCACCCCTACTACGTCAATGTCGTAGCCGTTGACGAGGCTCGTTTCATCGATAAGAGCGCTCCAGGAAATGGCTTTGTCGCTATGTTCGTGGGTACAAATATCGAAGTGGTGGACAGGGCCGAGGATGTGTGGGTTGGTGACCAGGAGCAACGCGAGAAGTTCCAGAAGCTCTTCAACTCCTACCTGTAAGGGAGTAGATCATATTGATATCTACTTAAATAATGTAGTTGGGTTGCCAGCTTAGACTAGTAAAGATACATCTATCGTTGGGGAGACCCTGTTGTGATAATTCTTGGTTTTCTTTCTTTCTTTTCCCCTTTGTTTTACTATGTCAAGGTAACCTCATCATACGCAGCGCTCAAATGTTTCCTCATAGCTGTTCAAGTCAACTTGTGTTTTCTTGTTAACTCACCCATTTAGTACAGCTGCATTCAATATAAGAAGGAAAAATGGGTCAAATGGGGCAGGCCCATCGGTTGAGCCACGATGCTTGCGTTTATACGAATGTATTTGACAGCAGTGCCCCTTATTAGACTTGCACAAGGTGACATCGCGGTCGTAGCAACCCAGAACGCCGAGGGGATACGAGTTCCTGCACGCCGGATCCATATTCCTGCACGCCTCTGCTTTTCCTCCACGGCCATATTCGCTGTACGAGGCCCGATCCATGGCGTGGAGCCAATCGTGGCTGGGCACTGCTTCTTCAGGTTCCCCGTGACAAAATCCTGTAATGAGCCTCTTGTAGACTGTCACCACACATGGGGACCCCTTGGTCTGCTGGGTGCTCAATGTCTGTGGACAAGGTTGGATCCGAACATGAGCTCGCTGAGAAGCTTCGTAAGGCTGTTGGTGGCTGCTAGGCCGCCCGTGCGCAACATCCAGAGCCGAATGAGTTCTCTTTATGTTCGCTTGCACCAGGGATGCCTCGTCCCCGTGGAGGAGAGTACGGACCTTCTCCTCGTCGGTTCCATAGCTGAGACAGTCGCACTCATTCAGGCGGAAGCAGGTCATCTCTGGCAGGTGGTTCGGCAGAAGCTCCGGAACAATAAACCGTGCGGCACTTGAGCGATAGGAGAGGAACAGGTCGCGCATTTCGCCTGCGTCGAATTTCCCTGGTTGGTATAGCTTGAACTTGCCTGGCCCGGAGTGAGGCTCCCAAGTAAGCTCCACTCTCCACTCCCCCGATTTCTTATAGAAGAGTCGAGCCACCGGCCCATTGATTTCAAAAGCGTGGCATTCCGTGACATGGTCCAGATGGTCAGGGTGATCACAGGCCTTCATGATTGTATCAACCTCAAAATCTGGTCGGGCCGTGCAAGGTATCCTAGCTTTACACTCCCTGAGGAATGATCTCATCTGTAACCACGAAATGGTTTGGTGCTCGCAGACTCGGACATGGCCTTTGACGCCGTTACATCTCCTTTCTTTCTTCCCCTGTCGCGAGAACATCGTATAGGGGTGGCTTGCGGCGCACACATCGCAGTAATATTGTGATCCAGAACGAAGGAACTTGCAATATCCCTTGTTAAGGTCGGACTTTCCATACCAACGGCGTTTATCGTATTTTAGACAGTCGTTGCAGTAAGTATCGATATGGAGGAGATGACAAATGTCGGCACGTAGGACTGCGTCCGCATCTGGCTCGTCCAAAAATGCGTGAGAGGGGACGAAATTGGTCACCGCGCCTTTGGATTTAAGAAACATATCTCCTCCGTTCTGGCTATTGGGCATACCATAACTGCGGACTGGTGAAAAACGATGATAAAGAAATCTCCTTCCTTGCAAAAGTCGACGAAATCGCCTGCACACCTGGCGGATTATGAAGAACGAGATTTCGTCTTGGTAAAGGAGCGAGAAAATCCGAAGCCAAACGTCATCAGGAAGTTTGTATAGGGCCGAGCTATGGCGTTCATTGAATATGGCTCGAGCAATTAAAGGATCGAACTCCTCTTCCAACAGAAGGATTAAGGCCTCAGTCTGCCTCTTCCACTTTCCGAGTGCGTCCTTTCTCCGTGTATCCGTGTAGAGGCCCCATTCCTGGAGCCTCTCATTGATTTTCTTCATAAGATTCATTATCTGCGTCAAGTTCGTTTGGAATAATATGACCTTCAAACAAGAACGTGGGCAAAGAAAGGGGGCATGCGGCCAGTTATGAGTCATTGTTCGCCACGGTTAAGTTTGCAGAACTACATTTAATTACGCCCGGCTAGATACGCTTTCTGCCCCTCTCAACCTTAATATGATGACACAAAGAAGAAACTTTGTAAGCAAGAAAGAACGGCTTCGCCGATAAGATATCAAACTACCAAATAAGCCCATAACTGATGTTGTTAGTTAGTTCCAAGGAGGAGATGACGAAAGCCACCATGGTGGTCAAATTCGAGACCTAAACCTTTTTTTTTTTTTTTTTTGTATTTTGTGCATCCCACAATCCCAGCTGATTAGTTTCCTCTCCATGAAATTTATGAAGTCATTTCTACTTCCGTGAGAAACGAAGTCCTACCGTACGTGGCAACTCCCCAACGCCCCGTCTCCTCACCGCCAGTCCGTTATATCACATCCTCAGCCCGTTCACAACTGTTGTTATCATATCCCAATCGGTGACTCCTAATTACTAAGAAACATCAACCAACGCATATCCGAGCTTGTGCTGAGTCCTAGACCCCGGCGCTTTCGTATAAATAACTAGGAATGACCATTAAACCCATTTCGCACCTTATGTAGAGCAGTTCCCTGTCATCAGGACGACGTGGTATGTTTGAATAAATGGCCATATCTGATGGACCCAGGGGTACGAACTCATTTCGGGGTTCGCTGATGGAGTGAAACGATTTCTAGCTGTCTGTATGGGTGGCCGACTATCAACCCGACTTGATGAACCGATAGATGGAGCTGGAAGTACATCGACATAGTTTGTGGCTTGAAGGTCACTGCTTTGTCAGACACTCCCAATTCCATTCTTTGCTGAAAGCACCAGGTAGCTCCTCGAATCTCAGTGGTATCTCCGAGTAGTGGAGGGAGTTGGGTGTACTTGAGTAGCCTCCCCATGATTGATCCATGATGTGCAGTCTCCGTCTTCTCAGCGGTGATATCAACAGTGCCTGATCCCAAAAGAAGTTCCAAACAGTCAATGGTTGCCATCATGTCTCGAACAGAGGTTTGCCTAAAGGGAACGTTGTCAAGGAGGCTGTGGATCAGCCGGTTGGCGTCTCTCCTGATGATCGGAAGAGCCGCCTCGGTGGATCGGATGATTGCCTGCAATGCCTTCACATTGCCGAGGCAACACGCTTGAGAAATATATTCGCCGACCATGGTGTGGCCGTGACTCCTCAACGGCTGATGTTCCAATAGAAAGTCGACTATCTCCGTAAAGGGCTCTAATCCCTGGATTGCCAACCCCAGAGGGGTAGCGATGATCGGTTCTGGGCGTGGCTGGGGCTCTAACGGCTTATGAATGGAACATCCTGCCTCCATGAGGGCCAGCATGATTGGGAGCTTCGCGGACAATGGCCACTTCCGCTGGTTCAGCATGTGCTCTAACGGATCGAACGAAAACCACAACAGGTGCGGGTCGGCCCCCTGCTTCAGGAGAGTCACCGGGATGTCGCCGGTATCAGCAGAGAGGAAACTGACAAGAGCGTCGGGTGCCAGTCGGGCAATCGTGCAATCTTGATCCCAGGAAAGAAGAAAGCGAGCAGCCTCCGGATCATTTTTGTCGCGGGTTATCTCCCAGAACGTCAGGACTTCGGCTTCGCTGGGGCTATAGTGCCCGAGGAGCATTTTGAACTCTTCAAGATTTCTGTCCCGTAATCGCTGCTCGAGAGCCGTGATCTCGCGGTAATAATCGTTCACGGTAAATGGAAACTCTGACAGAATGGTTGGCCCAGCAGTCGAGCCCGTCCCGCGTCCGGGCGTCGACCCATGGCGAAGAAGCAGTTCCGTAACCTCTCTAGTGTCGGGCCCACCCTCGAATATGGATGCAAGATTCCACAAAGGTGATGCGGTATTTGCAGCTATTGCGTTGGTCGAGGCGCCGAGGCTGATGAGGAGCTGGACCAGCTCCAGCAGCGGCCTGCCCCGTGCATTCTCGCAAGCATACGCAAGAGGGGTGCACCGATCTTTCTCAGGATCTCCGTCGACAGAGGCGCCGGCTTGCGACAAGCGGCGAACGGCCTCCGTATTCCCTGAACCAGCGGCATGACCCAGCGCAGTGTGGCCTTCGCTGGTGGTGTTAAAGTCCAAACCCAGGTTGAGGAAACAGTCTAGCAGCTCGGCCCCGTCTTCCTTGTGACTTGCTTTGGACGAGTCGGAAACCGAGTCCCACGAGCCGCTGCAGACCAAATGGATGAGTGGTTTCTGGGCACCCCGTAGTCTGTTGGCCAATATCGGATCGGCCCCGCGCTCGATCAATCTTCTGGCTGTCTTGAATCTGTGGCATGCGATGGCGTGGTACAATAATGTTCCCTTGTGGACCGGGGACACATAGTCTGGGTCATTGAGCTCGAGTGGCCCAGGGGCGGTGGCATTGATGTCTGCACCGCAACTAAGTAAGTAGTCAAAGCAGTCCTGGTTGTCGTAGAGATAAGCACACGCCAACGGAGTCTGGTGGTTGTAGGGGTCCCTGGACTCGAGTTCAATGCCCCCAACATCATTGAGTAGCCACTTGACGATATCGACTCGACCAGCTATGCAGGCGGTATGGAGGGGGGTCAGACCCACGGGTTCCTGGTCTGGGTGTCGTTCTAAGCTCTCCACGTTCATGGACACATGCTGAAAGAGATACTTCACCGCGGAGAGAGACGAACCTGAACAGATGGCCATATGGAACGCTGTCCAGTCTGGCGGTCCTGGCCCAACATGTGATCTTGGGCCGAGCATATTGATGCCCAGCGGCCATCGATGGCATCTGCACATGCCGTGACACGCCTTGTCAGGCTGGGCGCCATGTCGAAGCAGAAGGTCCAGGATTTCGGTATTGCCGTGGGCCGCAGCAATATGAATCGGCGACCAGTATGTGGCGTAGAAAGCCTCTTGTGGCGTAGTAACTTCTGTCCCAACATCGCCGTGGGCTGGTATATCGTTTGGTTTGCCATGAAAACGGTCCCGATTCTCCCAAGTGCTATTGACATCGATGCCCGCGACAAGGCAATTAGTTACTGTGCGCGGCAGGTCATGGACTGCACCCCAGAATATGGCCCTTAGCCTGCTATCTGAGGAGGCAGCGGCTCTATACAGCACAGAGTTGAGCACGTCGTGATGCGCCCGTGAGACGCGCCCGAGCGCCGCCAGGTCCCACAAACTGGGGACATGCTGGGCGACAATAATCCAGATCTCGATGGGAAGCGAGGTGTGCCGTGGAGGCTCAACAGTATTGTTGTTATCCATCGGTACAGACGAGATGATTCGACTTGAAACAGTGTAAAGAGGAGAGAGAGTTGGCAAAGAGGCTGCTGATTGCGACGTGGTTTTCATTTGCCCCGCAAAATGACGGTGAGCCCGAATGCCCAACATCTCAGGTCCAATCAGATCAGCGGAAGTGAGTATGGGTTTCATTTCAGGCATTGCATGTTCCTGCACACTTATGGTTGATGGTTGCATAGATTTCCCCCTTTAGCAATAGTATTCATGTTCACTTCCTGGCGCTTGTGAATTGCGGGATCCCAAGGCTGCTCTTTCGCCAACACATAGTAAGGTGCTCGCATCATGAAAGCTGTCCTGGTTGAATGAAAGTTCTTGTAACTACCTAGTTGCCCAGACCGAAACGAGCGCAAGGGCTACCCTGGTTACTACTCGAAAATGACTCTACATACCCCGTAGGTCTTGACCAGCGTCTACTTGGCAGACCAAGGCCATCATCAGCAGTGCATATATTTCATGTACAAGAATGGGCGGTGGACTAAGAAAGCCTTCACACGGAAAGTATTTGATAATGAAAAATTCCAAGTTTGCCGGGACCCCAGCGTTTCCAGTGCTGTCGCCTAAAATAAAGCCCGAATCTGTTGAAAGACTCTGTGGACGCTCAAAACGTACGGCCATATTCTTATCTTTGAACCCAAAGCTATAAATAGTTCAAGATGCATGGCAGCGATATCGCTGGACTTGCATCGGCGACCTCCAATAACCCGTGACGCAACTCCTTCGTGTAATGAGAGGCGGTACATTAATTCGCAGTTGCATAGTTATGTTGCAGCGCATCTGAGCTGGTTCACCGATGTTGTACTCTGAACTATTCTAGGTGATATGTGTATTTCCCCGCCTATGACGCCAACCAGCTTTCCACAACGAGTAGATGTGCAACGGGATAACTGAGCAGCTGGCCAGAGAAATCACCCGAGAAGGGAAATATCACTATGCGCTTTTAGCTTTTTCGCTGTACATTCTTAACACCTCGCAAATCGTGCCACGGAATAACGACCTAGTCTTACTTCTAACGGTAATGCTTTATCGCATCGGTCACCACTTTGTTAGGTGGTGTTTTACTTCGTGTTCACGGGTGTATCTCGCAATGATATCTGCCAATGGCTATGCCGCTGTTTCGGGGATATATCCTATCCTTGATCGAACGCCGTTCTAGAATAACTCAAAATGCCTAGATTCTAATCTTGCTTAGAAAAATCAAATTATCATCAACGGTACCCTACTGTTTCTTGGAAATCTAGAAAAGGATGTCGGTGAATTTGCTGGATTTGGTTGCGTGACAGGAAATTGGAAAGATGGTGTGTAGGAGGGGGAGAGCGAAAGATAGCTTCCGCTCGGCGTGACCTCCGCTTTGACACTTACTTCGCTCAGCTCGTGCTCCCACGGGACCTTTGACTGCCGCCGGATGGTTACTGGTACCCTTGTTCTTCTTCATTGGCTGCTTGAACTAGTTTCCGATCCTATGGTGAGTAGAACAACTATAGTAGATCATCGTCTGTCTCTGGCTGACACCTAGGTAAGCGATACAACGGCTGGTAAAAACCGCGCAAACTGGTGTCAGGATTGTGCTGGGTGATCGTCTCCCGTTTTCGGAGGGGGGTGTGACGCACTTCTGCTGCTGAAGGCCGGTGTGCGTGGCACGGCTTTTCTGTCACAATTTGGAAGCAAGCTAGATATGCGAAACGTCGGGCTGGCATGAAGGTCGAGTGACAGACGCCCAAATGGGACACATGCATATTCGTAGCCGCCAGCACGGTCAGGCATGGCATGGAATGAATGCCGACAGCGCATCACTCTGAAACACCGCAGACACATGTCATCTACCCTTATCGTGGGCGCCACGTGAGCCCGCCCTGCCGTCACATCGCAGTTTCGCGTCTTTATTATGTGCCAGGATCCCGCACTGATCTGGGGATGATTATACCTGTGAGAGTCAAGAGTCCCCCAGGGGTATACGAGACCAGTTGACCATGCCCTCCATGGATGAAGCAACGGAAGCATCTCCGCTCATACCGGTGGGTGATGCTGATCGGCAAGAGCCGGTTTATTCACACGCAAATGATTCCGAGTGGACGAGAGAGGGAATGCAGACCGCAGGGTTAGCTGCCATTTTCATCCTCCTTTTTTCCGTAGCAGATGTCTTCAGATATTTCTCGACGCTGCAGCTGCTTGAGCTGGGGGTCTGTCACGAGCAATATACTGCTGCGAACCCTGACGTTCCCAAACAAGCTGGCGAGAATACCCCTGGAGATTTCTGCGGCTCCCCGGGAGTTCAACAGTATGTCGCAGATCTGCGCGGGTACTTGGTTGCGCTGGAGGCCCTTGTCGGCCTCTTCCTCACGCTACCTTATGGTCTTCTCGTGAACCGATTTGGTGAGCGCTTGGTGGCCGGGCTGAGCCTCCTAGGAGTTTCGCTTGCCTGCGCCTGGATTCTATTGGTTTCCTTCTCTAAGTCTGCACTCCCGATCTGGACTGCTGTCCTTGCGCCTCTCTTCCAAGTGATCGGGGGTGGCTCGCCCGTTCTGTATTCAGTCCTCTACTCAATTGCTGCGAAGCACATCCCGGACTCGAGCAGGTAAGCTCTCAAAGATTTTTCCTTTGAATGAAACTCCAGTTATCCTAAGACAAGTTAGATCTCTTTGTTATTCATTCTTCTCGGGTGCGCAAGCAGTGACCGAGATTGGTGCGGTTAACATCGCGGCGTTCTTCCTTGAGAAAAAGCTCGAGTACATGCCACTGGTTCTCACCTTTCCTGTCTGTATAATCTGTCTCCTCACGCTCTTCTTTATGCGACCAAAGAAGGTGGCCAAAACAGCGCGAGGATGCGAGAGTGGAAATTCTGATGAAGAAAGAAAGCTGGAGCTCGGGTCTCTGCTTAAAGGCGCTCACGCGGTGGTAGAGATCTGTCAAAATCCTAACGTTCTAATTCTATTAGCGATATTCCCTATCACCAAGCTGATTGATACAATCTATGCGGTAATGTTACAGTATATTCCGAGGAGGTTCGGGCTGTCCTTTGCTACGGTAAGTATTCCACGAGCGGCCTCGTGACATTTTTCATAGGCTCGACTAACAGTCAAATAGTCCAGCCGCTTGTCCTCGATCCCATCTTTGGAATCTTTTCTCGTTCTTGTTGCGATAATACCACTGATGAAACATATCGCTGAGACCAAATTTCATATTGCATTCCGCAAGGTGGATATATATATTGTTCGATATGGATTTCTGGTCATGTCATTCTCTTGTCTGATTATGGCATCATCTACGACATTGATTGCCTTCATGCTAGGTATATGCCAAATCGCGAACCAGATTGAAGAACTATACTAACACCTAGGATAGGACTCTCAGCATTCTCATTCGGCTCGGGTGCACGCCCTGTGCTCCAATCCATTTTGACAGACATGGTTGATCGCGACAAGATCGCAGTGCTGTATACCCTCATGGCTGTCGGAGATGCCCTTGTTTCAGCGACCGGGTCGCTCATCATCCATCACTCTTTCGCCATTGCGATTGGATGGGAAAACCTGCTGTGGCTCGGGCTACCATTTTTTATCGGCGCAGCATGTTATTTCTACGCTTTTGTTGGTGCAGGTCTTGTCAGACATACTGCCCTTTCCAGGAAATCAAACCTGGACTCGGATTCGAATTAGATACCCTTAGAAGCACTTTAGATCTCATAAACTCGAAATTATTTTCCTCAATTGACTCCATGTCCCTTATGATTGTCGCCTACAGTAGCAGTTACTGTGTACTGTGACTTAGATATGAAAGAAGGGGGGCTGAATTGGCGCCTCATTCCTCACGCGTGACACCATCACACACCACCACACACCACCACACACCATCACAATACACTGAACTCGACCATCCGTCATCACTGGGTCAGTCTCACGCGGGCCGCCTCGCTTATGATTCAGATCAGCTTGGACTCCCCACCTACCAAAAAAGAGGGCGAATGCGTTGGCATATATCAATTATCATGATAGCTCCTCATTCGGCCACCACCATCTATCAGTGGCTTGAGACAGCAAAGCAGCAGGATCGTGTATGAGTCAGCTTAAGGTAGGATCGTCTCCTCCACGGCAACTCGTACCTGATGTAAAAGAGCTACTCTGTACGAGACCCCAAAGAATTTGAAGTCATCCCATGATCGTAGTTTACGCCTCAACTTGGTTTTCCAACTCCAAAATTTGAGTTACTCTGCCCCCTTGCGAAACTTTTAGAGTTATATATCTCGTAAGAATATATCTTCCCATCCCAAGGTTTGGTTTCCCAAGGCTTGGTTTCCGAAGGTTTGATTTTGGAAGTGAACCTCATTTGAAAAGAGTTTGGAGAGCCATTGTCTACGTAACATGAGAGGCGAGCATGGCTTGTGTCCACACTCGGCTGACCCGAGAAGTACTTGGAACGTCTTCTTGTTTTTTTCTACGGAATAATAAGTTCCCAAGATATGTTTGTGAAAGTATGTGTGCCCTTTTGAATTTCCCCAGTCTGCTACAGAGCTTGAAGCCTCTGAGAAGAAACATATTCTACCCAAGCATTCTTCCGTGCTACATTTCTATTCTTATTCTGGTTCAAGAAATTCTACGTCTAGACATGAAGAGCTTTATTAAATTCGCTACATGCAAAAGTCATTTCCGATAGAGTTTAGACCCCCCCATCTCGGTTATCTAGAACTGTTGCAGACTTTCTATGCTCACTCGTCACCAACCTTCTTGCCGATCGCTTACTCTTGGGGACAACCGTAGGTCAGCATCCTCGCGTCGCTTTTGCAAACGCACTACGTCTCACCCTTGAATCCCAGTGCAGGCTAAAATATGCGATGCAGGATGCTCCTTGGCGCGGCGGAATTAAAGGATATCGCCGCAATGGGTTGCAGGTCACCTTAAACTAGTCATAATATGAAATCCAGCAGCCCAATGATGCGGCGGATTTGAGGATATCGCCGTATTAGCTTAGAGAAGGTTGTATTGATGGCCAGGCTTCGGGTTGACGGCTGGGTATAAAAGGCTGCATCAGCGGTTCCCAAGTACAGCAATTGAAATACAAATCCATAACATCGCACATTGACCTATACTGAATATTAAAACCACCCTGCTATCCATTCACCATGGTCTTTCCTGATTTCTCATCTGCCCCCAAAGCCAGCAGCGGCTTCACTCTCCCATGGGACAAGGGCAACCTTCCTAAGCAGCACTGGATTAATAACGAGGTAAGGACACATAGTGGCTGAAGATGGCGCAGAATCGCGACAACTAACAATCCCAGTTCGTCGCTAGCAAGAGCTCCAAGACAATTGAAGTTTACAACCCCAAGGATGGAACCCTCGTCGCCAACGACGTTCCTGTAGCCGGCCAAGACGACGTCGATGCTGCCGTCGCCGCCGCCGAGGCCGCATTCCCAAAATGGAAAAAGACTCTTCCTCGACAGCGCCGCGATCTGCTCAACAAGCTCGCTGACTTGATGGTCGAGCACCAGCCGACCCTCGCAACACTGACCCGTGTCACCCTCGGCATGCCCAGCGGCGGATTCGGCATCATGGAGATCAACGTCGCGGCCGAGGCGGTCAGGTACTACGCCGGCTGGGCGGACAAGTTCCCCGGCGAGTCACACATGCAGGAAGACGGCTTCATGAAGATCACCCGCCACGAGCCCCTGGGCGTCGTCGCCGCAATCATCCCGTTCAACGCACCAATCGCCGTGCTCTGCCATAAGATTGGCGGAGCCCTCATCACAGGCAACTGCTTCATCATTAAACCGTCTGAGAAGACTCCCTTTGCGGCACTCGCGCTGGGCCAGCTGGCCAAGGAGGCCGGTTTCCCTCCCGGTGTCATCCAGGTTCTCACTGGCGACGGCAGCACGGGCGCCCTCTTGGCGAGCCACATGCGCATCCGAGGAATCACTTTCACGGGATCTGCTGGTACCGGCCGTAAGGTTCAGGAGGCTTCCGCTAAGAGCAACTTCAAACACGTCACCCTTGAGCTTGGCGGAAAGAGCCCTGCTATGATATTTGATGACTGCAACCTTGATATTGCCGTGGCGTGGTGTGTCAATGGCATCACGATGAACTCCGGACAGGCGTGTGTTGCTGCCAGCCGTGTCTATGTCCAGGAGGGCATCTATCCCAAGTTCGTTGAGGCCTACACGGCGGCGTTGGAAGCCAGGGCGAAAACGGTAGGCGACCCTGACGAGAGCAGCACTCAGTTGGGCCCCATTGTCGATAAACTGCAGTACGACAGGGCTCGTGAATTCATTGAGCGCGCCAAAGCCCAGTATAAGCTGCTCACGGGTGGAGTTGACGTCAGTGACAAGGCAAGTTCATTTCACTCGCCATATCATACTCGTTCTTTAGGCTAACAGAGCACAGGGCTATTTCATCCCTCCTACTGCCTTCACGGATGTCCCGGAAGATGCAGAAATCGTGAAAACCGAGATCTTCGGTCCCGTGGCAGTCATCAATACCTTCAAGACCGAGGAGGAGGCTCTTGCAAAGGCTAACGACACCGAGTACGGCCTTTTTGCTGGTGTCTTTACTCAGGACATCAACAAGGCCATGCGTGTCGTTGCAGAGACGGAAAGCGGCATGGTTGGAGTCAACTGTATGAGCTACGGTTCTATCAACGTCCCATTTGGTGGCTCCAAGCAGAGTGGTGTTGGGCGCGAGAATGGGATTGATGGCTTGCGTGGCTTTACTGAGCCCAAGACTGTCTTCATTAACTTGAACTACTAAGCTGTTGGACTTTACCATTGCACTGTAACTCGTTAACTATATCTATGTTCATATCACTGCGCGAAAGACAGTTCCATAGATCATCGTTTCGCTCCCCTGCGTTTCTGGTTCTTTGTGCGTCTGGTCAATGCCATCAGAAATCGCTGCTTCGTTAAAATAACAGGGTGAAAGTTTCTTCTTGGGAGTAATCATAAGAAATTTCGGTCTAGGTCAGTCCTATTTTCATTGCTTAATTCTATGTTTTTATCGTTCAACGACCCTGCGATTGTTAGTTGACCTGCGGGGTTTACTTGATCAGCATCATCATGAATCTTAGAACCCCACGAGGTTACAGCTAAAGTAGCGCTTATGACACCGTAAACTCCGCTCTGAATTTCGCCCTTGCGCCCTGTAATTGACATTGACATATGACATCCACACCACGTTAATGGCAGAAGAATCTGTACAAAAGGCAGATGATCTCAGTTTATAACAGCCTAGACGAGAAAATAGCAATCTGTTCAACATTTCACATTGATTACCAACCAGTCTCATTTCTCTTACGTCTCACCTTTCCCGTATTTGCTCTTTGTTTATTTCGAAAATAAGAGCCATTCATACAGGCAGCCTGAATGTCCAATATGGCAACACCAGTTTCCCTCCCCGAGGTCATCGCCTCCATTACATCTCATTGGTCACCGCACCTCGTCGCCACCATCAACAACCACCACGTCAAAGTCGCCAAAATTGACGGTGCCTTCATATGGCACGCCCATCAAAACTCCGACGAGGTCTTCTATCTCATTTCTGGCAAGCTCACAATGGAGATGGAGGAACAAGAAGCCAAAGGAGAAGCCAGAGCAGAGATCCGCAACGTTCTGATGAAGCCAGGCGACATGTTCACCGTACCCAAGGGTGTTAGGCATCGGCCTGTCGCGGAGGATGCCGTCATCATGATGATAGAGAGGGAAGATACGATCAACACGGGGGATCAGGCGGACTCTGAGAGAACAAGGGCAGTCAAGGATGCGCGTTAAGTCCCCTCGGTGCTATTTGCGCTATTGTTCAGTCTCTCTTCTTAACATGAGGTTTATCAAATTGGATCAGGTCGTGAGAGAATAAAGAGGCAATGTGATAAAACGAAGGTGGGGGAGCAAACTCTATTAAAATAAACATGTGCCTCGAGGAATGAAGAGACAGGTACTGAGGATAGACCCCGCATCATTACAATAGATTAATTTCAACATCTTTTCTTCCGATCTTTTACAATATCTTCTCAATAGCTTAAGCCGCCTCGCAGATATTCCGTCTAGAATGAGTGAAGCAACGATTTCATCAGGTGCTGGGCTCGACGATGTCGCCAGTTTGATCGGAGGACTGAGCATCGCCGATCACCCTAAGGTCGGCAACCGCACACACCCAACCCAGTCGACTCTCACAATAGCGATCCTTACCCTCAATCACACCGCAACAGCCGCATGCCTGCAGGCGCAAAAGGTCCTTGCTTCAGCTAGTGATGCCCGCATCGTTAGTAGCGGAGCTGTGGCAGAAATTTGCTCCCTACGCAGGAGAGTCGACGAGCTTGCGAATGCTGCCGACGCCCTTAGAGATGCGACGGAGCGATCAATCGTGGAACGTATCTGCTTGCTTGGAGGCGAAAGGGGATATCACACAAAAAGGCTTCTGACCTATTTCGACAATCAAATCATGGTCATTGTCCGGGATGTCAGCAGCTCCAATGATGAGACATGTGTATTATGGAAGATTATAGAAGAGTGTTACAACCAAGCCATTGGACCTTCCGGTAAACTACAGTCCGACGACTACTTCATTTCAATAGATGAAGTATGCCCTGAATGGCCCTACGACCCGGATTTCGAGAGCGAAGAATACTATGAGCACGAAAATCGTCTAGATGTCGATGAAAACTACGCCGAGCTTTGGAGAAGGAATGCGGAATTACGCGAAGCCAACAGGACCAGAGAAAGGCAGGGACAAAGGCAAGGGTGGATCGACTTTTGGGTTCGAGCATTGAACCACTGCCCGGGTGGCCCGACACTGTTCTACCCACCAGCTGCTTCTTCCGCCGCAAGATCTATAGAATGGCCATTCAACGATATTCCACGGTATCTTTTCCGGGTCTTCGACTCGACGAGCTCTGGCAGAAACGATGAAAATGTGGTGGCTTCAACTATGAGCATATCTGGCACCCCAGAGCGCAGTAAGATCGATATTTTGTCCCTGAGAACACACGACGCATCGGAAATGCTACATGATCACCTAGTTAAAAGCTTGTTCAGCGGCAATGCATCCGACAACCTCATGTCTTGGAGCAGCTCTCTGATGTTTGTGATTCAATATGCGATTTGGAGGTTCCATATCGGTAAAATCTCCCCAGCTAAGGTTCGAATTTGTGTAATAGACACAAGCAAATTTCCACCCGGGCAATTTGTAAGAGATATGCCACTGCTCAAAGCATTCGACAATAAGGAACTGAGCGAGGGTCAGAAACGATTTTCCCGGCTCCGTCTAGGAAATCCAGAATACGACAACGGAGAATATCTTTCCCAAGGAGTGGTTAATCATGTCGGCCGATCATGCACTTTCTTGTTGCAAGACTTGGTAGAAGCTGGACTCTATGAGTTATATCCCGAGTTTGGAGATGCCCAGTTCAGGGGGCTATGGACGAACCGCGTACGAGACCTTCGCTTTTCCTGGGGCACTGAGCAGAAAACGACCCTGCAAGAGATACTTCATGCGTTCAACATAGCAAGAAATTGCTTTGGGTCATTTAACGCGCCTCATATCGCGCTACTGCTGCTAACTTTTAAGAACCGCAAGCTTCGAGGGACAGGTAAGACCCGCTTCCCTACCACGGCAGTATGAATCAAGTGTTTAACAAAGCGCCAGCACTCCAAAGTGACCCAGGGCACGCTGATACTTCCGGGCCAGTTGAAGTCCGTCGATATGTGAGGGCGGCCAGAGCAATGGAACGAAGCAATCAGAATTCGAGCCTGTGGGATTCAAATACCTTTTGGCTATTCCTTCATTCGTACAACACCGAAGCGGTTGAAAGAATTTTTGAATGTGTTTGAGTGAATAACGAATAAAAGAGGGAACCACCCCAAACGGATTTTAGGAGAAGGCATAGGGGCTAGTTAATGCTTATGGCTTAGCAACGTGTCGTGCTTAGGGGTCAAATGGAGAGGGAGAGCATTGTGTATATTCATCTATGTGTATCAAGGTAAGTGCCTTGCTTCTCAACCTCATTCCGAAAACTACTCGCGAATCCCATAGGGGGCCGGTCTACTGTTTGACATAATGGTGGCTGGTATCTAGGTACTACATCTTCCCTAGTACTAGCATTCTAGTATTATCATTTTGCCCTGTGCTGGTACCCAAGACTTGTTATTCAGGTTATACCGGTAAGGAGATAGACAAGATTATAACTTCTTTCTATAGTCCTGCGATGCTACGACAGTTTGCTTATAATTTCTTGCTACGTTAGAGTACCTACGATTTATCAAACGATTACACGATCATATAATATAGCCGCCTTTTTGCATTGGTGGTTGGTGAGAATAGGTGGTCGTTGGTTGGATGGATACAACAGTGGATTACATAGGCAGCGCTTCAATGGAAATACTGGTCGGGTACCCGTCCCTAGGTACCTGCCGTTGGACAGTAGTAGTACTAGATACCAGTAACGTAGGTAGAGTTGAATTGGGGTCTGCCTTACCTATAATTAGAGCCGTTTTTCTCTTCCTTCCACCACCTGCAGCCCATCTGGAAAGAAACCAATCAAATCAACATGCCTGCTCATCTTGTTATCCCACCATGCGAGCATAATCCCGCTCATCCAAATCATCTCCCATCGTATGAGAAACCTCTTCGTATTCAGATACTTGGCACAAACAGTCTCATTGATCAAGTATTCGAAGATGGCATACATATGCCCTCCCAGGAACGGCCCATTGTATCCCCAGTCGATTTTGACGAGGTGGGCATTCGCTTCGCAAAGATGGCCTTTAAGCAGCTCTACCGCCGGGATGTAGATCCTAACAACTCATCCGACTTCGTCCCACGATATCAGTACCACATGTATCGGGGAAAACGCGGAGAGTGCCAGCCATGGGAACACACGTAAGATTCAAATGCAGACTCTCTATCGATTGACTGGTTCATATGGATGGATACATGATAACACCTTTGCAGCATCGAAGGGTATGGGATCACCTTTGACCATTGCGTCCCTGAAGACGATGACGATCCTGAGACCTTGATGATCAATGTTTGCGGTCCATCTGATTCCCAAAGCGCATCATATTATAGTCTGGATCTGGGTGTATACAAAACCAGCCCAGCGACTGTATTGCTAGTCCCTCGATGCTGTCAACTAAGAAAAGGAACTACTGACCGCAAGGGAATCAATGATCAAGTCAGGGAAGCAAAGAAGACCAACTGAGGCTGGAGCCATGGCATACATCTGGTTGATTTGTATCGGTTTCAAAGCCACCCCCTAGGATCGTTAGTTTGGAATTTAGAGTGAGGCGCAGCTCTAGAGCTGGACATGAGGACTAGGAAAGTGTCAGTGCTGGAAGGTCTGCTGATGCTGCACTAGCCAATTACGCGGTTTCTTTATTGATGAATACCTAGCTATTGAAGATTTATAAATATTATATTATCCCCCCACATTGTGTGATACACAGTTCGTTGATTAAATTGGCAATAGGTAATTAATCGTTATTACTAATCTGAAAATTCTATATTAGTAACTCCTATACCGAAATATACTAGATATAAACTAACCTTTAATAAACTTTTCCTTTAATTTTAACCTCTCTAATAATTAATAGACTTTCCTAAAAACTTCTTTAATATATTAGCCCTAAACTAATATAAACTAACTATACTAATAAATTCTATATTTAACCTTTAAGGGCTACCTCCGCCTAGGTTAGTTTAATATAGTATAGAATATACTAGAACTATATACTAAATCTTAGATTTTAATAAGTATAAATAAGTAGGTTATTATTAGTAAGGTTTAGCTTTCTAAGCTACCTCTTATTCTTAATAAGTGCTTTTAGCGCTTAGGCCCTAATCGCTAGGAGGCTAGCTTTATAATAAAGTAATAGGCCTAGTAGATATAACTACTAGATTTACTATAATATAAGCGGCTTTATCACTATAAGTAGGCCCTTAATTAAGCGAAGGCTTATATATTAGATATAGTAAGAAAAGACCCTTCTTAGGTTAATATAGATAATTATTTTTATAGTCTTAAGAACTAGGTTATTTATACTAACTATATCTTAGCTACTAGTTAGAAGAACTACATTAGATACTAATATTTTTAGCTTTTTACTTTAGATTAAATTAAGAGAAATTAGTAGTAATAAGTATCCCCTCTTAGGGCTATAGCTAATTTATATATTAGCTAGCCCTTATTAGAGTTTTTTTGAGATATTAGTGCTTATGTCTAAGCTTTATATATAATCTTAAAAGTTTTAATAGTATTAAGAAGGTTTAGGTATAGACTGTAGCTTGGTTTTTTTGAGATATATATTAAATAGCTGTGGCTTATAGTCATATGTGTGGCCTGATCTTGGGATATCACCCTTGTATATGGCAAAAAGAAATAAATGTCATCCCCCAAATATTTTCTTGATCAAGCCATTGTCGCAGTATACGAATTTAGTTCTTCTCCTCTCTATCTTTACAGGGTCGCATTTAATTACTTATCCGGCCCTACATATTCATTCCGATCTTCGAGCCTGCTATCTTCTTTATCACATAATGCCTCTGATTCTCAAACCAATCGACAATCATGAAACTGCGTCCTGGGGCCTGAGTATCAGCAGCTCAGACTTCCAGAAGCTCAAAAGCGGTTTCAGCCCCATGTCTATGGATGATAAATGGGTCATCAGGGCTATGGAGCCAGATCAGAACGGCAACATCACCGTCCACTATGCCCGAAGCTGGACAGGGGCCCAGTTCTATATCCTCACTCTGAAGCCAGCAGAAAATAATTGTGCTGTGGTTGAAACTATCACATGGCGGCGTGGTCAAAATGCTGGTGCCACCCCGTCGAGCAAACAGGCTCGGAAAGAGACTGTTATTCTCTCTAGAATGTTGCTTGGATGCCAGTTTGAATCACTTCCACACTACGATTCATCGATTTTCTGGAACCCCCAAGATGATGAAAGTGATGATTAGGATGACTGTATTTCTCTTTGGCTAGCAATCTCATCTCATTCACACTACAATCTTAAGTGATAGTCCAGCATTAGCACTATACGGAAAATGAGATACTCGAGTAAAACAAAGAAAGTCCCTAAGTGACACGTTCAGAACATGAATGGAATGACTTTAGCGTTAGAATAGATCGCCTCCAGCAGTTTTAGCCAAGTTTCCAAGCGAAAACACTTACTGCAATGTCCTCGACTATGGCTATCACCTCTCATATATTTTACTATTTTTGATACCAGACTTGTACGAGGGGTCTGTAAGTGAAAAATCAGTTGTATGTTAAAGAGCCAGATGATATTGAAAGTAAGAATTTGACTACGGAGGATGGTTTTCTAGTTCGAAAACCGATAGTTTCTCGAAGAAATCGTGGATTTGTAGACAACATCTACTCCTTAGATGCATTTCCAATTTATTAGAATTAGGCTAGTTCTAAAAGGAGATATATCGTTCTAGTATTGGTAAAAGGACTGAAGCTAATAGACATATATTAGGAGTACAAGTTTGCTGGAAATTCACCTAAGGTCCTTGATCTGGATATGAGCCCTGCTTAGTCGAATGTTGAAGGCCAATCGGCACTCGGGGCTGTGTCCTCACTACGAACAGATCTCTTCCTCTGTGGTAGATTGTCCGGGGCAATAGATCTAATTATGGTGTGTTAGCATCGCTACTAGTGGTATATATTCGAGCTTGAAACAAAACATACAGAGTTTCGAGCAGAGCTTCTGGTGGTAAAGCAGAGTCACGTAGATCCCCTAGCCATGCATGGTTCAAAGCTTGATGAGATGTGGGCCGATCCTTTGGCGAACGAGCCATGGCAAGCTCCAGGAATTCCATACAGGAGCGACTCACATCCCGTTGCAATAGGGCATCTCTCGGGAATGGTCCCTTGGCCGTGACATATCTGGCCAGCTGGTGAGGGTCACCAAAAACATTGCGATTATTAAGAAGCCGAAACATGATGGCACCCAAGGCCCAGATATCGACTGCAACAGTATATATACTGGATGAGTCGTCACCAGCTGGGTGTATGCCCATCACGTCCTCCGTGCTGTATATTCCCATCACCTCGGGCGCGAGGTACCCCTTTGTTCCAACTAAAGTGCGAAAGGCGGTAGCCTTTTCTTCTGCTCGTTTAGAGATACCAAAGTCACCAATCTTAACCCACCAATGCGGCGATGGTTCTGAGACGAGGATATTCTAGAGTAACTCGTTTAGCTTTTAACAGATGTCATGCAGAAAGATTCTCTGGTTTCATAACCTACAGCAGGCTTGAGGTCACGGTGTGCAAAGCCATTGTCGTGCATAAAGCATAGGCCCTCCAGAAGCTGGTATATAATCCGCCTCGTTTCTTCCTCGGGGAAAGGCCGTGACAGGTACCCTTGCAAATCACCATGCTCCATGTACTCCATCGCTATGAAAATGGCATGTTCGCCCTCATACCAACCAAAAGACTGCACAAAGCAATGTACGTACTAAAATAGGGGAGCGAAAGAGTAAGTAAAAGGCATAAGAAGAGAGAATAATGCGAACAAGAGAAGAGAAAAGAGAAATATGTCACCTTGGAATGGGAAAACTTGGCAATGGCCTCCAATTCCCGGTTGTAATTGATAGAGAGATGTTGTCCCTGTGGCTGTATCTTGGAAATCTCCTTGACGGCGCGAAATGTGCCTCCGCTATCGCCCCCATCAAGGCGTTCCTCCAGCCAGACGCGACCGAAACCGCCTCCGCCCAACCCACGCACACGCTTCCATGTCTGTTCTTTTCTCAGCCGCCGCTGGCGCATGCGAGGGTTCGACTCGTACGAGATGTGTTGCACGAGCGCTCCGTTGTTGCTGATGACTGTCTCGAGTTTTGAGTCTCGCACGAGATCAGAGGCGGCTGATCTGCTACTATTGAAGGGCCCGGAAGGGGTTGAGGGAGTCAACATTCCAGAGTGTGGCTCGTGGTTGGTTGCCACTATTGGACTCTTGTCCGAACCCTCTTTGCCGTTGATTGTTGGCTTAGTCGTGCTTGAATCTTCATTGACTGGGTTTGAAATCCTATCCCTCCTTTTCTTTCGCTTCTGCTTGACTGACACCTGTGCTACTACATCGTCTGGGCGTATCGTTTCATCGAAGCCGTCTTCTTCAGGCTGATTGCCGTACTTATTTTGATTTTCTTCCGTCTCATGGGACTGTTGGGCCTTTTGTCTCGCCAAAAATTGGCGGCGCGTACATCCTCCAGTGAGCTGAGTCACTTTGCGCGATACCTCAGCCCTCAGCTGGGCAGTGTCACCGACGGCCAGTGGTCCTTGCTGAGACGCTATCACGACCAATAAATAGAAAGCAAGAGCAAATTCGGGGAAAAACAGCTCTCCTATTTGGTCGACGTCGCACCAAGACAAGATCAAGTCCACCTGGCTGTCATCTATCTCTACTCCCCCTCGTATCGCGTCGGGGGCCATGCGTTTGGGTATCGTTACAGCTCCTTTTGGTATAAAGCGTCGGAATACGTCGTGTAGTTCATCGTAATTTTCACGGTTCAAAAAGGATAGCCCAGTGGCTCGAAGATTTTCTTCCGTTCGTTCCATGCGCTTCCGGAAAATCGGCGGTGACGAACGTTGCTGCTGCCGGGGCTGTTGAGGCGAGCGGGCGTGGGTGTGGGAAATCGAAGTAATATTCTGATCCGTAGAATCCCAAACGGCCGCGCCGTGACTATTACCGTGACCGAGACCATGGAATGGTTCTTGGTTCTCCCATTTTGGCGTCACGCTGTGCTTGTTTTGGGCTTGACGAACCATGGGGCTGGAGCCTGACTCAAAGGTTGTATTGGGATAGTTTGCTGCTCTGTCGAGCTGGCTCTGACTCGGCGGAGGCTTTTGGACTTGTCGTTGCGGCATCGGCATTTCATAGCATCTCACAACCCAGAGAGGTGGTCCATCATCGTAATTATGGTTTGGGGCTCTGACCTCCCCGAATATCCGAGTCTCATCCTGTACAAGCCATTTAATGATGCCGAGTTCCTCCGTGACCCTCTTCCGTCCGAATTCGTCCCGGCCTGTTGGCATAAAGCCTTCGATCTGATCAATATTCTGTTTGGCCCACAGCAAGGTTTCGGCATGGGCCAAGTGTAGGAGAAAATCAAGGAGCTGGAGGGACTTGAAAATCTCTATCCAACTTGCGTTATTGTCGCGTAAACGGTGCTGGAGTAAAGTAAGCACCGCGCCTGCTATATAGGGCCTGGGACAACACATTAGCCCACTTCTGACTAGCACAACGAGAGAGCATGACATAGACATCGAAGCTCAAAGTAATGTGATAGGGGAGGGATAGATTCTGATGTTGTACATACCCGGACTTCACCGAATTGACAATCCCATTAAAGTCGTCAAGGACATTATTGGTGTTTTGGTTCGGCGTTGCGTTGATAAGAACTTGTCGAAACATGCTCGTATCAATCTTACTGGCAGGCTGGAACATAGTCCTGGGCTTAAATGGCGGTTGATTGGTAGGAGGTTGGAATACAGTTTTGGGTTGGTTTGGTGGTTGATTGACGGGGGGTTGGAATACGGTGCTGGGCTGACCCGGCGGCAGCCTCACTGCAGGTACAAATTCAGTGCTGCCTTTTGTTTGGGGCTGCTTTTCACCTCCTGGGAGATTGAATCTTCGCTGAAGCCAACTGCGGCGCTGCTCCATGATGCTGATCTGCTTACGCGGCAGGCCACTTCGGTCCTACGATCATATAGAGGGGACTCGCGCTGTCTTTGTTGGCCACGAAGGGAGTAACACGCCTCAACTTGTTTGGTTCTGATCAGGAGGGGATAAACTGTCCGTATAACGCCCAACCTGCCCAGTCCTGCGTCACAGGTACACCAAGTCATCACAAAGAGCGTGAGTCTATATTAAGAGAGGGTTGTGGTGTGGTATCGCTCAACTCGGCTTAGCTGAATAGAAGAGGGAATAGCAAAGGCGCCTAACCACATTTCTCTAAGCAGGGATGGAAAACGCCACAATATTCAATAAAACAGGTTGGGCTGACTTATGACCTTATACGAATAGTGAACCCGAGTGAAGGCAAAGTCTAAAACCGCGAGGAACGTCCAAGGATATACCGCCGTCTTAACACACCTATGTACGGGTGGGCTTCAACAAACTCCCCAAACCCAAATGTATCTCAAAGGGCAATGCCTTAAACGAATCACAGACACAAAAACAGAGGGTCTATTTTTCGAAGTGAAAAATGAACAGGCATCAATTAATTTTCAGTAATACGGCCTGGACAGTGGCCACCGAGAATGGACGAGCATGGAGATACTTCACACGTCGGCAGATGCGACTCAACCCACCCATAGGCCAGCCAACAAAAGACTACCTGGTTATTTACGTGGAGCTCCTTCAACCGGAAAGTCTCCAACTCTGACTTTTCGAAATAGTTCTTCGAAATGTAATGTGTCGAGGGAGCATATTCAAAGAACAAATCTCGAAGCCAGGCAAGACCATAGAAAAGTCTCCCAAGAAAACCAGCGAATTCTGTGTTGTGATTTGCATAATCCGCACGATCTGGTTCATAAGTTTCAAACCCTGCTTCAACGGCATGGCGATCTCGAAGGTCAACTCCATCCAAAGATCTCGCAAGACAGGCGGCTTGACAACCGCGTAAACTCTTAAATAGGCAACGAACTTACTCGGTCAGCAACTTAGGTCCTTCAGGCTCTAGGCGGATCCGGTCCACTAGCGAATCTTTCGGGTGTGGAATTTCAAAGAGTGGATAAGTGGCTCACTCGAATCGCGCATGTCGCTTCCACGCTCGATTAGGAAAAAAATCCCGTCCCAGTACTGTTTTCCTATTTATGTATTTAAACTTGTCGGACGTGCATTGAGCATCCATTTTTGGGTTCTAGTTATTGTAACCCTTTTCTGCTTTCAATATAAGAGTTGGTACGCCTGACCATTTGTTCAATATGGGATCTACTCCTGAGTCTTACCACCAAGAGGCTCTAGCCAAGGTGCGCATGCTATCAAAAGTCTGGACGGGAAATTCTTCTTTCACTAACCTGTATATGAAAGCTCCAAAACAAGTCACTTTGGATCAATGATGCCTTGATTGATGGTCAATGGGTCACAAAGGAGGAAACATTCCCCGTCTATGGTACAGGCAGTCAACCATGTCTCGCTATAAGCACAATCTAACCAGCTGCATAGAGCCATCAACGGCAACAGTTCTTGGAAACGTTGCAAACTGCAATCTCGACGATTTCCAGAAGGCAATCAAGAGTGCCGAAATAGCCCAACAAGAGTATTACGAGAACACTTCTGCAAGCCAACGCGGCGTGTTGCTTCGCAAGTGGTACGACCTGGTCATTGCCAACCAAGATGACTGTAAGATTCTCATAAATGATGTGCCATCAACGACACTATAGTAAAAGATTCACTGACTTGTGTTTCCTCAAGTGGCTGTGATTCTATGCCTCGAGAATGGAAAGACAATCTCCGAGGCCAGAGGGGAAATCATCTATGCTGCCTCATTCATTCTCTGGTTCTCTGAAGAAGCCCCACGCGCCTACGGGCACACAATTCCCTCCTCACTCCCCGACACCACCCTGATGAGTACCCGTGAGCCTATTGGCGTATGCGGCATCATAACCCCGTGGAACTTCCCCGCCGCGATGATCACCCGCAAGGTGGCCCCCGCCCTTGCGGCTGGCTGCTCCGTTGTCGTAAAGCCCCCCAGCGAGACCCCTTACAGCTGCGCCGCCTTTTCCAAGCTGGCGATCGATGCGGGAATACCTGCCAGAATCTTTCAGATATGCCCGACCAAAGACCGTCAAGCTGCCACTGAGCTCGCCACGAACCCTATTGTCCGGAAGATCAGCTTCACTGGCTCTACGGGTGTTGGAAAGCTTCTGGCAAAGCTCGCGAGCCAGAGCTTAAAGAAACTGAGCCTTGAGCTTGGTGGAAATGCGGCTTTCATTGTATTTGATGACGCTGATTTGGATGTCGCCGTGGAAGGCGCTATTCAATGCAAGTTCAGGTGTTCCGGCCAAACATGTGTCTGGTAGGTTACGAAAACATAAAAGAGTTACTACAAGTTCGCATTCATGCTAATTGGTTGATAAACAGCGCCAACAGGCTCTTTGTTCAGCGCAATGTGGCCGCCGAGTTCACCCGGAAGCTCACTGAACGAGTTTCCCAGCTGAAGAATGGGCCTGGTCTGGATCCTAGCGTGACACAAGGTCCGCTGGTCAACCGATCCGCCGTTGACAAGGTTATAGAGCACATTAATGATGCTGTTAGTAAGGGAGCCAAGGTTGAGCTCGGCGGCAATCCTCTTGACAACAACCCCGGCTTCTTCTTTCCTCCCACGATTCTCTCGGGAGTACCCAAGGACGCCATGGTTGCCGGTGACGAGACTTTTGGTCCGTTGGCGCCCATCTTCACCTTTGATACGGAGGAGGAAGTTATCAAAATGGCCAATTCGACGGAGTTTGGTCTTGCAAGCTACCTGTTCAGCGAAAATGTAAATCGTTGCATGCGTGTATCCAAAAAGATTCAGGCAGGGATGGTTGGAGTAAACACAGGCCGAATCTCTGCTAGTGAGGCACCTTTTGGCGGCATCAAAGAAAGTGGCTACGGAACAGAGGGCAGCCTCTACGGGATGGAGGAGTATCAAGTGATCAAATCTACCATCATTGGGAACACTCATCGTTAAATATGTAGGCAATTACCCACGGCACAAACACCAAACTCGAATCTTTTCAAGCTTAGAATCACAGGCCGGTAAATCTAACAACATCACATCTGATTCCACCAACATATGTTGGTCTTTTATTTGCCCTTGGCGGGCATTGGGCGTGCCCCATGCCGACTCCACAGTAAAACAACACAATAGTAGAATCAAGTTAATCAAAGCGATGGCAGGAAGCAATATTCCTTTGGGCAGCAGGAATTCACTATACCCTCTGCACCGGCTTGAATCGAACACGAAATACTGGCTTGTCCCAAAACGCAAGGAACTTATAATCTTTCTCAAACGATAGATCCCGTTGACCTGCTCCAAATTCCAGATCAAATTGCCACAAGACCTTAGCCATCAACAATCGAACAGTGGCTGAAGCAATAGGTCCCCCCGGGCAGCCTCTTGGACCCTGGCTGAATGGTTTAGAGGCCTTAAGGTTGTCGTCTCCATATTTAGGATTGAAACTGGGATGATCGGGGGGCAGCCAGCGTTCGGGTCGAAATTCGAGTGGCTTTGTGAAGTACCGCGGGCTTCTAGCCGCTGAAAAGTAGCTGATTTGACAAGTGATCTATCCAATCCCCCCAGTCAGTATCTAAGCAGATTCGTTGGCTCAGGGATGGAGAATGGACCTACTCCTTGGGGTATATATGTTCCATCCACCACAGCACCAGGGCTAATGCGCGGCAAGCCGTCAGTTGTTTCTTAGTGCAGCCGAAAGCTTTCATTCGCACAGCCCTGTAAGTACTTAAGACGCTCTATCGAATCAAACTTGATGGCGTCATAGTCTGAAAATGCATCCCGAACTTCCTTCACCAGCGTTGCGTAGGCATCGGGTCCCTTGAGGAGGAATAGGATCAAGGAGTAGAACTGATTAGCCAAAGGTTGCCAGCTAGCTAGAAGTAACTGCCATGCTACGTTTTGCAGATGATAGATCTCCTTCTGACTCTGAGGTACTGGTTGATTTTCTGGGACCAACTGCTCGAAGTAATCCAAATGCTCCATGTTATGCCGGTTTTTCAGCCGCGTCTGAACATCGTCAGTGTTCAATTTCATAAGTTCAAACATGTCGAACCAGACGGCAGGAGGGATTGTCAAATATGCTAAGGGTGTCAAGAGGCGGAACTTCCGCACGATCTGGCTCATCAGTATGAACATGTTCAACTTGAATGTTGAACGAACAAGCACCGAGTCCTTCACTATAGAATGTTAGTCCAATTTTTCAACGCTACTTATTATGCAGCTGTTCCAACTACTTACTGTCTCGCAAATGGCCCATGTCGATGCAATATGTCATGTCCGCGGATAAATCCAGTCCTAGCCACTCCACCCAACGTCTCATGTCTGCCCCTCTCTCATCACCCCCGAAATCTTTCATCCTATTCACGAAAAGGTCAATGTGTTTGTGAATAGCGGCCTCTTTGGCCCTCAGATTTCTTGTGCTGAAAGCAGGGGCAAGCCTCTTGGCGATCTCGCGGTGCCTCACAGGATTGGTTTCCCCTGAAATCCCGCCGTCGCCTGTGTCTAAAGCGTCGTAGCCGACCTGAACGAAGAGTTCAAGATTTTTCTGCTGTGCGAGATATATGTCTATTTCCAAGTAGTCTTGGTCAGTGATGCCGCAGTGGTGTCGAGGGCTATTGGCCGGGCCTGACCTTTCGCTGCCTGCGGCGTGATGAAGACAAGCTCGTTTGGAGCAATGCGCACAACGTCTCCTACCAGACTATTAGATTTGGACAATGCAGGGTGCCATAAAAAACAGGAGGAGCTATATTACCATAGTTTTTCAAGGTATCCTCGATTATCCAAGGATATCTACCTGTTGTACTAGGGAGCCGGTGCAGTCAGCGCAAGGTGAAGCGACTCAATCATGCCCGTCAGTTACACACCTGGCGTAGGCCCACCACAGATCAGTGATGGCGGCAAGCTTCGGCCCTGGGTATTGAGAGAGCGGGTGGAAGTAGAGGTTGTAAATGGTTCGGCCGATGCAGTACGCTGTCCCCTAGACGCAAAAAATTCGGTTGAGGACGAGTTAGAAGATGACAGCCTGATAGGCATTTTTCATCTCACAAGGCCACTCACCAATGCAACAGAAGCTGTTAGAAGTTGACTCCAAGTCACACTTCTACCTATCGCGTCCAAGGGGAGACTTGTGAGTGCCATGATGCGCCTTTGCGTTCAATCCCATGAGATAATGCCCACCTCCTTTTATGCCACTTAGTGAAAAGCTCGAGCAGCGGAGAGAGTCACACTACACTTACGAATCGGGTTAGTGAACGTAAGCAATTGCCGTAAGCTGACAATTGCGTGGTGCCAATGAGCGCGGGGATAACAGATTGCAAATTTATAGCGATAACTACATGTACTTGCCCAAACTCGCTCTCCGTCTGCTTTGTCATTTCATCAATTTTCTTTCCTTGATTGCAGGACGCCACTAAAATTTTCAATTGTACAAGTATTCATGATCGATCAATCAATGCCCGCGTTTCGTTGCTTTACAGCCGAAGTTTGCAAATAGCCATGAAAGGCGAGGCCACGCCAGACAAAAACAGCGTTCCCGACTTTGCATCACGAACTACGATCGTTGTCGTAGGGAGGACTTTGGCATCTCGATCCTCAATCAGCTTGACAATGTTGTATGCTTCAGTACCCTGGTCTTGTGACTCGGAATCCAGCCGTTTCTGAAGCATCAGAGCCGTGGCTGGTGCAACAACCGAATATGGCTTTTCCACTGATGCCGGAACCTTCAATGGGACAGGGAAGGCAGCTACCAGGATATTCCCCTCCTGATCCACGGAAAGATTGTCCACGGTCATTTTCAGATTAATTTGATCAACTTTGGAAAGAGTTTCCCCGGAGAGCTTATAGACAGCCACGAAGCCGCCTACCGAATGGGCAACATAGTACAGCCCATCGGCGCCTCTAACGATCCCATTAGGGAACTTCATATCTTGAAGAGCGGCAAAATTGCACTTCCCAGTATCAGACTGGCAGTGCACAATACTCCCACCGCCCGTAAAGATTTCCAAGTCTCGGAATAGTCCAACCTTGGAGTTGTGGTCGTTCGTCACCACGAACCCTACCCCATCTTTGTCCACAGTCACGCCGTTTGGTGCAATGATGGCCGGGTCGAAGACTGTCTTAACATGTTCCAGCTGGTTTGACTGGGGGTTCAGGTCGAATATTTCCACGGTTGAGTTGGCCCCCAGGCTCGGATCAGCAATAATCTCTCCGGTGGTTTGGTTGACTGGCGGCTTGTGATTGATGATCCAAAACCGGAGACGGCCATTGACTCGTTTCGCATCAAATCCATGCAAATCCAGGGTGCTGGTGAAGCCTGCTGCGACCTCCACCTTTTCCAGGCCATATAAGCCATCGGCCCCAGGCTGGTCAATGTTCAGCACGGCGATGTGATCAGAACCGGCCCTGCCTGATACGTTGTACTTGTTGCCGCCGGGGCTCCACGCGCTGCGCGACTCTGGAGTTGTGCAGGCAGCATATAGCTTTCGCGACTGGTGATCGAGCCATAGGTGTTCGCACGCTTGAAGGTCGGTGTGCTGGATCCTCTCGCACGAGTAGCCGAAATCTTCAATTGGCAAAGCAGTGTTGCCAAGGCCGAACATGAGCGAGACGGTGTCATGGACATAGGTCTTGTAAAGTACGGACAGCGCGAGAATGAGCAGAGCCCAGCGGAAGAGAAAATGAGCCACAGTGTCCTTGGGACCCTCCGGCTCGGGAGGCGTTGCTGGGACCTTGGAGCTCTTTTCTGAAGGTGCCATGGCTGGTTGGTTATTATATCTGGTCCTGAGGGAGGCAGCCTACAAACAGCGGATCGCGATGTCATCGAGCAGCTCCTCGGCAAAAATAAATAGCACGCCCCCTTTACTCCGCGCATCCGTCTTACTCACACGTGCGCACATTTTGGCGGAGGATTCAAGCGCTAGCTCCGACTAGGACTAGATTAGTCCCCAAATAAGCAGACGGATTTGGTCATAATGAGCGCTGTATCGAGTCCATCATCATGAAATCCGGATGGCCCACTTATAAGAAGTGTAGTTGGAATGCTCCAGGTTTATACACAACATTAAAGGTATCAAGTAGAAAGTCAGTGACATGGCATATTCTTCATAACGGCTTCTCAAATGCCTCACAAGTCGACCAGTGTCAGTAACCGATAGCGGCAAGTTACCCGTAGTTGCGATCTTGAGCCACCTATGTATGTAGCTGGCAATCCCTTCGGGCAGGCAAGTAAACCCATGTTGGACTCAATAAGGTTTTATGATTTTGAGATAAGTATCTGGGAATAAATTATTGAAATCAATTTGGTCCTTGGTCCATTCGTTCCCCCCTTCCTTTCTTCCTTTCTTCCTTTTTTCTTTTTCTCTTTCTTTTTAATAGAAACTATCCAGTCTGAGATGTTGTTTCCGACGCTGGCGTGATCAAACTTTATTACGGTAAAGAGGAAAACAAAACTGGTAGTTCACGCTAAACCCCTCCTCCATCAATTCATGTGCCCACCATAACGGCTACAGAAAGGGCCGGAGGGCCTCTTGTGTATACACCCAAGCTTTTTCCTGTGCTGTCTCTCTGAGATGTCCAAGGACCTTTTCGTTCATACTGGCATCACAGTATTGGTTCACCAAAAACAGCCCAGGACCATTCCCGCCTCGTGTATTCATCGCCCCCGGCAAGTCTGTAGGGACACCCCGACCGCCATATAGAGCGCTTGTGCTGGCAAATAGATGGCGCTGAGCCGATTCCTTGGGGCTAAGTCCGATGATTTTGACCAGAGGCCCAACCACGAGTCGCATAGCCCAATGCATCAGCGAATTTGGCGCCACATCGGAAGTCATGTTGTTCCCAGTGTTGACTTGTCCTGGGAAGGTGTGAACGAAAGTGACATCCTGTTCTTGTTCCGCAAATTTCTCCATGACTAAGGTGTTCATGGCAATAACTTGGATCTGCGATCGGATGGCACCGTAGGCACCCGGCTTCTTCAACTCCAAGTCGTCTACATCAATATCGGCCTTCTCCAAGCCGCCCCCTTTGATGCTGACAACCCGCCCGTTTGTAGAGGCCCTTAGGAGCGGAAGCAGGTGCGTAATGAAGGCCATTCTCGAAAAATGCTGGAGCGTGAAGGTGGGGTCAAGTCCTTCGCTTGTTTCCTTTCTGCCATTGAAGGGCAAGACCCCTGTTGACATAAATAAAAGATCGAGAGTTGTCTCCTTGGATTGAATCTCGGTGCAGATTCTCTTGACATCGGCGAGAAGCGACACTTCTCCGGCAAGCCAGACAACCTCTACACTGGGGTTGATTTGTTTGAGGGTAGCGATCTGTTTGTTGGCTCGCTCACTAGAGGACGGGCGGCCGATGAGGTAAATCCTGGTTTCAACACCTGTTTCAACCAACTCAGAAATAGTGTGTTGGCCTATACCAGATGTTCCACCGACAAAGACAGCAACTTTGGGGAGGTTAGCAGCCTTGAGTTGTAAGTTGGAATGCTTGACAACGTCCAGGGCGACCATGATGACTGTTGTTTTTTGGGCGGGACAAGTAAGATAGTTATATCACTCTTAGAATATAATGAGTAGATTTATGATATAAACAATTAAGAAATAGTTCAACATTGTAATAGAGAAACTGGCTATTGTATCCCAAATTTATGTCGAGCTCATCCAAAGATTTCGGCCATTCGTTATCGATAAGCACACGGCGGAACTCCGCCAGACACACAACCAATCACAGTGGAGATCTCATTGGGCTTCATTCCTGAACCGGAATCAAAGCTATCCTGATTGGCCCGGTCCATTCAAGATGAATCCATAGATTTCATCTCATCTAGCACAAGCAGGTAGTTTAATATGGCCGACAACGTTGAATTGATACAAGAGCGAGGGATTTGCACACTGAAAATGAGTATCAGGAAAAGTATCCAGAATAATTTCTTCCATCAACCAGCGAACATTTTGTTTGTTTCGCATTTACGATACGACATATCACCCCGATAATTAAGAACTTTCGGCACGCTTATAGATTTATTCCTAGTCTACGCCGCCTGAACCATGGTTTCCAACTAGAGGGACGAAGGCTTTGACTTCCTGCTGCGAAACTTTCTCTGAGCATCCAAAGCGAGGATAAGTTGATGTGCTTCGCAAACCAAATTCATATTCTCATCACACAAGGTGATATCCACCCCCATCCTGCCCCCCTCCATCATCTTTGTTTGTGTTCTGGTGAAAACCCAGCGGAGCCCTTCCGCGGGGACTCGCCTTCTGAATCCCAGATTCAGAGTGACCGTCTGACTGAAACTTGGAGCCTTCATAGCTTCCGCAATCGTATTTGTCAGAGGCGCGGGGACACCTGGGTGTTCTTTATCCCATTGCTCCATTTTCTCATAAAATGCATGTGCATTGTACATGCCTTCACCAGTGAGGGAATCACCTACAGCAGGAATGAAATCGCTCAGGAGCCCAAAATAGGTAGCATCCATACGCTCTCCGTCCCGGAAAGAATTCCACGCGTCATATACGCCGGCAGTAGGGAAGCCTCCGCGAGGGTTTAGGCATAAGGAGCGGCGGGTAAAAGGAAGCAGCTCTCCCGAGACTGTAGCAGAAATCCAGTTGGGTTCGGGTTTGTTGGCTTCAACAAGGGCAAAGTTAGGAATCGGTTTTGGTAGTGGATGTAGAGTCCAGTCAGTGGGAGCTGATGGGCCGAGTGTCTTATCAAAGTTGGTCGAGTTGGCAATGGCAATGGCATTTGGACGATTTTTCCCAGACCTTCCGCTCTCCTGGGATAGCTCCAATAGTAGGGTGCATGTACTGGAGCCGGTCCTGAGTATGGTAATCGTGGTGATTGTATCCTTGACCTCACAAGCATGCAGAAACTCAATATGTAGGCTCAGAACATCAGGTTGATCTCGGGCTGCGAGCGTCGGATCTATTGAGAGATGCCTGCGCGCCGCATGCATGAGTACAGAGGCAAGGTGACCGCCATTCAGGGCTAACGTGTGTTAGCGGTGAGCCTCTCAATCTCCATTGAGGTATGGGATGTAGGATTTATACTTTTTCCGACTATCCAATCATGATGCCAGGAAGCAGAATATGTGTTGGAGGAGATCTGCTGTAGATTGATTTGCTTCTGCAGGATTTCAGTCATGGTTAAGGTGGTGTCAGTTTCAAACAACACTGGCTTGCTGGATACAAAACTTTGTCCGTGTTGGGATTTAACTCTCTAAGCTGACGATGAAAGTTATAAGTTTCAAGCAGCCTCGGCTTAGATGACTTAATCAGGGGCCTTTTTTTGCAATTGACCCCCTTACTTGTAGCCTTGGCAACAGCTTATATTTGCATTCACACTAGAAACGACCACAGGTCTATTCATCAACTTTTTAGTGGCGAAGATCATGGATAACAAGCTTCCTATTTAGTCTCTAAATCAGAGAGAATTCTTTGATTTAATCACCTATATTTCGTGTTATTGATTATTCCCCTGCTACGTAAAGGATTGTTCATGCGGGGGTATAGCTGCTGGGCTATAGGGTAGGGTAGGGATGCTTTTCGGTGCCCAAGAGACATGAGCCTGTCTCTTTCTCTTACGCTGACTTATCAGAGGGGGAGACATTCGCCGCCCCCTTTGTTACCCTTGCTAGCGCGACCTCGTGCATGAGGAAGTGGGAGTCACAGAATGCCCAATCGTCTCAGAAGCCCGACCGCGAGGTCAGTGAGGCGGTAGTGGCTGCTCTCTGTGCCAATCATGAGCCGACAAGCAGCGAACCGACGTGGCGCCCGTTCTTCCCACGTCTTCCCCCATCTCCCATCACTTGGACCCTCGCGGGAAAGATCCAGAACCTCTTCATGCTCTTTCTGCAGCTTCTCACCGAGATAATCGAAGCCATCGCGTCTAAAGTTCAAACCTCTGCCGGGGAGCGATCCCCGAGTTTTCCGCCGGCCGGCCACATTCATTCATCCCTTGGTCGCCTCTCCATCGGACCCCGGTGTTTAGTAATCAGACCGCCCTGGCGGTGTACGATCAATCTTTCGAATCAAGACAGTCCTTCGGCTTCAACTCTCATTCACAAATTATGGGCGTCAAGGAGGTTTTGCCCATACTCCAAAGGAACAAGGTGGTGCGGGAGGCCGCCAAAAAGTTCGCGCAGGCCGCCACCCAAGCTGCTGCGGGCAGCCAGTCTCCCGTCGTCAAGCTGATCCAGGCCGGGTACGGCCTCTACAGCGTCGGCAACAGCATCAGCAGGGGCAGCAATGTGGAGGAGAACCTGAACGCTCTGCTCCCCAAGGTCGGCGATGTGGCCGGGGCGGTTATGGAGTTCATCCCTTCCATGCAGGTCATGGGCAAGTGCGTCTGCGACAGCGCCAAGGTCTTCACGTCTTTCAGCTCCATGGCGACGGTGGTGGGCATCGGCGCCAACATCATCGTGACCTACCAGGGCGTCCAGGCCCTCGAGCTGATCGGCGCCCGGCTCCAGGATATCTCGACACACCTCGCCGCCCAGACTGCTCTGCGGGCGCAGAGAGACTTCCCGGCCTATGTGTATAAGATGATCCAGCAGCGGCTGGGCGAGACGATGGATGATGGGGCGTGCGATCACTGGTTCTTCCTCTACCACCCGGACAACGACTGGTATCCCGAGTTCTACCATCTTCTCGAGAAGAACCCCGTTGGACCTCGCTTCTGCGGCTATACCAACCAGATTGATACCGCCTTCGTCTTCATGTTGGCGACAAGACGGCGCCAAGTGGAGAAGGAGAGGAGAGCCCAAGAAGCAGGCAAGTCAGTACGGCCTGTGAGGATCCACCTCCTGATTCCAGCGTACCAGCCCATCCTCCTTGTCGAACCACTCCGAATCCCCAAAGAAATGGGTGACTTTGTTATGGAAGGCCGAATCAACTCAAACAAGGAGTTTGTTTGGTTCAACTTGCCCCAGGAACAGCGACACCACGTCTTGGATATTGGCCTATGGGTTCCCCCGCCTCAAGGCTGGTGCGACTGGGCATTATCGAGCATGGGGCTGAAAGTCCCGCCGAGATTGATGCCACGAAGAGTTATAGGGCAAAGGCAGAAACTGCGGCTAGGCAAAGGAGGAGAGATCGAACAAGTTCAGGGTGTTGACGGGGACGAAGGCCCGTCTGCTGTTGTTGATATTTCTCCTGCTGGGGTAGAGCGCCGTAGTCGCGCGACAGCGTTGGACAGGCGACCCAGAAAACAACGGCGTCGGGCACAAAGCGAGCAGCCTAAAGCTAAATGATGAATGGAAATGACTTCAAATGTTAGAGTTATGAATAATGGTCCGAGGCACACAATTGCCCATAGCAGAATTTGACAGAATATTACTTGGTTCCTATCTATCAAACTGCCTTCTCATCACAAGATGCTTGCACTTAGTCCTTCGAATGTGTAGTTACCAACATGTGGTGATGAAAGATATCATGGGCCGTTCCAGGATTTGGGGAGAAACCAAACGTAGTCGCCCCTATGACCGCATGTCAAGATATAGCTCCGTAACCTTCATGCGTAACTCTTGGGCGATTTTATGCGACATGTGAGAGATTTTCTTCTTCCATTATAGATACGCTGACCCCCTCTGTCCGTCTCATGCGTTCTTGAAGCGCTAGGATGGTCGGATTAGTTCGGAGTCCTGTGTAGATGGCAAGGAAGGCTCCCAGTTGCTTTTGAAGTACTAATTTCTCAACCATGGATCCTTTAATTCTTGTCTCGATGTAGTGCTCGTTTGTAAGCTTACTACGGAGCGAAAGTTCAAAGAACTGCCGCTCAAAGCAATTGGATAGGAGTCGAGAGATACTCTGAGCGTCAGGGTGGTTCGATTTGCCGGCTATCTTAGCAATGGCATTTTGTAGATATTTTCGGTCCTTCTCAAATGTCATGTTTTCTGGAACGGCATTTTGCCAACCTGGTATGTCGGCAATGAAGAGAGGATGATGGATGGAAGCTGGCATTGGGACAAACTGCGCCGTGTCCCAGTCGATTACTCTGTCGACATCGGGTTTTAGTATAGCAGCTCGAGACAAGAGGATTAGCTGGGAACTTACCTGGAAAGTCCTTCATCATCCATCAAAACGTTCCAAGCACTAAAATCGCCGTGCTTGATGGCTGCTCTTGGGAAGGGACCTTCTGGAACGATATCATCTACGGCGGCTCGTCGGTGGAGAAAAGTGATTAGGTCTCCCCAGCCTGGATCGCCTTCCAATGAACGAATAATCGCCAGGTCAACCTCTGACTGTAGCCATCTCTTATAATCAACGGAGCAAGCTTCACACGTACTCGTCAGTTCATCCGCCAGACAATGAACAGCAAGGGAACTCACCACCCCTTGGCACAGGACAAGTCCACATTTCAAACAGGAATACAGCCAAACTGTCAAGTAAACGATGCCTCCTCTGATCCGAAAGCTTATTGGAGTCCCAATAATCAATTGGCTCTCCGCCAAGATACTGAAAAACAGAATATTGCTGCGATTGGCAAATAAGTCTGGGAACCTGGAGCATCGGGCGCTTCTCTTTGAGATATCGAAGAACAGTCGTTCCTCGGTCACTCAGACAAGCTGTGAATTCATTCTTGGCGATTCTGATGCCCAACGTTTCGCCGTTTGTAAGATTTTCAATGAGCCAGACATCGTGAGACGCGCCTGACATTAGGGAATGAGGCTGCGAGAAGTCCACGGCGAAAGCGTTTGAAAGCTCACGGACAATGCCACTCAACTCCAAGGAATCTGACATGATTGAAGATTATTGTGATGATTTTGTGCATTAACTTCTATCTGGCCGTTCAAGGTGTTAGAAATAGCACCTATTTCCATGTCTAATGACGACACCTGATTTCAGCTGGGCGGGGCGATGTGCTGCATGAATAACAATGCTGGACAGGCAACCGAAGGTCTGCATGAATACATACATGCCCATTAAAAACCAATTAGGGGAGTAAGACGGAAATCACCCCTGCTCCATGATTATGACGCCATGACTTTCAGTTGAGGTCGCTAGACGTCACCGATTGAGAGTGTGACTAAGGTAGAGAGCTGGCCCTGTCGTGGAAGTCTGATGGCTAGCTGTCAGGCAACCAACGAAAGAAACAATCGAGAGGAATTAAATAAAAATCTAATTGACCTACCAAGGATGTGATATCTTCGTAATGTAGAGATGGTTGCATTGCTTCCAGTTTGTATGTCCAGCCCTTTTGTCGTATTCTCATTGCTCACTGGCGTTTGACACTATGCAGGTAGAGGGCTACCGTATAATTACATCCGCTGCAGTGAAATAAGGCTCCAGGGAACGGGTCAATGGATGTCAAATAGATTCTACTCCATCTAGAGACCCGGACGGGCCTTGCTCTATCCGAGATAGTCCCCCACCATGGGTGTAGGCAACAAGGAACCCAGATACCACGGGCCAAACTGGGGTACTCCGTCCAGAGAGCCAAAACTGGCTCTTCTCGAAGCCAAAGTCATTGGTTACACTTCACCAAGACAACCAACAATCCTAACTGACTCCACTTCAAACATTTAGAAGGGGGGTAGAGCAGCCAAAACTGGCTCTTCTTAAAGCCAAACCCGTTGGTTACACTCCACCGAGACAACCAACAGTCAAAATCGGCTCCAATCCACACACTTAGACAGGGATATGAGGCAAAACTGGTTACATTCTGGTCACCCCACTGAGACGAAAAATGGTTGTACTCCACCCAGGCAACAACAGCCATTTTTTGCTGTACTCGAAGCCAATCTGGCCTTACGATCCAACAGGGATAGACTTAGAGAGCTAAAATGGCTGTACTCGAAGTCAATCTGGTCTTATGATCCAACAAGGATAACCTTGGAGAGCCAAAAATGGAGAGATGGAAATGGCTCGTATGCGTTCCATGAGGTTTATTTAGGGTTGCCGGTTTCTCGAATATGGATGAACTTGAACAAACGGTTTACTCACCCTTAAACGCCAGCACGAGTCGTGATATCTTAGTAGACTCAATCAACATTGTTATTGTCTCGCCACCTAAACCATTTAACTGGACTCCTCACATTGAACGACAACCGGAGTCATAAGATGAGCACAAATAGCAGCCAGGCGTCCTTGGATTCTGACCGGGAGCAGCATCCGGCCGGAAACAATCCTCCACACGATCGAGGACAATCCCAATCTGATACGCACGGCTCGCGAACCGCTGCTGCTCCATTAGTCTGGTCTGATGGGACCGGCTTTGCATTTACGCCACAACCCAAATTGTCACTTGCGAGAATTGATGCGCTGACACAACGGGCGACTGAGTTTCATCAGCAAGAGCGCCAGGTCCGGTACACGGAATTTGGAGGAAGTCCGGAGAGCATCGGTGCAAGTGCAGCTCGTGACGAAAATACCCGCCATCTCAGTTTCATTTTGTCTATCATCAAAGAGCACAGGGAGACAACGAATGACGGCACTATTGTCGTCTCTGACTTGGAGGTGAAATTAATCACTTGGTTCTCACACGGATTTTCAGGGACCGCACCTGAAGCCCCCATGTGATCCGCCTTTACTATTGGGGCAATGCTCATAGATGATTCAATGAAGGCCTGGCCGGGTCTGGCTGAGTTAGGCCTCAGTCAAAGGTGCTCTCCACGAAGATGCCAAGCAGCACTTGCCTTGCTGATGCGGCTAAGCACTAATTACGGACAACATAGTTTCACCTAGCATACATAGGAAGAATTATTCTTTTTCGCCTGAAAAATTTAAAATTGACGATCACTCTCCTCTACGTCTTGTCATCGCGATTACCCAAGATAAATTTGGTCTCTTTGGATATACTATGCATAAAATGATTGACTGATGTAACATAGATCTACCTAAAGCATTTTAAAGTATCTATGGAAAAAGAGGATTTCCTTCAAAGACACATAGTTTAATGTCATTCTCCGTACATTCAACCATTCGTATATGACTGTAAATGGATTTGGAGAGGAGCTGAAGTCCCATGCATCTGTCCCTAATGTACAGTTTCACATAGCCACATGCAGGCTTGTTTCTCGGCGTTACCTCCCAAATGATGATCTCAATATTGAGAGGTGGCCAGTCTAAGCCACAAGCAGACTCTGCAATTCTGACTTCCAGGAACTTTTCACGTCGCTCGTTGTATTCCAAAATCTGACGCTTCAATCTGCAATGTTACCAATGTCTTACGAACTTACGGCCGAGGTCTGAAGAATACGGCCGTGATATGAGAATTGTGGGGCAATCCAGAAGATAAACCTCACCCTGAATTTCCCACCAACTAGAAACCGTCCTGAGTTGGTTTGGCAGCCTACGGATCTCTTATGTGAAGGGGGGAAAAGCCGGGGTAACCCAAAAAGCCTGAAGGAAACTCTTTTTGGCCCCACGCGACTTGGCATTCTGACACTGTCGTTAAGGTTTAACAGGCGGATCTCTTATCTCGGCCGTGATTAGGTACTCTAATCAGCGTTGCCCACGTGTGCTTACACACCTATGACTTGGAAGACTGCTATATATTTAAGCTGCAGGATTTCGCAGAGGCTTCTTGCTGACTTTCACAATCATTACTACGATTGCGATTTCGAGCAAGGAAAAAATACCTGCCCACAACATGCCGATTCCTACCATAAGCTTCGCTCGTGAGTTCCAAACCGCCGCCCCGTTGTAACGCTCAGAATTTCTTAATTGATATTTTCCATCGACCAGCAATCTTTGGCAATGATGATGTCTCCAGAGCCCGAGTAGTAGCTCAGGTTCGAGACGCCTGTCTAAAATACGGTTTTTTTCAACTTGTCGACCATGGAGTTCCGCAGGACTTGTTTGACGAAATGATCAAGCAAAGTGCGAGCTTCTTCAGTCTGCCAGAAAATGTGAAGGAGACCTATAGTAAAGGTTGGTTTCTGATGCCAAAGGAGAAATGTGTGTCCGCGCGCTCATAAGTTGCTTAAAATGGCAGATCAAGACAAGTTCCAAAGGGGGTATGAAAGACTTCGTGCACAAAATTTCGAGAAAAGAACGGCCGGAGATTTGAAAGAAGGTTACTACTTTGGAGCAGATCTTCCCTTGGATCACCCGAGAGTTGTCGCGGGGAAGTTTAACATGGGCCCTAACAAGTATCCGAAGGAGGTTACGGATCCTGTGAAGTTCCAAGAGACCATGGATGCATACTATAAAACCATGCTTTCTCTTTCAAAGACCATCCTCCAGGTTTTATGTGAGACAATGGAGATCTCCAACGAATGGATGTCGGAGTTTCTAGATATCCCTATAGCCACACTTCGATTGCTACACTACCCGCCGCAGGCTCCTGATGCATCGGAATTTGAACGAGGTATGTGTATATTCCCGATATTATGCACCTAGACTGTGGCTAAACTGCCATTCACAGGTATCGGACAGCACACTGACTTCGGTGCTGTAACCATACTTTTACAGGATCAGATAGGCGGCTTGCAAGTCTGGGACAGGGACGCTTCAGCCTGGATTGATGCTACCCCTCAGCGAGGAGCATTGGTCATCAACCTGGGTAATTTGATGATGAGATGGACGAATGATCGCTACCTATCGAATTTACACCGGGTTATCAACAACTCTGGACAGCAGCGGTACAGCGTCCCATTCTTTCTTGCTGGGAACCCTGACTTCCTCGTCAAGTGCTTTCCGAAGTGTGCAGCTGAGATTGAAGGTCCAAAATACGCTCCCGTTACGGTTCAGCGGTGGATGCAGGGGCGTTACGCGGATACATATAACACCTCACAAGATGAGGCCCTTGGAGAACTCTCGCTGAGCGAAGCTAAAGCTGGAATGGCCTAGGTCTAGGCAGCATACATGATATTGGTGGTGCAACAATTTGACGTCGAATTTTGGTTTGAGGAAAGGAGAGAAATACAAATTCTTGCTTGCTTCTCGTATATGCCCCTTTAACGCTGTCCTTTTTTAGTGTAGTTGCAATTATATCCGTAACTCATCGGCCAACAGCAACGTGAGAGAACATGCTCCAGGCGAACTCAGTGCAGACCTTCTCCAAACCGGCCATAATTCAGCCCCGCCACTCTCCTCCTACCGATAGCCGATTTAAAAATCATTAGGACGGTCAGATGTTTTCGTCAGAAACCCTCTTCGCAGACACCTCGGTGACATCTTTTGTACCCGAACCCCTACTATCTGATGCCTGGAGGGCTTCAAGCGATCCTGCTGATGGCTTCATGTTACGTCTTTCTTTCCAAGTTAATCCCTCTGTGTCAAATATGACCGCAATTTCTTCGAGTGTGAATCCTTTAGTCTCAACGAAGAAATACCAGACGACAAGTAGCTGGTTAAAGGCGTTAGTATGAGTACAATTTTATGGTGAAAAGATGCTATGTATCAACTTTACCTCGAGGAAAGTATAAACAATATACGCGATGTAATACTTCCATCCGGCATTTTGCAGACCGATGGGGTTGACAAACGTGCCAAAGAACCCAAAGGCGTGCATGACACCTGTCTGAAGAGTAACACCGCGCGCTCTGATGTTATATGACAAGGTCTCGGCGGGATAGGCCCAGAGAGGTGTCCAGCCGATGTCATAGGCACCATTACTGAGGAAAATAGCAACCAGGACGCCGGTGGCGTATCCAGACCCGCCTCTCGTCGTAAAGACTAGAGATAGGTTAGTTGTTGTAAGTACAAATCAGACAGTCAGGATGCAGTCATGGCTTACGGGCAGCAAAGGTTGTCCAGAGGATGAATGCGACAAACATCCCAGCTGTTGAGGCAATGAACAGCTTTCGTCTGCCGACTTTTTCGACAAACAGAGAAGCGGTAGTGGCGAGAACGAAGTTGTATATGGAAAGACAACCGTTGATCGTGACTTGGGTTGTCGTGTCCGTGATACCGATGCTGACAAGTACGGCATGCAAGTAGTACTGAACAAGGCCGTTACCAGAGATCTTGTAGAAGAAGAGTCAGTAAGCGATCACGAATGGTATCAGTAATAGATTCACTTACTTCAATGAACAGACCAGCGAAGAAGACGATAATAAGACGGCGTCTATTGCCGGCAGTACGGACCAAGTCGAGCCAGCCACTCTTCTCTTTGATGGAGGCGTCGCTTTCAATACTCTCTTTGATCTCACGATATTCCAGCTCAACGAAAGAATTCCTTTCGTCCCCGTTGGCGTGATGCTTCACAAGAATATCTCTAGCCTGCTTGCCACGGCCTTTAGAGATAAGCCAACGAGGGCTCTCGGGAACAAACCAGATTAGCAGGAGTTGCAAGATAGCTGGGGCAGCCTGGAGGAGGCTAGGGATTCTCCATGACCATGCATTGTCAATCTTGTGAGTTCCATACGTAACCCAAGCAGCGATGATAGCACCAAGGTACCAGGAAGTTGGATAGTATGAGATGATGGCACCTCGATGCTTAGGAAGAGCAAGCTCGGCGAGAAGAAGCGGAGCACCCACCACCGTGAAAGCGAGACCAAAGCCAATCAGGAATCGAGAGATGACGAATTGCGCGAGATGGTGAGATGAAGCCTGGAGGATGGCACCGACGATGGTCCAGCTTGCGCCAAAAAAGATTGAAATGCGGCGGCCGAATTTGTCCACAACTGGGGTGATCAAAGGTAGGGCCAGCATAGCCCCCACGGTTTGGATAGAGTTCAAGAGGCCCAGCACCGGACCTTGGGGATAGTTGAATTCTGCCATCATCAGTTCGCAAGTTTTTAGATATGTTTCGGTTGTATTTACATACGGGATTGCCACGATGGCAGAATTTGGAGGCCATTCATGATCATGCCATCGAAGCCCTGATAGGAGCTGCTCATGATGACAATGGGGAGCCATAGATACAAGGATCTCAGGCCTTTGTCGTGTATCCACGACGGTAGGAAAGACTTCGACATCTTGGGTAGTTCTTCGACGTATTGGTAGACTGGAAGGCAGAGACAAGTGGCCAGTTGCAGATGATTCAATCAAGGGATATCATGGCTGTTTCGAAGGCCGGGAGAGTATTTAATGTTCTCATCAATCTTTTGATTCAACTATTTTCCCATGTGAAGTCTAAGACTAAGTCTCATGAGACCGTATCAAATGTCAAAGAGGCTTTTAGTTCAGCACGCCTTCTCCATGGCTTCTTGCATTGTTGAACTATTCACATCGTCAATCCAAGGTCAGTATATACTTCAATCTAGATACAGCTAGACAATAGGCTACTATTCACCCCTAATTGAAGAACGTAGCTTAGCGCACGGAGCTGAGTTGTCCAAAAGCATCTGCCGGAGTTGCATGGTCGTCGTGCATAGGGGAGTGGGGCTAACGTCAACGGAACTCCGTGGTTAATCTAGAGCGAGAGTTTTTTATACCATTATTCCCAAGGAATTATTTAGACTCTGCGAGTATATTATCGTTAAACTAGTGATTTTCTTTCATCGGAGTTGCAGCATGGGTCAGCCCACTAGGAGTTTCTTGTACCACTTGCATCTGCCCTCCGAAGATTTCAATTGCATCTCCATATTCTACAGGAGAGCCCAACAAAGTCTGAGTGGTAATCTCCGCAATTGGATTCTCGTGTGGTTTCCATTTAACGTATGATGTACCAGATACAATATTATACTTCCAGCGTACCCGTGGACCACACTTCAATGCGCTCGTCCATGACAACTTCACTTTCCTAGATCAAGATATTTTCTCTACATCTTCCGCATGATGCCATCCACCACACAAGAGCCGTACTCTCTACCGGGACACGATAGCTTGACTTTGGGGTACAAGATTTTGACTGTATCCAATTTCAAGGCTGCTGTCATGAACAACGAGCAAGGCCCCAAACTAGATCCCAGGTGTCACCCAAGCCCAGGGATATACCGAGCTCGGGAACTTGTCGAAATTACCTCACCATTACTTGAATCTATCCTTCAAGGACTTGGGAGTGACGATAGTACAGAGTTGCTATCTCCAAAGGTTCTAGTTGATGGGTTAGCTGCCAGCTTGGCAGTCACCGGACGAGAATCGACACTACCTTTGTCCTACGGCAGAAGTGACACCTCCAGGAGAGAAATCTCAGAGCAAGCCCAGAAAATTGGAGAAGCCCTCGTGTGCTATGCAAGAGAGTCCATCCACAACGACAGTTCCAAACAGACGCCCATCAAGCTTTACAGCCAATGCGAGGGTCATTTGTGGACCCCGCAAGTCGCCGGTCTCTTGCTTGGTCCTCGAAGCAATGCACAATTGATGCAGCTCTATAATGAATGGCTGCATCGAATCATTCTTCTGCGTGATGCTTTATTGCCGTTTGAAAACTTCGCCGAAGTTCTTCTGGTCATCCCACCAACAAGCAAGCATGGCTTAAGGGATTTCGAGGAACCCCGTAAGGAGTTCCTCCTCCAGTGCTTGACAGGGAGAATCTCACAAGCCGCAATCGTCGACGTGGCGAAGTTCTTCACCGCAAGGAATCTAGCATCTGGTGGGTACGGCATTCAGTATTCCCAAGGTCTGATCTTGCCGGCGTTTCTGTCTTCCTCATCGTCTATCCATCTCCTCCGGCATCACCCGGCCCGTCTGGATGACTCTCAAGTCGATATCTTATTCGATTACGAACACCCGGTCTACTTTGACGCTGAAAGGAGCGACCTACCTAAAACAAATAACAGCTTGCCCCCTGGTCACTGGCCACCTGCATCTCTCCTCGCTCTTAACCCACTGGTGACAAAATCATCATTTGGTGTCCATAAGGCAAATGATCCATCCAGGCGAGTTCTAAAGCTTGGAATCTCCCTTGATGGTGCTCAGCCCTTCGCCATTGATATCGGTCAGATTGCCAGAGGCCACAGGTACGCTTACAGATGCAACTCCGGCGAGGAGAGGAAGAGGCCATTTCAATCAGATGAAGCAAAAGAGCCCGTTTCACAAAAAGCCACACGCAATAACAGCAAAATAAATTTACTTCATGTCTATGATACTGCTAAAATTCTTGGTCTTCCAGGGTTTGTTACCACTGACGGGGAAAGCCGTTCAGACGATCTGCATCTATTCATGGCAAAGGACCCTCTGATTCAAATGGCGCTCCTTGGCAAGCTTTACCCCGAGAATGTAATATTAATAGACGAGGATGATGATCCTGATAAAGCGCTGAAGGTTGGGAAGGGATTTGGGGGTCGGTTAGTCGTCATCCAAAGCAAGCGGAGAAAATGCTCAGAATAGGTTTTACCATCATTAAGCAGTAGGTTCTGGTTAGTATTCAAACCAAATGCAAAGATGAAAGAAATATCAAATATTAAGACTCTCTATAAATGTTAAAGCCAGGATTTCTGGTTCCCATATTTTGATCGAGATAAATCTACCACCATCCGCGAGTATTGGTCAGGATCTGTAGCATATGAGTACCCAGCTATTTCGCCAATACTTAGGCCCTCAACTGCTGTCCCAATTTCCAGCTTCTCTCTTGCGGCTGCTTTGACGTTCATTGACAATTTCTTGGAGGTCCACTCGCTGGCTGTCTTGGCTCTCCATAGGTCAATAGCTGCAGGTAGAGGAGATTGGAAGACAAGTTCATCGTCTAGAGATTCGAATAAACGAGGGTCCTGCCTTCCGACCCTGCATGATAAGGAGTTGATACTATTAACAAGCAAAATTGTTCGACGAATCGTCTCTGAAAGAGCCCATGATTCCCATGTTTCTTGCGGAGCACAGAGAATTTTGGTGGTCTGAGTTCGGGCCAAGTATCTTGTCATCTATAGAAATATAGTGAGTTTCTGGATAACCCTCTATGAAAAGCAGTCGGTTCAAATCACCCTTAGCAGCCATGGCTGTTGAAGCTGTGCCAGCAAGACCTGTTCGGGGCTTTTTCCAAAGAAGCCCACAATTTGATAGACACACATGGCGTGCACAGAGGCGAGTACCCAGATATCAGGCTTCGAGCAAATGTTTGGCTACCTTCGTTAGCAAGATTCTCGATCGCAGCTCATGAAAATTACCCCAACGTACAAAGTCTTTGATCAGTTTCTCGCGTTCTTGATTGATCATTGAATATGCAAACTTTTCACTGCTGCGCATCGCGGCATTATACGAGCCCAAGCAGCAGAATGCTATTGCCAATGGCGCGGTGACTTCTCCTTCAGAACAACGGTAGACACTCGGATGTACAAAAGGTGGGTATGTTCCGGCCTTGAGCATCATTTGAGGAAATCCGTAGATATATTCCATCCAACTCTCGTCATTTCCCAAATCTTCAAAATGCCCGATACTGGAGACTTCAGGATCAAGATTCGGCAGCCTGCTGAGGGCAAGGTTCGGACTACTTAGCTCTCCGATTTCTGTTTCCACTCTCAAAGATGTGTTTATTTCTTGATCAATATCAGGAAGTTCGTCCCAATTCAAGGGCGGGTACCAGGTGAAGCTCTCAAATCGAGAATCCCCCGCCGCTTGGCTTTCTTGTGGTAAACCGCCGGTCGAAGGTATCCCGAAAGATTCTAGCAAGTTTATTCCGGAACCGCTCTGTCCTTGATTAAAACTCGGATGTGAAATAAAATATAAATTCTCTTCAGCAGCTCCAGAAATGGCTCCTGGGGGGTCTGGAATCCAATGTAGATTCCCAGCGGGTTGAATAGCCACATCGTTCGTATTATCATAACCTGAGTCTTTAACATGGTGAGAATCTACGCTTGAATCAGCTCTGAATCGTGGATTCGAAGGATATTCAATTTACCATGATGCTCCACCTGATTAAGAGTCAAGATTGACTGAGCCGAGTTCATGGCATATTCACAGTCAATGCCTCTTGATTTACAGCGAGAACAACAAGGCTGCAGTTGGTCGCAGCCAGCTTTGGACTTGACACAGGCTCCGCAGGATTTTTGCTTTCCTTTTCGTGGTGTCGTAGCAACTCGCTCGCACCTTCGCCGATGTCTTTCCCGCAGGTCCCCTACTTCGTTTTTAGCTCAATCCGCATGAAAGGAAGTGAATGAATCTAAAATTTACTTCGGCTGAAGCACTTGCCACATAGGCTGCACTGGTACTCCATGTTTTCATCTGCTGTTATGCTTCTGCTCATGTTATATCGCTCGAGCTCTGTCTCCGGTTGTATCATTACCGGAAGCATATAAATGGACGCCTTAGCTTCTTATAGTCAGTCTAGACCACCCTCGTCGTGATCGCGTCATTGCCCATCAGTCTTGCATCTTTGCGCCACCAATTAACCAGCCAATCACGGGTTAGCTTCGTTACCAACAATGCCAAAGCACCAATATGGAAGAGCCATTGTGATATTCTATACTGATATCAAGAAAAGCTCAATTCATTCGTACTGGCAAGCTGCTGAGACTACAATGACTGATATTTCCTTGTAGGTATATACCCAGAGCTTCTCCAGGTCAAACACGTTTTATGCCAGTACATCACAAGGTTGCATTAATCCTAAACAACACTTCAAAGCATGTCTGGGTTAGGTACTAAGTTCAGGAATCTCTAGCACACGAGAGTCGTTGATAAAACAGTAGGGACACAGGTGGGATGGCATTGGCCCCAGGGATATCGCAATCATCTAATCTGGAAGCTGACGATAATCGAATTTAGGGTTCGCCCAATATCGCTCGGCAATGGGGTGCAAGCGCCCCTAAGTTTATCCGTAGTCATGGTTCCAGGCAAACGAAGCTTGTGTTCAACTTCATGATTCTTCATCCAGCGTGACTCCCTTGATGGACTTGAATTGTTTTCGCCCTTCTGTGCAGCCACACTCTCGGGCCAGGTCGCATGCTCATGTTACTTTATAACGATTGATGTACACATCCATGGTCCCGGTATCTGGAGCCATTTTCCTCAGGCTCCCATGTCGAAGCCGCTAATCGGCATTAATTGAAAGTTACGAGATGCTTACATGATTTATCCCAAGTTCGATGCCTATTCTCATGCGTACGTCAGTTGAATGATCCACCCGCTCGCCAACGAATGTCGCAAATTCAATTGAATCATACGCCGCGTGAAATGCAAGTGAGTCCATCTTCCGTACAAGATTATAATTGATCAGGATGTCTGTTCCACCATCGTTGGTGTTGGAAGGGTTGTTATTGTCATTGCTGGGGGGATCGTGGTTCAGCAGATTATCCAGTCTGCCATCCGGAACCACCGTCGCTGCTCAACCTCGCGGAATTGACCGATGACTGTCGTGAGTATCGGATCGTCGGCCTTGATCAGAGCGTCGTCATCGTTTATCCCATGGGGGTACCTGACCCGTGAAACCAACAAACTTAAAGGACAGGCATAAACGCCCAGAGAATGAGAAAGTTTTACTTCAAGGTTTTCTCTTTGACAGTCTCGTACTCTCGAAACTCTACTCAAACCCAAAACAAAAAAGATTTTCTCATAAATCACCTTCCCCTACTACTAGAGAAATTTCTTCCTTGTTTCTTCCACATTCACCGCTGCGGCTACTTTGTTCATTCACCATCGCTGCTACTTCAATCGCTATTGTTGACACTCACCCTCAAACAACAGCAATAACAGCAGCAATAATAACAACAATAATAACAACGACAACAAGATGACATCCCGCCGCGCGTTAAACAAAACTGACGAGTCAACAGCCTCGGCATATTCGTACTCAACTTCTCTACAAGAGGACATTCGGCTTACAAACGCTCTAATACAGCAACTAGGTGACGCACAAGATGACTATCTTCAGGGCGACGTCCCTACCTCAGCTTTGTGCCGTTTACTGTCCCTACGATCAGAATACACCGCGTCTTCATTTGAAACGACAAATCAACAAATGAAAGCCCCATTCAGAAAAATTGGATTCGGACAATGTGGGATTATTTACGAGCAACCTAACAGAGGCTACGTACTGAAGCTGGCAAGAAAATATTTCGAAGATTCTTTGCTAGGAGACCTTCGAGCGCATCTCCGCGTCTACCAAGCCCTGGCTGACTACCCGACCGATTGTCGGATTCCATCGGTCTACAAATATATCACGGCATCTAATTCGTCGTGGTGGGAAGCAAACTCCCACTTCTTTACGGCCCAGGATGAGCTTGAATTGCCAACTATGGCACTGGCCACTCAGCACATCTTGCCTCTGCCAAAAATCGTTCGAACGGCGTTGATTGATCTCTACTGCCCCGAGGAGCACAAGGCTGCGGTGACGGAAAATCCATCAAACCAAGACTGCCTTGCTCGAGTCTACCTGGGCCGAAGTCGTGTGCCCAACGCACCCAAGTCTCCTAACTTTACGCTCCGGAATTTCAATCTTCATCTTGATCAGATGATGGAGCTGAAACTGCCCATCGTGGATTATTCTAGGGCTATTGGAGAGGCGCTGGCCGTTATCCACTGGCGTGCAAATATCGATGCATATGATATCGAATTTGTCCTCGGAAGCGAAGCGGAGGCAATCTACCGTCCAGAACCGACCACCGCGCCTCAAGTCCGAATGAAGGCAGAGGAAGTGGAATCAATGTCTACGCATACAGATATTGATGAAATCGTATCCGTCAACTTCAAACAACGATCAACGAGGCTCTGGGTTTTGGACTTCAACTTGTGCTCAAGATGGGACATGGCGCAGGTTCTTGAATCTGGCGGCGAGGATAAGCTTGTTGGGCACCTGGTTCAGGCATTCTTTGAAAATGACCCGTACTATCCAAGGCCCATAAAATCGGGAGCAAATGACGCAGATAAGGACCAAGTCCAAAATGAACTTTGGGAGGTATTTTGTTCAGCCTACCTAAACAAATCAAAAGCTGTCCTGGCCGGTTCGACTACGGGGGGAGAGCAGAAAGAACGCCTTCTAGAGCTCCCAAAGAGTTTTATTGCTAGTTGCATCGCCGGCGCTAAATGTGGCCGAGTATCAGATAATTATAAGGCTGTCGATAACCTGTGACGTGAGTTCAGAAAGGACAAGGCTTTAGCCAACCCACACAGCTGTAAGGAAACATTTTGGGGCCACATGCGACACGGCCTCCTTGACACACGATGACCTATGATATCGCAGGCTTCATACGAGTCTTCACCTAGGTAGCACTAGCCCGCGTGCATTCTGGCGCATTAATTCAAACCGTTTTAAATATTATGAATAAATCCAGCTTAGTTGAGCGTTGCGAGACAGATGCTGCAGTTAACAAAAGGTAGGAACGGTATTATCCCAACTCGAAAGGAAGACAGATGGGATGAGGATATACAACCTTCACACAGCAAAACTATCTCAGACTCGCTGATCAAGGCACCACGTTAACTGCTTGTAGAGTCCTTTACGTAGTATAAAAACACAGCTCCCCTATTCGTTGTGATGGAATACCTTGAAAAGGTTGATCTGCAGAGTCATCTCGCATCTTTCCCTCCGTAGACGCGAGAATGACTAGTACGCCCTTGAGGGCTTGTGCTTCATGCATGAGAACGGATTCATACAACAGACCTCATGCCTACTGTGCTGAGACCAGCGACTAGCTAACTAGCTTCAGGGGGAACATCCTTATGTCGGAGCCGCCACCCACATGGTGGACTAAGATAAGGAGCTTGAAGATTTCCAAGAGTGTAGGGAGGACCCAAGGCTTGTCATCTCTGATAGGTTACCTCACCCTAGAGGTTCTCAATAACGAAGGTGCCTCACACGCGGTGAGGACCACCTGTTTAAGGACACGGCCGGTGGACGGGTTGTGGGCAGCAATTGGATTTAAGCTTCCCACGAAGGGTATTCCAGGACGTTGAAGGCCTGGCACCAGCGGTAGAGCATCCCCCACTTCACACTCCAAACACTTGGGAGCTAATGATTCTCGCAGGGTGAGAAGATGATAGATCATAGCAGCCCCTGATTTTGAGACCCTCCGCTGCGCAGGGCACTATCGTCTCGATAGTTTGCTTGGCATTCTAGATCTTCGGTTGCTCTCTGGATTAGCTAATCATTTTCCATGGACCCTGGAGAAAATCGATCCAGACTGGATTGATACAGGTGTGCTTGAGAAGCGTTCAGACTCAGTCCATTACACACAAACACCAATTACGGAATGGGAGGCAGGAACATGGAACTTGTCTGGGCCAGGGGTAAATCTGTAGCATTAGAAAATTAATACAGGATGAAGCCGTCAGATAGCAAGCTAATCTGACCGACCTGATTTGAGTTTACTAGGCCAACGCATGAAAAATGTTTGAAAGAAAATGTCAGCAAGTCGTGCCAAGTTTATCCGCATTCGCTCTAGTGATGTAGGGATTCTGCCATTAGGCCACGCTTGGTGGAGCAGTCGAAAAGGGGGGCCCAAGCGAGGACTCTGTAATTATTATGTAGGCTGCTGCGAGCGGTTTGCGGATCTTTTCAATTAGCAAACGCCCCAGAATGGATCCAGCCTGCTTCACTCCCAATAGCACAATGGGCGCCTCGGGACGAGTGAGGCCCGCCCAGATGCCGGCTCTTCCATCTCATCCCTCAGGAGGAGATAAGAGCAGTGAGACGGGGTGGCTTGGCTGCATTCGTAACCCTGGCCGGAGCTTGCGTCAGCTAATGGCCACTGGCGTGAGATGTCAGCGTCCTGAAGCACTTAGGCGAGCGTAGTATACATCCACCGAAACCAATAGCGTGAGGCCTCGCGCTTGAGACTGACGCGGGAAAAGAAGCAAAAAAAAGACATACAGAAGGAGAAAGGGAAACAAGAATGAAATGCCAAGACCCGGTTCGAGACTCGCGGTGTGACAACTCGGCCCATAAAGCCTATTCCCACCAAAGTACTGTAGCCAAGATATCAGACGGGCCTTTGGTTAATTAAAACTCTTAGCAGAAGCCCTATTCGGCTCCACAGGGCTGGGCGTCAAGATCTTTGGTTGATTCTGACAGGCAGAGCAAAAAATAGGTCCCACTGGCCCCTTCAGCTGAGAATATGAGCATTTGTGATTGGCCTGTCACTAAAATGAGCGTACCATGTCATCGCTCGGCGCCGAGAACCCAACGATCGTCACCGTTGCGTTGTGTCAAAGGTACATACACGCCTCATGAGACACAAAGATCAGCTACTTGGTTTACTGCCAGGGGTCACCAGAAGGATCGGGACAGTTGCTCTCAGTGTCCTTTCCCGGTCATACCGCCTCCTGTCTCTAACACGCGGCGCCCATGGCCAGGCAGATAAGCTACAATGGGGCAGTCAGACTGATTTCCGCTGTAGATACACGCGTACGTAGCATGGTATCTCGCCTGCACACACACACAGCCCACGAGCGCTCCTACTCGTTCCATGTAGGTCCACGTCTCCCTCCCTCAATACGCCATGTATATACCGAAGATCCCTCGCTATAACTTGTTAAAGGTCCCTATCTACCAGATATTCACACGTGGATCGATACATTGCCCTACCCCTGCTCATGGGTACCTGTCAGGCATCGTAGCGCCCAAGCCAATCTGAGTCAGCTCAAGGAGGATGCATGCATCGTAACATTCTTCGCGTGGGATTGCCCCTTTGTAATCGCAAACAGAAGTCGTAACAATGCATGCGGCGAGCTCATATGAGCCGCTTATGTCGAGCGCGGCGTAAGATGCGACCAGTGATGCGATCCTGTCGACTTTGACGAGCTGGTACGCCTCTCGCAACTGATGAGCCATGAGCGCAAGAATTTCTAATTAGCGGCCCGCATTGGTTCGGTACTAAGACTCTCCATAATTACCCAGTTCCTGTACCCCGAAACGTTCAAGCCCCCCTGGATCGGGGTTCTGGTATTTCCTAGATACCCGCTCATTTCAGGGCCAGACCCATGTACCGACCTACCGTAACCATATCGAGATACCAGGCATTAGAATTTGAGAATAGCGCACGCTATCAGCAGTTTCTCGCTTTCCCATTCGCTTTCGAAAATAGTATCAGGGCATTATTGAAGATGGTGTGCACCGGATGTGCCCCTCATGCCGCCCTCAGACCCCCCCCAGACACACATCCTGATGCTACGTGGGTAGATAGATTTGGGCTTAGCCTGAAGTGAACTCGTATTCATAACCCGCACCCGTAGCCAGATTGCCTTCTTGTTTTCTTTCCGTCTTTTGACCCTCGTTTTTCTTCGTTTTTGTGCATGCTGGAAGTCCCTCTTTTTACCTCTCCACCAGCAGCAACTGTTCATCATGCGAGTCACAAACCAGTATGCCCTCGGCCGATGGGGCACAGCTTGGGGATTCCGTATTGCTGCTGCCGTCTCCATCCTGGTGTTATTCTACCTGGCCTTGTCCTCTAGCCTGTCGAAGTAAGTTGATTATTTTCTCCCCTCGCCGGTTCAGACAGGTGGGCTATGTGCTAATACGAACTCCGACAGGGAGTTGCTTGGCACCGGGCATTGGACCGCACCATCGCCCAACGATTCCAACTCTAAACACACGGCCGAACCCGTCTCGTCGTCGTTAGCAGAGCCCACTCAAGTACCGCAGTTGGACTCGCCCGCTGCTCCAACGTCGATCATCGAAGTGGAGGTGGAGGCCACCTCGACGGCGATCATCGAGCAGCCAAAACCAACGTTCATCGAGAGTACACACGTCAATAAGAACCTGGACCTGCCTGCCCTCCTGGCGCAATTGTGGAAGCCAAAATGCCACCCGCTTGAGAATCCCGTTTTCATCACCAACGAGGGCGTCCGCTTTGAAATCCCCCCAACCAGCAGATTTGGACGAAACCGCTTGGGAACAAGGTGGTGGTCATCGATGTCGACACACGAGTTAGCGAGGACAATGAGAACACGCTGCTGAACCCCAACCCGTTTGACTTCACGAAGCTTGGTGGAAGGACTGGTGGCCATCTGAACCACTATCTCTATGGTGAGTGGAAGCAAAAGAATGACCATCTCAGGAGGAACGTGCAGGCGATTGCTAACTACCACTAACAGCATTGATCCACGGCTATGACTACCGACTCATCAAGGCCGCCGACTACCCCGATAGACACGGTACCTGGGTCAAGGTCAGCATTCTCAAGGAGGCTCTCAAGACGCACGACTACGTGGTATTTCTCGACGCCGATGCCGTCATCACCCACCTCGAGCTTCCCGTCGAGTGGCTCATGAACCTCTGGAACTACAAACCCCACACCCTCATCGCCATGGCCGAAGATCTGGACATCCCGCCGGACTACGACCCCCAGGGCAAGATCATCCTCAACACCGGATTCCTCATCGCGCAGGCCAGCGAGCGGACGAACCAGATGATGGACATGTGGGAGACGTGCCCCGAGAAGATCGAGGGCTGCAACCACTGGAAGCACAACTGGGCCCACGAGCAGTCGGCCTTCTCGTACTACATCCGGTACAACTTCACCGAGCCCGACGAGGTGCGCAACATCCCGTGCGCCCACGCCAACGGCAACGAGTACTACGAGGAGGGCAAGGGCGCGTGCCGGGGCCACTTTGTGAGCCACAACTGGCAGACCAAGGAGAAGACCGTGAGCATCCTGCAGAGGAGCGTCATGAGGATGCTGGTCGACCGGCTGCACAGCCACTTCAAGGACGAGCAGCACACGCTCTTCGTCAACGGGTCGGCCACTCCGTATCCGATCCAGGGACTTCATATTTAACGAGAGCGGGCGATTTCTTTTTAACGTTGACTGTAGATTTTACATGTAATGATTGCATATAGAGCTTTTTTCTTTTCTTTATGAAATATTAATGCATACAAAGTCCAACGCACAATAAAATACATACTACTTGATAAATCAGAAGCATTTCTTATTACTCCGATTCGTCCGTCTGTTCTTCACACCGCTTACTCCAGGTCCAAGAGAGCTCGCGTGAAGAGCAATTCCCCCATGAGAGCGACATATGCAAGGCGACCTGAGAACAGTCTCGGATGTACCCCAGACGAAACATACAGCTGCCATCTTTCTGAGCAAAAAGTTTCAGAACTTAGCTGATTGGCCTGTGACTGAATAATGAAACAGTAAGAGCCGATATGCGAGAATCGGTGCATGGATCGGTCTCATGCGTTGATCCAACGAACATTCCACAAATTCTGACACAATGACTGTTCAATTTCCTATTGCGGAAAAACAAATTGTAGCACGTTTGAACATATATTCTTATTAAGGTTTCTCAACTTTCTTTATCTTCGGCTGCCGGTTTATGTGGCTTGAGGTGTTGGCAGCGCAATTAATAGAAAGTGGGTTTAGGGTAGGTAGGGTGAGCACGGCGGACTTGGATCTGTCTCCCTGATTGCTTCTAGCATCTGAGGAATGATCAAGTATCGTAAAATCATCCCAACGTACAATTTGACTTAGCTATCTACCTAAATTATTAATGGCATTTAAAGATATTGTAGAGGGGAAATTATTGGGCTGTATGTGATCCACCTACTTTATGGATGCATGTATGCTGAGAACATGAGAGATTCTTTCGGGCCCTCCTCGAATACATCTTCCATGCTACCCATTATTATCCCATCACACTAGAGCATTCACAGAAACTATCAAATGAATTCCCTGTCATTAAATTAAAGTTGAGAACTGAGCTTCATCCCACGTGGTAGATCGATCAACCCTAGCGGCAGCCTTGTCACTGACCGAAACTCTCCATACGACCCCTGGAACTATCAATGGCAAATGAAAGCAAAATTCTCGGTATCTGAGTCCACGAAGCCTGAAGATCGACAACGAAGAGGGATAAAATCCTGCATTTTCCGAGGTTACATGCGGAGAACGATAGGCGGTCATGTGTCCCCGCAAACCGGAGATGATGGCGGTGGGGATGATCAGCTTCTGAATTGCTCTTTGAGCAGGCATGCTCCCTTGACTCCCCACATTGACAAGGGCGATGAACTCAGTTACTGGACCTAACACGACGGATTGATGCGGGGAAATTGGGTCGGTCCTTTGGTTGTGGGCGGATTACGTCCGACTACGGCGAGGTTTCGCATTTGTTTAAAATGCTGTGCGCTCCTAGGTAATGTAAGCGGGAGGATCAGCCTACCACAACCTCTCGCCATCCCCAGCCTCATATGTCTCATTTACCATGGAGGTAGGCCAAACGAAAGAAGCGCTGGAGCCCATCCACCTCGAGGATCAAAGCCAAACGCCAGCTTCGAAACCGCACACTGAAGATGTAGTGTCCGAGGAAGAACGCCAAAGGATCCTTCGTAAAATCGATCTCCGAGTGGTCCCGATCTTGGCCGTCCTATATCTGCTCAGTTTTTTAGACCGAGGTAATTAATTATTTGGTTTTGCGCCCAACATGTTGCTGACTATGAGCAGGGAGCATCGGAAATGCAAATGTTTTGGGGCTGTCTGCGGATTTGGGCTTGGTTGGCAACCAATACAACTGGTATGATCTCCGATTCGCCGCTGTCAAGAGACATCTGTGAATGTATGAGGCTCACCACCAAATCTAGGGCTTTGACGATTTTCTTCTTCCCATATAGTTTCATGGAGCCGTTTTGCAATCTATTGCTCGTCAAATTCAGTCCCAGCCGCTGGTTGCCTTCCATAATGGTGTTTTGGGGTAGGAAATCCCATCTTTCGAAACCAGAGAACAATGAGCTCATGCAACCTAGGAATCGCTACCACCCTGACCGGCATCGTCCACAACTACTCAGGGCTGCTGGCCGCAAGATTCTTCCTCGGTATGTACTAGTTGATGTTGTTTGAAAAAAGAGCGTTTAATCTAATGTTGATGGTAGGTATGACTGAAGCTGGGCTTTGTAAGCGTTACAACCCCCGGAAATATCGCAAGGAAACAACCTAATCTATGGAAATAGTCCCCGGGATTGCATTTTATATGTCTTTATGGTACAGAATACGCTCGCGCGATATGCCACCAGCTTTGTGACTAATGAGTACAGGTACCCGAGAGAAAACGCACAGTTTAGGCTTGCGATGGTCTTCGCATCCGCGTCTATGGCAGGCGCCTTCTCCGGTCTCCTAGCCTACCTCATTGACAAGATGGATGGGGTTGGTGGGTTGGAAGGATGGCGATGGATGTAGGGTTTCCCCGATCTTCATTGTCCACAAGCGTTCTTCCTGTTAACTTTGACACAGCTTTATCCTGGAAGGAATACTGACTGTTGTGGTTGCTGTCTTTGCATACTTTCTGGTCATGGATGAGCCCGCTACCGCAAAATTTCTGACAGACCGCGAGAAGTTGGTGTTGCGGAAGCTTTTGAATGAGGGTAGCGTTGAGAGCAACACAGAGTCTGCAAATAATCCTACCTTGGGACAAAAGGGAGAGAAGAAATCGTCGTATGCATGGAAAGCATTCACAGATTGGCAGGTTTGTGCATCGCTATCAGCATACTGAGACGCAAACTGACAGATTTAAAGACGATTTTCCATGCTATCAATTATTGGGGAATGGTTAGTTCCAGGTTTACCCTCCCTTCGATTCACCATGCTGATTATGAATAGGCTACTGCTGTGTATGCGTTGTCCTTATTCCTCCCTACCATCATCAATGGGCTCGGCTATACTGCCCAGATTGCACAACTGTTGACCATCCCGGTATATGCTGCATCCACCATATTCACTCTTGTGGTTGGCTATTACGCAGATAAAACCGGGAAAAGAGGCATCTTTGCAATGGGATGCTATATCGCCGTATTTGTTGGGTTCCTCATTGCTGTCGCCCCGTCCAACTTTATCCCTGGCTTGAGCTACGCTGGATGTTTTATCGCAGCATGTGGGATGTATCCCAGTGAGAAACTCCCTTCCGAAATAGATTGTTGGATGTTGCGTATCTAATGTGAATTTTATAGGCATTCCTTGTCTGTTGGCGCTTGCATCAAACAACTACGCTCCTCACACCAAACGCGCCGTTGGAATGGCTATCCAAATCGGATTCGGTACTATGGGAGGCGCTGCGGCAGCCAATTTTTATAAGAAAACGGATGCACCTCGATATAGACTGGGACACTCCTTGGTATTGACCTTTGCATCTTTAGGTCTCCTCACGGTTGTGGGATACTATCTCCTGTGCCGGAAGATCAACAAGAAGAGAGACGCCTTAGGTCCCGAAGCAAGGATACTTACCGAAAAAGAGGTGCTCGAGTTGGGTGACAAGGCGCCGAGTTTTAGGTACAAACTTTGAGAGAAGAGGGAACTAGAGTGTAAAGATGAGATAAGAATGGTAATATCCATCGCGACTTACCGATACACCGCTAGAAAAAACATGGATGTGCAATACTTTTTGGCCTAAACAGTTGAAAGATAGTTGCACAAGGAGGAAGAAGAGCGAACTTGAGAAGCGCAATTAGAAATTTCAATCTTTGAAGATAGATGCCTCTTTTATTTGAGCCGATATCCTGTTTGAAAAGGATCTGAAGGATCAAGAACTATTTGTTTGTAGCTTGTTATCCAGCCTCTACCTTGAATGGTTGGGAGAACCGCATCTTTGTCCCCAACCTTGGCCAAGCCGCGGATATGACAGACAAATCTTGTTCCAATTATACTTTGGAATTTTATCGTTTCTCCGACCTTCAGCAGACCTTTCGCATGTAAAACGGCCATCCTTGCAGAACTGCCCGTACCGCATGGGCTTCTGTCGAGCCGACCTGGGTTAATGACCATGGCCTGCCTGGCGGTCTTTTCACCACCATCCTCTTGTATGGGCTCTGTGATGCCGATGTTGTCGATGCCACGAAACTCTGGTGATTCTGGATGAATGGGGGTGTGCTTTTCCAGGACTGCGGCTTTGATGCGGTTGCCCAAGTCGACGAGTTGCGGCCCGTGTTCGTTCAAGACCTTTAGGCCCAGGCTTGCCGCGTCAACGAACACATACCACCGCGCTCCGAAGGCGATATCAACCGTTACTGTCCCGACACCAGGGACTTCAATCGGCAAGTCCAAGCCATACACAAAAGCCGGAACGTTGTCGAGCGATACTGATTTACACTCCCCTTGTTCGCAGTGGGCTTCCACCCTCACCAAGCCCGCAGCAGTGTCGTAAAGCACCTCGGTCAGCGGTTCTTTGATGGGTATCATGCCGGTCTCGAGCATGACAGTTGTGGTGCAAATGGCGTTGGATCCAGACATGGGCGACCAATCTCCGCTGGCCATGACGACAAACCCGGCGTCTGCCCGAGGGTCGCATGGGGGGAGAATCAAGACGGCACTCATCTCAAGGCGGCCTCTTGGTTCGCTCAGCAGTAACTGACGTAGATCCTCGTGGTGCTCCCTGAAGTGCAAGAACTTCTCCTTCATGGTCTTGGCCGGTACATCACGTACTCCCCCGACAATGACATCGCCAACTTCGCCCTCGGCATGGCATCCAACCACGGAGATGTACCGTGAAGATTTCATGATGGAGTCGATCTATTGTTCACCCACGTACGCAAGCTGGAAGAATGAACAGGGTGGAATTTCAGCCTGCCGGTTGGAAATGTCCAAGACGAAACGGGTGCCGTGGGCCCAGGGGTTTAATTGCGCAATAGTTCACTCGCGTGGGCTCGCCTGGATGAAGCCAAGTCCCACGAGGTCGGATGGAAGTGGCTCAGTACTGGGATGTTAGCCTATTTCGTGCCACTTATCTGGTAGACTGGGCCCGAAACCGGGGATCCAGCTCCAACAGCCTTCCGATGAGGGCTCCGTGTGCGCCGACAGCCACCGGGCGCCACGTGCCATATCGAGCCTAACATGACTCCGACCGCCTTTCAGCCACTGAACTGGATGATTCACTTGCCTATCTCTTTTCCGACATCCTTCCTTGCTGCACTGGCAATCATTTGTGCTATTCGGCGTCAATTGTCCGACGGTGGAGTGGGGTTTTCTTATCATGAATGGACCTTGTGTGTGGGGGGGAGCGGCACTCGGCCGTGGGTATATCACTATCATGATCATACTTGAGTTATACGGATGGATCAGTCCATGAATGACCAGGTACGCCTAGTCCCTTGTCTGAATAGCACCAGTTAGTTTCCTGTCGAACCCAGCAAATTTTCTCAAAAAAAACTGGATAATCTGCTAGGTATAAATAAAAGAGTGACGCCATCTACTGCGAGGAACCACGATTATGTTACAGCCACAAGACGGAAACGAGCACCACGCAGGGAAACACACCATTTGATCTTATCTTCGGCAGAACAAGTGATCAGATCTACGCCATTTGCAGTAGCTTCCCTTGGCAATGGATAAGTCGTCAGCCAACGCCGCCGGTATTACTGGTGCGGCAGAGAACGAGGACAATGGTATCGTCCACGACATTGGCCTGAAAGGGGAAGAGCTGGAAGCCGAGACATTGAGCTCCAAAACCAACCGCAGACTAAGACTTCGAGTCGATTTCATTGTTCTTCCTCTCATGACAATGGCGTCAGTCATTGCGTTGCTTGACAAGGTAAGCCAAGTCCCTGCTACAACGAGGGGATCAATTTTCGCTGACGTCTCCCGGCACAGAACGCGCTCAGTTTTGCAGCCCTGTTCGGGATGAAAGACGACACGCATCTCCACGGGCAGCAGTACAGCTGGTTAGGCTCGATTGTGTATTTTGGATACATGATTGCGCAATTCCCGCTAGGGTGGATCCTAGTGAAGGTGCCCCTGGCCAAGCTCATGTCGTTCCTCGTTCTGACATGGGGCGTCCTCGTGTGCTCCATAATGGCGTGCAACAGCTTTGCGGGCCTCGCTGCCATTCGCTTTCTTCTGGGCTTCTTCGAGGCGGGCATCGTGCCCATCAACATGATATTGACGGGAACGTGGTACCGCCGTGAAGAGCAGCCCCTGCGCACCGCCATCTGGTACAACACCCTGGCCGGTGTCTTGGGTGGCATTTTTGCCTTTGCCATCTCTAAGCTTGATAGCCAGTACCCTGTTTGGAAGCTCATCTTTCTCATCTATGGCTCCGTGAGTCTCGGGTTGGGTGTTGCAATCTTCTTCCTACTCCCGGATCATCCATCTCTTGCTTGGTTTTACAATGTCGAAGACAAGAAAAATAAGGTCATCAGGATTGCACCAAACCAGACAGGGCAAGGCAATGTTCACCAATTCAAGTGGGATCAGATTATTGAATCATTGGTAGATCCCAAGTTTTGGGTGTTGGCGCTTTACGTTATCGCTTGGGGTATTGTCAATGCCGGCATTACTAATGTAAGTTTTGTTTGACTCAGCTCCGGGATACCATCAACTGACATTGCATCTAGTTCAACCCTTTGATTATATCCGGCTTTGGATATTCCAAGGAGAGAACAGCTTTGCTGGCATCGCCACAGGCGGCAGTGGCCACCTTCTTTGCGATTACCTGCTCCGCTGTTGCAAACGTAGTGCCAAATATCCGATGTTTAATATGGGCCCTCTCGACTCTTCCCGGGCTCGTGGGAGCTGTGCTAATTCGTGGTAAGTGTCCAGTCATTCAGCTCAGTCTAGTTTTGTGACGCTAATAGAATTCTTGGCCAGTTCTCGACCCTGCCACAAACCGGGCCGGTGCTCTCGCAGGTGTTTACATGATGGGATTCTACAACGTGTCATGGGTCATGGCAATGTCACTTGTTTCCTCAAACAATGCGGGCGCCACTAAGAGATCATTTGCCACCACCTCCATGTCACTCCTCTACGCGATTGGCAACATTATTGGTCCACAGCTGTTTCTTGAGACCCAGGCTCCTCACTATCCTCTAGGGATATATGCCATGATGACTGCCTTTGCTGTGCAGGGAGTTTGCGGTGCGGTATACTTTGCTCTGTGTTTCATTGAGAATAAGAGGAGGGACCGTGAATATGGCAAAGTTGAACATCAGACTGTCGCTGGCTTGGAAGCGGCTGAGAATGATTTGACGGACGGGAAAAACTCTGCCTTCCGGTATTGTTTGTAGATAGCATTCTGGAGAGGGGACATGCCATTTGGACTACCAGCTTACAACGATTGAATGTTCTCCAGCTTGTAGTTTCAGTTAGGACTTGAATCTGACTTTAAGATGGTTATTTATCGAGCGATAATAACAAAACAATCATTAACGAGATATATTAGTGCTAATGCATACTGTGGCCATTCATTTATCTTCAAATTCGCGAAAAATCCCGTTGTTGGTTCTTCCAGATGATGAAATCGCCTCGTGGTAGATGTACACATCACCGATCAAAGTTGCGATTCCATTAGGCCAATCAAGATTGAAGATGAACGTACCGTAGTATATCTATGCTTATGAGGGATCTAATCTCTGAGATAGAACACACAACTGAAACCAAACCGCTCAAGAAAGATTGATAAGAACAGATAGGACAACTAGAAGCATTGGCACGACAACTCCGACAGACTTCTTTAGAGAAGATCCTCCCCCCTCTGTCTCCTTAGCTGCTGCTTCCATATCTGACTGTTGATACACTAATCGTATTCCAGGGGTGACTGTTTCCATGAAAATGCTTTCGGTCGGCCTTGTTATTGACTTGTTGGCATATGGAGTGGCCCAGTTGGCGAAATCATCAGTGGTCCAGGCTCGGGTGTAGGTGTTTGATTCCTGGATGTAAGACCAGCGGGTTTTATCAGACAATGTGATGTGTGCGAGCCAATCATCCCCGTAGTCTGGTGCTCTCAAGCGATCCTCGACACAGTACTTTGAAATGGAGTATGATGTCACTGGCCCCATTGAAGATGTACAGCTTCCGTAGACATTTTCGGCCCAGCCACTATTTTTCTCAGGTCAGTATCACATAGTAATCAGACGGTCAATAAGGCATGGGGAAAGTTGACGGATGGTTGATAGTGTTAGGAGAACCCTCCATCAGAACTGGAGATAAGAAAAATGTGATTTACCTGGGGCGGCACAGAGCAAGAGTTTCGTTTTCATAGAGTATGTTCGAGAAGTATTCGCCAATCCCGACGAGTGGCATCTGGCTAGGATTAAGATTGCCAGAAAAGACTCCGGATCCTGTTGGCTCAGGTCCTCCTTTGAGAGTTCCGGCCGTTGTCCAGCCCAGAGGACAGGCCACTCCTGGGGAGTAATACCACCATTGTTTTGTCATAGTGTTTCGAATCCGATCAATGCCATCCCCCGAGGGCATACAAGAGCCTACTGTCCTGATACCGCAAGACGATGCGCCCATGGCCCTCTTCAATGATGAGTTTGAGGCATCAACATATTGGAAAAAGCGAAATCCACTCTCTGTAGCGCATGGTGATGGGGCCGTAAAAGTAGTGGTGAGAGGGCCCAGGTTCACAGCGGTCGAGCCAAAATACTCAGTTGAGGGCATACTGCTCTTGCTGACAAAAAGAGTTACGAAACGAAGAGAAGATTTGGTCTGCGGTTCCAGCCGCTCAAGGGGAACTTGTGGTCTTATAAATGGTCAATGTTACATCGAACTCGCATGCCAAGATGTCAGACTCTTGTGCAGTTCATACAAGCAGAATTGCGATATTGTGATTAACCCGAGCATTCCGCTGTGACTATTGAGACATCCGAACATAAAATTAGACTTTATTTCTTCGTTTCCAATAACTAATTGCCATCCCAAAGGTTTGCAGGTTTCCGTTGCTCTGATCTAAAGTCTCGTGGTGGCTACCGGATCTGGATATTTCTATTGACATTGCCTCGCTTCCTGGCTTTTGCCGGTTTTGGATCTAAAGACTCCAAAAATTCCATCTCACGTGTATTTTATGGAGAATACGCCTAACGGGTAGCCTAATCTTCTGTGCAAACGTGTGGGAACGTGATATTTGCATAGCCCAAGGGTTTTATTCGCTTATTGGCCTGTCTGTCGTGTGTTTAACTCGATTCCGAGCCCAACATTTACGATTTACGCCGCTCATGTGAGTCGGATTATGTGCTGGAGTTTACGCCAGCCTAACGAGAATTGGCATATTTCTTGCCTGGCTAAGATCAGAAAGCTGACATTAAGTTGCATCGCGGATGAATTAGTTTCTATAGATTAAATATGATATTACATCCTGACTAGGCAGCCATAAGGCCCACGGTAGATGTAATGAGAAGGAGTAATATGTGGTTCGAATTGAGAGAATCTTCACATGCCCAAGTAAGATGTACCTGCTACAGGCCATGATGAGATTTATTGATTTATCAGCTCATTCTGACTAGTCGGTTGAATACAAGGCCAGCAGAGAAAGTTAAGAGCACAGCGGGTCACACCAAAATCGGCATCAAAGCTCATTCAGCCCAGCTTTCTGGGCATTGGACCGTGTAAGGCTGGTTGTCTTTTGCAATACCTTCGAGATAATGAACTTTCTGTGTGTAGGAAAATGATACAAAATTTCAACTTTCCCCGCAAATCTCAAAGAAAAGAATAATCGTTCACCTGGGCTACTCGAGGATAGGTAGATCAATAGAAGAAGAGGAAAAGTCGGCCTCCTGGGGGGCGGTGCCATTGATATTACCTCATATAATTCGTACTTCCCTGTGCGTTTTGGCAGATTGAGGAGCTTGATACCGTTGAACTGGTAATATTTCTCATAGATCGGCACATCGACCACGATTGCATATCGAAATACGTGTCTAACTTTGCAGCACCTGCTCCATAGTAGAGCCAGTGGAGTAAGGGTGGCTAGGCTCCTACTATGGTAAGACCTCTCCACGCCTAAGAACTCTCCCAATCCCATTGCCCAAAGATACCAAACTCAAGCGAAGCCGAGTAAGGAGTGCAAAAGACTGTCGGTTTCGCGCTGCCTGTCAGACAATATTGGATTATACACGTGGATCCGTAGATGGTGGGCGTGACTGGGAATCTCATTGATCAGCTTTCCGCGTTAGTGTCCCAGTGGCTGGCTGAGTCTGCAGTAGACTGCAGTAGCGGGCCGTTAGAAGCGCTGCGGGTAGCTGAGGGCCAGGTTGGTGACGAATGGCATAGATATACTCTCTTCCGACCCGAGCTGAATATGCAGCTCGATGACATCTTCAAGAAGGGCTGGGCCACGAGACACGACGATTGGCCGTTGCAACACTTATCTCCCCTGTGAGGTCTTCGCTCGTTTAAGAGCTCGGTATGGCCGCGCGCGAAGGAAAATCGGTTAGCCAATGAGTTGGCAAGCGTGTGTTTGATTCTTTCTTATAAGGAGGGAAACTAGACAAAATCCCATTATGGCGGCGAAGAAAGCTGCTGGAACGTGGCTTTGAGGTTGGGGAGAGGCCCTCAGAAAGCGGATTCTGTAATCAGGGGTGAAGACAATAAGCGGAAGAGTGACCTACTTATACCTCCATGTACCACAGCAACTTATATATCCTTTTATAATAGTAAGTTTAACTCGATATTAACGTTTCACCCTCTATTCAATCAAGAACACTCAAGCTGATCGGGGTGGTATCAGCGCAACATGCAGGATCTAGGCCTCGCAAGCGCCAACGCGGCGAACAACATCTCACACTCGTTGGGTTCATCGAAAGAAACATACTTTCGCGATACACAGAACTGTGTAATCCAAGATGCATTCCGTCATTCCAGGTCGCAATGGATCGATGACCCAGTCATTTGTCAGTGGCGAGATCCCACACATCATATTCACCGTGTCCTTTCGGATACCAACGATCTATATCATGATTGGAAGTATATGAAAAGAAAGCTGTTTTCCATTTCTACATCCCCTGTTTGGAGAGACACTGGTCGTGCTCTTGCAGAAGTCGGCCTGCCATGGCACAGCAACCAAGTCAATATGCCAGATCAAATAGACTCGAGCTGGCCATTTCATTTCAAGGATTTCGAGACTCAGCTTCTACAACTACTAGGCTCCAGAGTTGGTAGTTCATCAGCAGTTGGATACGCTTCTAGTCACTTAGAGGCAAGCTGCTATTGCATCCGTGCATTACAGCAAGAACTGAGGAGAGTATGCCCGAGTCAGAGACCCATTCTCATTTACGACCAAATTGATCACAAGCTGGTCGAAGCCATTCGAAAGATCCTTGGACTTGATACAGCCCGGGTTCATTTATCCGATCCACGGGAGGAAATGATACAGGGTTTACTCAACGCCACTGCAAACAAAGCCCGACCTATCATATTTGCTGCATCAATAGGGAATTCTGCCACCGAAAATGACAAGATTAGCCTTATTGTAGATATTTCTACTGAATTTACTTTGATTCTACATATCGACGCCTTCCAAAGTTTTGATTACATTACGACCATGTCGGAACACGAAAGACGACGAGCAGGCGTGGAGAAATTTGTATTGGCCAACAAATCTCCCCACGGCTTCCTCAGAACCGAAGACGGCTTTGTGATTGCCAATAGCATAGTAGCAGGCGGCTTGAATCAACCCCCTCATGGACCTGCAGTTTCATTGACGCCCAATTACCAAGGCGTCAAAGGGGAAAAAGTGGCGTATATCAGGTCATTCGATTCGACATTAGGTGGCTCAAGGGACGCAATAGCACCACTTTGGCTCGCTCTTTATGAGCTAAGACTAGGCCACAACGGTATCCAAAAGTTATGCAGGGATCTTCTTGATATTAGATCCAGCGTCTTGAGGGTTTTGAAATCTCAGGGTATGACGGCATATGAATCCACCTACTCTTTAGATGTGGTCGTCCATTCTTTCTCTTCCTCTCAGAAGCAGCGTCTTTTGAAGTTAGGGGGAATTCTTGTTAAATCTGGAGAAATTGTCTTGGCTATTCAGACACGATTTCTTACAGGCGAGGTTTTCTCTTCTAGCCCTTCATTTTGGGGATCACACACCAACAACTTTTCAACGAGCAAACCTCTGTTGAATCAGTATCCGATTGATCCATCCATTCTGAAGCAACTCAAAGCAACTGTCCAAGGTTGGAAGACCATCACAAGGTCTACTGCTGGATACCCACTACACATGGGGTCTCTTGCGGCTCTCGGGCCAGTTATTGCCCGCTTTTGGGATCTCGACATTTCACAACGTTGGGTCGAAAACACGGCACATAAAATTCTAAGCTCCCGTCTAGCGTCTTTTGGGGTTCCTGATGCAGAGAATCAGCGTACTTTCAAGGCTAATTTTACCAACGGCAGTACGATGGGAAACCGGTGTGGAATTCACACAGCCTTCTCCCAGTTCCCCGATGCTACTATTTACCTATCGACCGAAACGCACTACAGCGTCATGAAGACGCTTCGAGACTGTGATAAGATTTCCAATATCTGGTCATTAAAGGAACCCCAATTTTTCCAAATTCCTTCGGATTCTCGGGGCAGGATGTGCGCAGCTGCGCTCTTGAAACAAGTCATGTTGGATAAGCAGCGTTATACGGCACGAGGCCGGGAATATCATCTGATCCTCTTCGCAAACATTGGAACTACATTTGTCGGAGCGCGAGATAACCTGTCTGAAATCTACCAGACGCTACGGGAGCATGGTATAGAGATTTCATATATCCACGCTGACGGAGCCTTTGATTTTGGGTTTGATACCTGCGGCATCAGCCTGGGCAGGCCTGGATCTGTTGACGATGATGGCGTGCCTTGTGTACAGGGCATCACAATTAGCCACCATAAGGCCCTTGGTCAAAGTGTGTCTGGGGAGGTACTCTGTTTTAGCCCCGACCGCGAGATTGTAGGGAAAGTTCCCAATCTTGATCCGAAGGTCGTCTTTGAAACCTGGCTATACAATCAAGTTTATAGGCCCAGGGATCGTCTTCAGTTACGTAATTACTGCCAGCAAAACGCATTGTTTCTGGAGACGGGACTCAGGAATTTAGGATTGGCCACCAAGAGAAACCCCGACAGTATGATTGTGGTTTTTGAACGGCCAGTTGCTTGGATCACAGAAGAATTCTCTCTCCGGCCGGAGGGGGATTGGGTACATTTCATCACGATGCCTCATATCTCACCAGAAACGATCGAACTCTTCCTGGATCGGATTAAGAGTGTGGACGAGGAATGCCGGGCTGCATTTAGTAGCATTGCGCCACTACTAACTGATCTGCTGGGACGAGAGATACAACTCAAGCGGTTACAGAACCAATCTAGATTGGTTGAAAGACTCCGTCGGTTATCTCAGTTTCTGAAACCGGTGCAATCTGGGTATACTGCAGAATTGGAGGAGCTTATTAAGCGAAGCGTCCGTGGTGCCCTTTCCATTGCTGCTGTAGATGACGAGGAGAATATTCAACTTGTCTTTCTTGCCGAGTCCAATAGAGATCAGTCAATAATGGTACACCCGCTCCTGCTAAATACTAGCTTTGTGAACAAGATTCAAGCCATTCAAGAGATACAAGGTCAGCTTATGGGCCTCCTGGGGAGATATCTCAAAGCTAAGATTAGGTTGAGCAGCGCCGGCCACCAAGTTTACATTTACTCATAGATTAGAACATTTGTTCATATATTAGGGGAGATAAAATAATATTTATTTGGTTCAGGGAATAAGATATATTTGTTGCTCATACGATTCCATTGTGTCTGTATTTATCAAGTATAAGCCAGTACCCTTTTAATGGAAATCACGCTGCTATTAGCGATGCAGATAGCCTTGTATGAGGAAGTCATTAGTAAGGCTTACACCTCACCAACATGTAGTTTGTAATATTCATGCAGATTTAACGTTACGCGAAAATTTGAAGTTCCCAACAGTAAAGCCCGTTGGCTGCCGTGTTTTGGTCTGGCATGTGCAAGAGCTACGGGGCACCGACAGAATTCAGTGGAGTTGCGGAGAAGCGTCCGGAGGGTTGACCGGAAGATTGAGCCGCGCTAGAGACATTTTCAGATAGGCTCAAGGCTCTGTCGGTGCTAACACAGTTGCCCTCCATATTCGTGTGACGCAATATCCTTCGGTTGCTCTCCCGGCCGCCCCTCCGGTTCCGCTTAGCCCTAGGAGATGGCGGACCCGTATAGAGCGAGCCAAGTATAAAAGGTACGATGGCATGCTTATGGCTGTTCACACACCGATGCAAACTCCCATCTCAGAAATCTACCTTGATCACTAATCTACGAAAAACATGAGTGCCGAAAATTCCAAAGCGAAACTTGGTCTCGTCGAGCCTTTTACGGTCGACTTGTCTAAGAATGTCCCACGCATGCTGGATCTGGTGAAGAACACCAAGTTGCCCGAAACATCTATATACTCGGGCCTTGGGTCATCAGCAGGAATCGACCTGAATGTTCTGAAACAGTTACAAGAGGAGTGGATCACTGGTTTCAATTGGAAATCGGAGGAAGAACAGATGAACAGGTATGCACCTCATGCGAAGCTCTCTCTAAGCAATTCACGTCACTTCTCACACAGTCAAAACGGCAGTTACAATCATTTCACTACAAATATAGAAGGGTTGAAAATCCATTTCATTCATCATCGTTCTGAAAAAGCTGGTTCAATACCCCTTCTACTCTTACACGGCTGGCCAGGCTCCTTTTTGGAAGTCTTACCCCTGGTGAAGCCTCTGGTAGAACAAGCAAAAACCTCCCAGGGCACGGATGTCTCGTTTGACATCATTGTCCCTTCACTCCCTGGATTTGCTTTTTCACAGGCACCGCCCCCAACTTGGACCATTGCCGACACAGCTCGTATTTTCCACACTCTCATGACTGATATACTTGGCTACACGACTTTTGCTGTGAACGGGACCGATTGGGGGTCTGGCATCGCTTATACCTTGTATGAGCAGTATCCGGCCACCATCCATGCTGCTCATTTTTCTATGATCCCTTTCATCCCGAAGCTTCCAGATCAGCTTGCAGCGGATAATATTACCCTGACTGAGGGTGAACAGTTTCAGGCAGAGAGGTTTGTGAAATTCGCTACCACGGGTACAGGCTACTTTGTTACGCACACCACCAAGGTAATTCCTGCTGAACATTCAACGAATCACGTCAATACTTTAATCATCTACTGACAAAATCTGCAGCCTACCACGATTGGGTTGGCGTTACAGGATAACCCGATGGGCCAGTTGGCGTGGATTGCTCAGCAAATCCTAGACTGTGAGTTCACATGGTCATAGCAAGCCCACCGATATGGAAGATTCTAATGCCTCTATAGGGTCAGATCCACGGGCAGGGACTGGCCCTTCCGTACTGACACATAGGGAAATACTTCGATTCACATCGCTATACTTCCTTACCGAGTCGTTCCTGTCATCCGTTTTCATTTATTCTTCGAACCCGAACGGCTTTAGAACGGAATATTCCAAGGCTCCCAACGACGCGCCCCTGCTGTATAGTAACTTCAAGTACAACAACACATTTTTCCCGCCGGCGGTGGTAAGAAAGGTTGGGAATCTGGTATATTGGAAAGGTAAGTCACTCGACAATAGAGCCCCGTGCCAATCACTCACCCTGTGGCACCAATGAAACCTCTCAAGGGAAATGAGACAGTAGTAGCGGACGCTAACACTATTAAAATGCTAGATCACGAGTTTGGTGGCCATTTTCCTGGAGTGGATAACCCGCCTGGTCTTATCTCCGACATAAGAGAGCTTGGAGACCATTGGCGATGGCCTTAGGTTCTCTGGGCTGTGATGGGAGGGCAGGGCTTTTTCTTTGGCTGAGCACTACCGGGAGTAAAACTGGTACGTGGCCTCAGAGTTTGTTATATAGCTATGACCGGTAGCTCTAGAGGACGTGGTATAGTGCCCAAGGAGGATCACTGTTTCCACCTCCATACCCAGACCTTATGAAGGAAGAATCGCAAATGGCCCTAACAGTCTATCTTTGATGAGCAATGGAAGTCTGCATAAAACCTACAAGTCCCGCAACGAAATACCCTCCACCTCGTTCCCCTTCCTCTCCCCCTCCTCCCTGCCCCCTTCTAAGGTTTGATGAGCAGTTGTGGAAGGTCGCTTTTGTGTGAAGAGTTTCTTGCTTTTGTTGTCGAACTAAGTGATATCTACAAGCCCTGAATGTTGGCTGCATAGAAAGTAATAGATTCAAGGAAATCGTCATGCTATGTGGGTGGGAGTCGCTAGTTCAGCGGGAAGGGGAGCAGGGGGGCACAGGAGGGGGCAGCATCGAGCGCCACTAGCCCTGCAACTTTTGAGTATTGTGTTTCCAGACAATAGTCAGTTTGTAGGCTTGCTATGCTTGAACATATTCCTCCCGCTCCCCCTCCCTCCACACACTTCTGCCTCACGCATTTTGTTCATCTCATCGCACGATAATTAACCTGAAATCAACGGAAAGGGTCCACCACACGAGCCTCGTGTTGTGGGTTTGAATCTTCAAATGCCATTCCCAATGCCTGGTTTGCTCGAAATCTCTCCTCCGCTCGATATCAATTTCTGACATTAACCAGGGCACCCGATGGAGGAGCACCACTCTGCGCTCGCTATCACCACCCCCAGAGTAATGCACCACACGATTTGCGCAGACGAACTCCCTAATGTCACCCATCTGAGAAACGACCAAGAGAAATTCTTCGCTGTATTCAAACCATTCGACCTTTTGTACTGCATGAAATGCAAAGAAGCAATCGCCACCAGCCAAAAAGTTATTTCTTTGCACCTTCAAGGGCCCTGCTACAGACTGAGTGCTGGAAGGCACGTCGAGAGTCTTGCTGTAGAGTATCGAGCTCTCTTAAACACAGATGATGACACAAATTGGTTTACGAGGCGGGGCAAACTGTACGAGAGAGTACAGCAAAGTAACATCATACTTGAGGAGATACCATGGCTTAGTCCGCCAGTCGATGGTTTCCGCTGCACTCTGTGTGGCCGGCCAATGAGAAAACGGAACACGTTTCGGCATCATCTGAGAAGTGACCACGATGGGGTAAAGAGCGCGCCAGAAAAGTGCCTCGTACAGTCTTTTAAGAGTATGGGGCACCAATTTGTCAATTTTCGGGTAGTGCGGCGGCCTGTGACAAAGCCGTTGGGCCAGGCGAAGAGCGAGAACAGTCATACACGGTTATAGGACACGAGGTTGGGTCAGGATGTCAGGAGAGGCCCGCACTGATCTTTTAGGGTCCTTTTGCCGTCTATCTTAATGTGATTAACGGGAGAACGGGATTCTATCTTGCGTCCATTTGAGATTATGCGATTAAAATGAAATAGCTACCTTACAAGAGAAAGATCTTCTTCCTTTTCTAGTTTAACATCCTAAGAAGCTGTTGGCGCCGGTGTAAATAGACGCAAAGACTGCAGAAGAGTAAAGGTGACGAATGAACCGTGTTGGTCTTCCAATTTGCTGCAATGTCATATTTATCTCAATATTAATCAATGGTTTTCCTATGGGTTTATTTTGGTAACTTTACGAATCTATAGCTTTCTTAGATTGCACGTCTAGTGGATTGATTTAATAATCATAACTCGCTATATGCTAACAAGCCCAGAGAAAGGCAATGACAAAGAATTAGTTACCGTGGTCTATCATCTAAAAGGCCTATGAACCATTTTTATGGGATGGTCGTCATTCCACATAAGTGACTGTCCGAAAAAAGCTCACAGGATGATACACTTCCAAAAGTGAAATTTCACAACTCTGCGTATCCCAGTTTTGGCCGCCTTGATTACCCCCTTTGACAGTCATATTGGCCGCCGTTATCGCACTTTACACGCACACGGTAATAGATCATAAGTTAAAGCTGCATATAATGAAAATGAAGAGACGGATGGGACTTGCCATTGGCTAGATCTGGCGCACCGCCACATTAATCTCGTGGTTTCGGTGCACAAATACACAGAAGCCCCGAGTTGCCTTTATCTCCAACTATTTAAAGTTGATTGCGTTGAATCAGCAAACAGTTGGTTGTTATATAATTCTTGATATCTACATCTTTTGATAGTTTTAACAAACTTATTTGCATGATTTGCCTGTAGCATGGCTGAATACTTGAGCTACGAAGGCACAAGCCGTTCTTGAGAAAGAAAAAGGAAACCCGTCCTATTCGTTGTCCATCTGCATCAACTTGAGCCCTAGGCAACTATGGGGGCATCATGAACTAACCTCGATACTGCTACAACTCACGATGAGAACACCGCTGATACTTTCATGCTTTTCTCTTTGGGCAAGATGGACATGGGCATCGTAGGATAAGCCGTTGGCACGACACACAATACGCTAGGATTACCAGGGCACATTTTAGAAATGCAGATTTTCTATGGCTCCGGCAGAGAGACCGGCACTTCGATGATGAACTTAAACAATGAGGCTAGGAAGGAAGCATCCGAGGCTAAAAAGCAAAGTAAAATGGCAGCGGCAGGGTTTTGTCGAGGAAAATTCTCCAATAAAAAGGCCAGTCTTGCCAAATCAGTTCGTCTGATGATAAATATCGTTGGGATGGTTTACAGATAGAGTAGGTACGGCCACAATCACCCCAACAGAAAATCGTTGTTATAGTTGAAAATTTAAATCTATCATGGACAACCAATCGATACTATAGGATAGGGAAAAAAGTCATTCTGACTTTGTGATTAGGAATATCTCAAAGCATCCTTACAGATGACTCCGTAATTCTCAGGGAGCTGCCACTGGACGTGGTAGAATTACTGAAAAGAAGAAGTTGGTCGAAGTCCCAATCCACTCTTCTCATATGCCATATCTACCATCCTCATCTGCTTGATAGAATCCTCGGGAGAGATCCAATACTGTGTCCCTCGGCCTTTGATTCGGTTCACAAACTGCTCAAGCTGGTGGCGGTACGACATCCACCAATCTTCGCCGGGAAGATGGGCAAACTCCCCTCCAGCTTCTTTGAAGGTGTACGCCTTGTAAGTCTTAGACTCAGTCCAATTCTTGATCGGGCTGCCATCGGCCTTGCTGCGGATAGCATAGGAGTCTTTCACATCGATGCGATGCCAGACAACAGCATGCATGAAGCCGTGCATCGTCACATGCCGAGTCCGCACCTTTTCTTGGGTTTTTGGAAGAGAAGGATCGTCGACTGCAACTTCCTTGTGCGTGACTCGAACCTCCGATGGCTTCCAAAGTAGAGGCCCTCTCAACGTTCCATATGACTCAGCGATACCTCCGTTCGGAAAACGGAACGTGGCCCTCGCAGCATAGTCACACTTGTCATGCTCGCCATCACCAAAGACATGGTAATCAACGCTTAGGCATTCTTCGGGTTCCGTGCCGTATATGGCACGGATCATGGCAAACAAATAAGTGCCCATGTGCATCATGCTGCCGCCGCCCATGCGGTAGTTGAACCCAATGTCCTCCTTGCTCGTGTAAGCCCACGGCACCATTCCATCCGCATAAACGTGTACCACGTCTGCTGGTGTGACAAAGCTGTGAAGAAGTTGGATAGCAGGATGGAAGCGGTTATGAAATGCCTCGAGAAGAACAGGGGCATTGGGCTGCGACAGTTCCGGCATGTTGAAGAGCCGGGCGGCTTCGGCCTCGTTATTGACTGATGGCTTCTCAAGTAGTACATGCTTACCCGCGCGAATGGAGCGCATGGCCCACTCCATGTGCAGAGTGTTGGGAAGCGGGATGAAGATGGCATCAATGTTTGGATCGTCGAGGATCTCCTGATAAGAGTCCATCACTTGGGGTATTCCATGCTTCTTTGCGAACTCTTCGGCCCGAGTGCGATCTCTAGCAGAAATGGCTTGTACAATAACTTCGGGGTGGGATTTTGCGGGCACAATAAGCGACATGGGGCTGTTTTGCGTCAGAATTCTGTCCATAAACGAATGTTCTTGTTAGGTTGGCTTTAGGACTCACGCTGTCCTGGCAGCTCCCAAGATTCCGATCTTAATGGCATCGTTCTTCTTCTCCGCAGAAGGCGGATCGAAAGCTGTAAAGATTCTTTTGAGAAGTGTGGCCATTCTATCGAACTTTTCAAAGAGGGTGATATATGTGTGATGGCGGGGACAAGAGTCTTAGTGACGATGGTCTTGGTTGATAGGTATCTCACGGAAGTTATTATTTAGGTTATGAGATGACCCAATTAGTTCATATTGTATATTCAAAGATGGAGGGAAGCATGGACACTTATAGCTGCTTCAGATAGAACAATCTAATGGGAGGAAACATTGCCTCTTTGGCTGCTTACTTACAGGTTGGGGATCCCGGCTAATCGAGGCTATCCAATCAGTATTAGCGCGTAACGCATCCACCAGCGAATACGTTAACCAGATTGGCTATTTCCTGCGCGAATATGCCCAAATTGAGACGTGGTTCGGTCCACTCGGACACGGCACATCCAGGCGGAGACTTGTCAGCCTCCCTTCTTCACACAACAACCAAGAGCAGAGGTTTCTACGGCCAGCCAATTCGTCGCTCTCCTACCCCCCGCCCACGTTAGGTTGCCCATTGACGAGACCTAGCGATTTATAAGCAAGGCATGGCGAGACTGATTGCCCCGAAACCCGGTAGGTCCTGGCTCCATGCCACATGATATTTGCGGAGTTTTGGCTAACCTCCGCCGGCCAGAGTTCTTGGTAAAACATGATGAGATGGGACAGAGAGTTGAAGACCCTGTTGATAGACGGAAGCGGCTGAGTCGCCTTCGACAGAGGGCATGGCGTTAGAGAATTGTCCCTACTGATGTTAATTATATATCCTAATCTGGCAACTAACCCGATGAGTTAGGCGACAGAAGGAGAGCTCATTGCACACCATCTCCCAATACCGACTCTGGATGGAAAGGCTATGGTATCTTAGTTTCCACTAATAACCGCGGGAACACTGAAGCACCGTATAGAGCGGGAAATGCTCACGCAAGGCCAAATAAGAGCAAACTAATCCCACCACTCATCCCTTACTCGATATTATTTCCAGCTCATAAGGTTGTCTTTCCCCTCTCTCCAGATCATCGTCTCATCACAATTGTCCAATACAACGTCCTCCGAGCCATGATTTGGAACTTGGCGGCACTCTCCATGTTGGATCAGATTCCAAGTGGATGCGCCGAAACATTTGGCGTTTCCGGCCAGAATATCAGCGAGAACACCGGACAAATTCCGCCAGACCTTCGATGGACAACGGTACAAAAATCAGTGGATCATCCTTACTGGATCAGTGTCATTCCGTTCCCCGCCATGAGGGATAACTTGATTCTCATGGCGGACCAATATGATAGCCGTGATCTCTTGCACGACATGGGAATAGGGCTGTACGAAGGCCTTGATGATGCCGAAAGAAGAGGCTTCTTGGTTTGGGAAGATCCATGGCGTGCATCTGGGTGGGAGGTTAGCGAGGGTTTTGTGAAGAAATGGGGCTTCTTGCTCAAAGGTTGCTTATTTGAGATGGAGACAACCAATCGGTGGAGGGAATTGCGAGGAGAGGAGAGGTTGGTCGTTGAGGTATGAAAATGAACAAGGCGATTCACGAGGTATAACCTCCACATTAAGAAGGTAATAAAGCCAGAAGTCCATGATGCTTGGATACATTACTTGGGCTAATACATGATATTAACTCTTGACACCTAAAACGCGTAGCTCGGTAAATCTCACACAGACCTCTCTAGCGACCTTTCCATTGGTGGATATATGTAGCATTCTCTCTGTAACTATGGCGATGTAGTTGAAGGAGGACTCAGGTCATCGATGATCTTCTCTACACCAGCGAAGGACAATTCATCCAGCGTCTCCTTCCACACTCTTTTGACCAACTGTTCTCCCTCCGAGGTATATATAAGGACGGGAAGACTAGAGGGAATATAAACGATTAGTATGTTAATAAAAAACCAACTGCATCGGATATTTACTCACGGTCTCGGCTTGCCATTCTCCATGAACTGCCCGTGCGACTCGGGGCCAGCCCTCACTGCGGCAGCCAGGACCTGACTGGCGCCCACCGTACAAGAATGACCGACCAGGCGATAGAACATTCCAATCATGAACCCAACCACTCCCGAGGTTTGGCGCAGGAAGAGTGAGCCGTGACAAACACCTGGAGTCGGGGCGTTGATGATTGCCGTCTCAGGTGAGATCCGGCGGGCTAGTTCTCCGAGAAAAAGTAAGGTAAGAAGCTTACTGGTGCTATATCGCTCCTCCATATCCCAGTTACTGGCACTTTCGCCACCAAAAGCGGCGAGCAATGGGTCGGAGTCGCGATCGGCGAACTTTGCCCAGTGGGCCATGATTGAAGACACGATGGATATTCGTGGTACCGGAGACGGAGTAACATTTGCTGCTGAGGGTTTATCCTTAATAATAGGTAGGAGGAGAGTAAGAAGGAGCACAGTGGACAGGAAATTGGTTTGTACGTCTTCATCGTACCCAGTAGACTTGTTGATGGTCGGTTTGGCACAGAGAACACCGGCGTTGAGCAGAATCACGTCAGGGCGAGCCTCCAGCGATTTTGCGCGTTCTGCAAATGCCGTGACGGAATCGTAGTTGGACAGATCAAGCTTCCACACTTCAACTTCCTGATCTTCGCCTCGCCCCGCCAGTAAGGTCTTGGCTGCAGTCCGACCACTCTCCTCATTACGGACTGCAAGGATGATTTTGCTTAGGCCCGCATCCAAAAGTTGACGGCCGGCCTCAAATCCAACACCGATATTACCGCCGGTTATAATTGCAGTTTGACCACTGAGATCGGCATCTTTCCCTGTAAGAACTGGGATCATGGTCTCGAAAACCTGGCTTTTGAAAAAGTGAAGCTGGCCAGCTTGTTGCTCTGGGGTGATATCGAAATTAGGCGCCATAGCGAGTGATTGTAACGTGAGATGAATGCAACTTGGTAGAACGAGATATATAGTGGTTGGGTGGTGTTATTCAGTAGACCGAAACCTGTGAACAAGGTGCCCTGCGTCATCTCGTATCATCATAGGGCGTCTGGTGGCTTTTTATACATGCGAACGGGTGTCAAAGCTATCTCAATTTGCACTTTCAGCGGAGTTATTATTTATAATCAAGCTACAGTTCTTCATCGCAACCGCACATGTGGCGGCCTTTAAACCCACGATGGTTGAGTTTGGGCTGTCCTTATTGGCTCGCTGAGAGTAAGCTGAGTCTAAATGAGGAAATTAATGGTGACAGACCAGGCTTGATGTCCGAACTGACTCAGCTTCTATCTGAGGGATGCTGGGTAAGGTGAGTTTCTTGCCCGTACTAATGAAATGCGAAGAGGTCGCTACCCCCCAGCTGATCGGTTCCACTTCGACTCGCTTGAGGTTGGCCTAGCATATGTCAAACCGTGACTTGACACCACAACGATGTATTCGCCGCTATGGAACAATCTTTGTGTCATCATTCTTATCTAAGGGGTTCTTGGAGCTTAAAGATATTATCTGATATTAATCAGATGCGAATATGTCAACTGGTTGAAACCCACAAACGCTTTATTTTTAGATTTAGACATGTCTGAGCTTAAAAAGAAACATACTCATGCAATACTAGTGACCTACTATCCTTCCCATTACGAGTATTAACGCTAGTGGTATTCTATCACTTCTACAGCCCCTGAGAATAGGGCCAAGTACCTTCAATACAGGCAGTTATACAGTCTCTTCGCCCAGCACTGAAGTAATTTAAAACTACTCTACCAATAAAAGAACTGAGGAATTGGCAGCCTATTCTTTGCCCCTAGATATCATTGCTTAGTTCCTTCTGTTCATATATCCAAAATCCAACCACGGGCTGAACGGAATCTAACACAGTCTGAGGTTGGGGCCCGCACCTGTATGAACCAGATTGACCCCGGATCTTCAGGTGGTGATGGCTATTGTACGCTTCGTAAGCCGCATGAACAAATCCATTGCAAGAAGGGCCAATGTATTCAGTTTCGAGGTCTTTGAATGACGATTGTAGTATCCTCGTACATTGCTCCGCTTCCTCGGGACATGATTTCTTCAACAATTCCTCGGCAGTTTTGATAGAAGAACTGTAATTCCACAGTGTGGGCCTGTTGCTCGTGGGGAAAACAGTGACAGGCATTTCATAGATTTCTCCTCTGGGGAGAAGGCGGGATAGATTGCTGATGCCTGTGAAAGAAGGAGGGGGTAGGTTTGACCAACTGGCGTACTGAGAGGCTGTATAGAGGTAGATTTATTGTAGACTGTAGGCTATTGAGTGAGAAATAACACACAACAAGCGTAAGAGTTTTCAGCTCTTTGTGTAAGTAGAAAAGAACAATGATGAAGTCTGCCGCTGTCATGAGAAGTTGCCTCAACAGCAAAGACGACTCGAACGTTCAAAGCTTGCAAGTATGGAAGTGGAGTAGCATTCGGATTTGTTCTGGAAAGTAAAAGAGGAATTCCAAGTCTAATTCCTTGCCGGGCTACTTCTACCTTCGGAAACTTGATATACACCTTTCCAGTGCCCCCGATGCGAAAATAACACTAATGGGGCCTTTCTATTCGCCTTTCTTGATCGTCAGAGGGGCCCTTTCGCGGCAATGCGGCCATGATAAACTCCTCTGATCCACTCCCTTCGTGATCAAACTCATTGTAGCCGTTCGCAGTCGGGCGTTTTCTCTTGTCTCCGCCGCCGGCACCGAATGTCATGAGCGAGCCCGGCTGCTCTAGCTCACTGTGTCCCGTCTTTCGCGATGCGTAGCCGGATTCGCCAATCAGCCGCGGAGCAATGTGTTTAAAGCACTTGCGCAGTGTCGTCATGGATCCGCAAATGACCAAGAGATTCGCCTCAACCATGAACCAGGTGGACACATTGGCCACTTCCCATGTAACGTCGAGAGAGTTGAGCATAGCAGGTAGCAGGGCGGCGCGTACAATTCCAGTAATCACGGTTCTATTAGCACAAAAGAAATTAGCTCCTTAAAGCCCCATCTGATAGCAATGTTCTTACGCCGAGCCAATAGTGAAGACAGCGAGAAGGCCAATCTTACGTGCAGTCTTCATCTGTAGACCGACGACCATCTTGATGGGCAGCACGAGGATAATGACGTCGGAAATGATATTGAGAACCGCCGTGGCAATATATATGGCAGCGGTACTTAGACACTGGCCCTCGGCGATGGTGATGTCCCAGCCTCTCGCGATTGGTCGGCATCCGAAAATGAGTGTGCCCTCTAGCACGATCGTGTACACTATTTGAAACGCTATGGTCGCCCACGTAGATATTATAAACCATTGTTGTGGGCTGAGACGAAGGTAGAAGGTAAGGAGGGACAGCTTCGCAAAACACCCGCACGCTGCGTAAATGGGGCCTTGGATATACGCAATCTAGGCCACGGACAGGTTAATATTAGCCTCCATCCAGAGGATGGCCAATTCCTTCTCCCAATCGAGACGGGATCATGAGCTTACCTTGACGTACTCTCCCAGACCCTCGATAGGAAGTTCCCATCCGTGTAAACCTGCCTGCTTCTTGACGTATGTCGGCAAGGTAAGCCCCATAGTGACGAGCGAAAGTACGAAAGCCATGAAAAGGAAGTCTAGGAGGTGTCAGTTCATTCATGTTGTGTATCATCTCCCTAGTGTGGCCTTGATTAAATATGTCCGGTTTGCAACATACAATCGTCGCTATTACACTTCTTGACGATGACAAGCTTGGTGTACACTCGCTGAGCCATAAACAGTACGTTAAGAAAGGCGAAAATGGCGGTCACAATGTAGATTCCGGGCACGCCACGGCGCTGCGGGTTATCGAGGTCAACATGGTAGTCATGCGGTGGCTCCAGAGCTACCATAACACCATTGACGAGAGCCATGGCGCGTTCATGGACAGGAAGTTGTTTTCCGGATAGTGGTGTTCATCCGGTGAGCTTGACAAAGATGTTGGTGACAGCGAGAAGGCCCCAGAAAAAAGTCTGGCGGATTAGGTACGATCAAGTAGGGCCACAGACCGAGTAGGAAAGAATAGAATATTACACCCTGGCGCAAGGGTCAGGCCGATTTCTTTTCGGGACTCCAAGGTAGATCATATGCGGAAGGGGGTGCATATCCCAGTCAGCACCTTTAAGTTGCGTCCCGGGATGTGCTTCCTTCCGGATCACAAATTTTTTTTCTCTCGGGAGACTCTGTCCTTATTAATGAAAGTATTATCTACGGAGCCCGCGCTTTCGGGAGAATGCGGTCTGATATCTGCAATTTCCTCAAACCGCAGCACGGATGAGCTGCAAAAGGGGCGGATCCGTTCATGATGGAGATTGGAATTCGCAATGTGATGTGGGCTCTCCCCTCCTCCAAGTTTAGGGATGCAAGAGCCGGCCTACAAAGTGCATTAATCAAAACGGCTCCTAACCGCTGCTTCACTTAGTTATCGCCGTGCCCATGCGCAATGCATTAGCTGAGGCGTAGTGGGGGCGGATGTTGGATCCTTTGAATCCCCTCTCTGTGATGAGGGTCTGTTCTTCCGGGCAGTAGCTGCCTACTGCATAAAAAGAAACGAGAACGGTCTTCACCTCAGTCAATACCAATTTCATCGGGATTTTCCCTACCCCTCCTGTCTAGTTCGATTGCACTAATCTACGTACAAGATTCATCCATCCGCAGCCATGGCTACCGCGAGACCCAACTTTGACCCAGAGCTGGCGCCTTTCCACGATGCATACCCCCTCCCGGCAATACTGGCGCTGGAACTACTTCCAGCCATCAGACCTCAGCTTGATGCGGCATATACGGTTGAGTCTGTCCTTGGCGATCGCCCCTTCACCCACCAAGTCGAGTATGCTGAGGGCAGCGACGGCCACAAGGTGCCACTGGCTGTCTTCACTCCCAAGTCAGAGTCAGACAAGGCCGGCAACCGTCCGTGCATCTACTTCATCCACGCCGGGGGGCTGATCCTGAGCAACCGCTACTGCGGCGTGGGCGAGGTCCTAGGAGTCGCCGAGGAGATCAACGCCACGGTGGTGAGCGTCGAGTACCGTCTCGTCCCAGAACACCCAGCGCCGGCAGCCCTGAACGATTCCTCCCAGGGTCTGACCTGGGTTCACGAGAACGCCGCCAAACTAGGGGTCGACCCCGCAAACATCGCCGTCTGGGGCTCTAGCGCAGGAGGTGGTCTCGCCGCCGCCATCACGCTTCTGGCTCGCGACCGCAAGTCCCAGGTCAAGCCCAGAGGCCTGCTCCTCAACACCCCCATGCTCGAGGACAAGATCGATGAAGCCGAGAAGAAGATTTTCAGCGGCGACGCGGCCAAGATCTGGTCCGCCGAGTCGAATGACATCGGGTGGAAAGCGTATCTCGGCGACGATGCGGCCAACAGGGCGAGCCCCTACTACGTTCCGGCCCGGGCGGCTGACCTGTCGGGCTTGCCTCCTACGTTCCTCGATGTTGGCACCGCAGAGTTGTTCAGGAAGCCTGTCGTCAGATTTGCAGAGAAGATTTGGGAGAGCGCCGGCGATGTAGAGCTTTACGTTTGGCCTGGGGCTTTCCATTCCTCTGACTTTGTGGTGCCTGACGCTGCGGTCTCGAAGAAGTCTTTGGCCGCAAGGAAGGCCTTTATCCATAAGATTCTGTCCTCTTAGATTTTAGATGAATTATCAGTACAAAGAATAGAGGCATGTCCTCCCCTGCCATGCCATTCTTTGGTAATCCCATCACACATTGGAATCTCATCGTGTCAGTTGACTGAATAAGCTCCCAGAGGTACCAGCCGGCACCGCCCTGCAACCGGGATCGCCAGTTCGGGGCATGCGGCTGATCTGGGAACTCTGTCGGCCATGCCTATGACGTGCGAAGGATGATTCCGCGGGCGACAGGGGCCCTGGCTGAACTAGGAAATACGTGGCGACCCTTTTTGTTTCATTCACTGCATAACTGAACGATCCTTATGCATAAAGTATCCAGTCTAAGGCTTCTAGTCACCTCTCCATCGCGCCATGTAACCCTGGATTTGTTCTGATTTTCCTGAAAAGCAATCGCAGTCAGCTGGTGTGAGCAATATTCCATGTAGATCATATCCAGGCTGGATTGCAATGCATGTGCGTACGAGCCATCAACAATTTGGGACTATTATTGAAACTAATGCACGGATTTGAGAGCGAATTGTTAGTGCAACTCAACGCGGAGAAATGGAACAGGACGAGCCTGGCCAGAGCTTCAGCCCCAGCCCAGCAATCCCACTGCGCAAGTTTGTGTTTCAACTACCCAGACACATTGATGGTAATGTGAGCTAATGATCTTAGTCGTGCCAGAGCGACAATCGTTGGGGCAATGTAATCATCGACAGCCGCGTCAACAGCAGGCTTCCATTCATTCAATTGGCTTGGCTACGAGATGTTTTGATTCATGTCTTGAATTTAACCCAAAGATGGTTTAACCTACCCTAAACCAGCACCTCGACATTAATGCGGCGACAACGGAACACAGCATTTGGTAAGTATCATGCATTAAGCAATCGTAAAATCTCTCTAGATTCTATGAATTCTAAATATCCCTGATATTTCTGACTGTATCTAAACTATATAAGAAGAGCTGGTCATGGCTATCATATGGAGATAAAAGGCTTTTACATTTGTCTCCATCTCTCTTTTCTTCCGTTTTCCCTCAACAGTAAATCTTAGACATCACAGGTAGATGTCACATTTGGATGGCCACTGAGAACTCTCTCCTCGCTTGGGCTCCTCACCTGGTTAGAGCCAGAACATTCTCTTGCAACAGCATGAGTATTTTGTGCGCCGTATTTGAATCCAACAGGTGACTGTCACCGGTCATCTTCAGCGTCAGGGTATCGCCATCCGCAGTAGAGAAGATTCCAAGATGTCGTGTTGCAGATTCCGGATGCTTGAGATATTCGACTTGAGCCTCTTCGTCCCCAGTCTGCACCTCGGGCAAATTGACAGACCCGAAATGTTCCACTACAGAGTCTAGTTCAGTCTCGGCTTCCCAGTCGGTGCATTCCTTGATAATCTCGTCTAGACCCATTGTCTCTGACGCTCCACGTGCCATGGATTGATCTTGAACCGCGGTGAGAAGCTCACGAGGTGAGTTGGTGTCAAGACGAACTCTCACGGGGACGATATTGACACATGGGCCGACAACCTCTTGAAGGCCAGGGAGCGGTGAGTTGCGCCCGGAAACCACTTGCCCAAACACCACATCATTGCGACCCACGATTCCGGAGAGCACGCGGGCCCACGCGGAGGAAACCAATGAGGCGAGAGAGACCCCTGAAGGGAGGCGTGGAGTAGTCAAGGAGCATTCCACTTCCACTGGGACCAGAGCTGGCAATGTTGATTGTGCTGAACATAACTTAGGTCTTATGGCGCTGGCTTGGGCTCCTTGCAAGAGTTTGCGCCAGTAGCTCAAGGCGTTCGGCCTGGAAGCTCTTGCATGGGATATGAATAGGGAAAACGGTATCTCAGGAACCAGTGGCTTGCCCTGGTATGCATCGAAGAAAGTCTGGAAGATGAGTGGGAGAGAAACGCTATCATACTGTGCATGTGACAAACGAATCACCATGTGATCTCCTGTGACGTGTCTGAAGAGTGTGAACTTTGCAAAAGGAGCACCGGGGATCAATGGTTGTCGGGTGTCCTCTTCAAATGATTCTTGTATGCCCCTCGTTATATCTCCTTGAATGTCGATAATGTTCACTGAAGGCTCAAGTTCGCGTAGTACCACCTGCCAATATGCTCCGTCGAGTGGCATGAAGACGGAGCGCAGAATGGAATGGGTTTTAAGCACTTGGCGACAAGCTAATGTCCATTTACTGACGTCGATAGATGGTCCAAGACGTAAAGAGAAGTAATTGAGCGCCGATTGAGGAGTCTTAATAGACATCTGTAGGTTATGTTCCTGGAAGCTGGTGGTGGGAATAATGTCTTCGACATTCGACGCCGTGATTGCATTTCCGGATTGAAGTTTTTCAACAATCTCACCCGGCACCAAAGAAAAGGGTAGGGGAATTTCCCTGGCTTGATCCTCGGTAGTCGTCGAAGATAGGCAGGCGGTCATACGGGACAACACAGGGGCCTTGAAAATGTCTGCCACGGAGAGTGTGAGGTTGTTGCGGCGTGCCTCGTTCACGAGCTGCATGGCACGGATAGAGTCTCCTCCGGACTCGAAGAAATCAGAGTCCAGCCCAATTGACGAGCTCTCTACCTTGAGAACATGCGCCCAAATTTGCTGCAGCTGCCTCTCCACACTGGTAGAGGGTTGGCGGTTCACTGAAGAGGCCGAGGCGCGAACATGCTCAAGCCTCTTCGCTAACAACGGGGCACCGATTGCTCGCAATTCCTTCCGATTGATCTTGCCAGCGGTAGTCAATGGCATCTCTGGTAGCGCAACATACAATGTAGGAATCATGTGCGGGGCGAGCGAAGCGGTCAGATTCTGAGCAGCGATCCGTGGGATTTCAAGCGTGTTCACGGCCTCAGCACCGTCCACCAGTATGAAAGCGACGATCTTGGAAGTCTCCTCGATGACTTCGACGGCCACATGCTTGGAGGTTCGTGCTGCGGGAATGCATTGGCGAACATTTTGCTCGATTTCGCCGAGCTCAATTCGCTGGCCGTGGATCTTGACCTGTGTATCCTTGCGGCCAACGAAGCTGAGACTGGAGTCTGGGTTGAATCGCACCAGATCGCCTGTCTTATAGAGCCGACCGCGTCTACCTGGACCATCAGGATTACCAGACTCCAGCCACGCGGGGTCTTCCACAAACGCGGCCGTGGTCCTTTCAGGATCATTGAGATAACCACGGGCTAGAATAGGACCCTCAACTAGAAGCTCTCCAACAGCGCCAAACGGGGCAAGGATCTGGTCATCTTCGGGATTAACGACCCAGCAGGCGCATCCAACGGCTGTTCCGATGTGGTTTTCGGGGCGATTTTCCCGTCTGGCGGAACCCAAGGCGCAGATAACTGTTGCCTCGGTAGGGCCATACGCGTCCATGATATTTGCATGCTGAACGATTCGCTTGTAATCAGAATCCGGCATACTCTCTCCTCCCATTAGGAGAACCCGGAACTGGCTCAGCGCTGCATCGTCGAGGGTGCGGATAACGGAAGGCGTGAGCACACCCATATTGACGCCATATTCTATGAGTCGCGGGCTGAGGTTGCTGACACGATCTTCATCAGAGAGCACACAGACGCAACCTCCGTGGACAAGGGTGGTCAGGATCTCGAAGATCGTTGCATCCCAGGTATAAGCGGCGAATTGAACCATGCGGGTAGTATGATCTACGCCGATTCTACCCCCGTGGTACGAGCACCCAGAACTGACAGATTGATGTTCAAGCATAACACCCTTGGGTGTCCCAGTACTTCCGGAGGTGAACAAGACGTAGCATAGGGAAGTTGGAGAGTATTTGGTTAGCTGTCCATGAGGAGAGGCAGGGAGGGTCTTGAGCAGCTCTTCGCCGACAGGGATGACTACACGGTCCTCCCCAAAATGCAGGTTTGCATTCTCAACGGATGTCAATACAATAGTCGAATTTATCTGAGAAAGGACCTTCTCTCGTGAGGCGTCTTGCGAGGTGTTGAGGGGAACGAATGCACCACCTGCTTTGAGGACCGCGAGCAAAGCAACGACGGCCCATTTCGAGTGCTCGAAGCACATGGGCACCATTCTGTGTGGCCCAACACCAAGACTAACAAGACGATGCCCCAGTCTGGTTGAAAGGTCATCCAACTGGTCATAGGTCAGTTCCCCATCCCAGCTGTAGACTGCCGGGGCACTGGGGCGTTCCAGAGTTTGCTCTGCAATTAATTCATGAACACAGCGCTTAATATGCGGCGGCACAGCCTGGTTGAGGTTCCACTGCTCGCGATTTTCCTCTTTGTTGCCAATATCCAGCTCGGCAAGCGAAACGTTTGGATTAGTTGCCAAAGCGTTCATTGCTTGGCTGAGGCAGGAAGCAACAATAGCTGCTTGGCTTGAAGCCATACAGGATGATTTAGCAGTCATGGTGATATCGATACTCTTACCATCGTATGCTCCGTTTAGTGTGACATCATACTGGATCCTTATTAGTTGTCCGTGTCTTCTGAGTTTGCCTTAGATTTCTTACCTCTGTATCATCTGTTCCGTCGTGGAGAACAAACCTGACACCATTCTTGGGAGTCTCCTCGCTATCATCAGAAGCACGCTGGAATGACACCGCTGTGTTGAATAAGGCAGAAGAGCCAAGACCAAGCGTGCTGTGAAGATCTGAAATCGGGTACATGCGGTGAGACAGGCCCTTCAAATGCTCCTCCTGGACTCCGCGCAGTACATCAAGCGCTGTGCCCTCCTGATCTACTGCCACGCGGCAAACCATCATGCCTATCATCGGTCCGAAAATATCGGAGACGTTGTCGATAGGAAGGTCTCGGCAGGAGACGAGGTTGCCGAAGCTTGGCGCCGAGGAGCCAGTGTAGCGGGATAGGACCAGCGCCCATGCAGTTTGCATCACCGTAGCAATGGTGATATCAGACCGCTGGCAGAATCCGATGATGGTTTCAGAATCAATACCGGTAGTTTTAATGGTGATGTATTGCGTTTGCTCGTTTGTCGGGGGTGCGATGCTGGGGAAGTGGCATGGTTTTACATCGGCCATGGCCTGTTTCCAGTACTCGCGGTCATCATCATACGAGTAACCTTGAAGATGGGAGATGAACTCGCGGTAAGAAGTCCCTTCCGACAGAAGAGTCCCTGAAGATGCCGCTTGCAAATCATGAAGAATGATCCCGGTCGAATGGGCATCCAGGATGGCATGGTTAATCTCCAGTCCAAGTAGAACTCGACCATCACTCAGCTGGCAAACCGATAGGTGATGTTCAAGGGTTGACTGGCCATATCTATCCAATCCCATACGAGCTCTGAATTGATTCAATTCAAAGGTTTTGCTTTCTTCTTTGAAGATGGAAATACTTGGACTTGGGCTCCGGAGAATAACATTGAAGATGCGTGTGCTTCCTGGCATGTCCGTCACGAGGCATGCCCGGAGGAGAGAATGCCTCTGCACGACGGCTTTCCAAGCGTTGACAAGACCGGGAATACTAATTTGTTGCCCTTCTTCAGGTACTGCCTCGAAAACAAACGATGTACGGTAGCTGTTGGGATCCTTGAATTGACTCATGACAATACCTTGCTGTAAATCTGAGCAGGGGAAGCAGTCCTCAACGTCATCTGGACTTAGGCCTAGTCCTGGAAGAACATCCTGCTGGAAGACTCGAAGATCGTCGATGTTGGCGAGAGCAAGAGGGAAGTTACTCAATGTCCACTCCATGGGCCGGCCAGGTAGCGTCTGTGTCATCTCCAGGAGGGTCTTTTCATACTGAGAGATCCAAGCTTCGATACGATCACGGTGCTTCATATTCTTATCGTACAGTACGGAGATTGAGGCAGAGCCGCGCTCAATCGCAACATTGAAGTCGAACAAAGCGAATCGTTGATGGTATCGTGGACTTGCGGCGACATCATCTGGTGCTGAGGAGAGACTGAATAGCGAGCCCTCGTGCTCAAGTTGCTGGTACAATCCCAGAAAGTTGAACATTATCTCGGCTGGAAACTCCTTAAGAGCAGTCTCATTGGTAAAACCCCCACTGAGCTTCGAGGCAAGGTAGGACTGATTGTTTGAAGATCCACGGAGGAAATCTTTGACGCTGCGGATGGCTTGGAACAAGTCCCAACAAGTATCTCTCTTGATGTTCACCGGGAAGATATTTGTAAACCAACCAACAGTGCGAGACAAGTCGATGTTCTCATCCCAAGCCTCGCGACCGTGCGTCTCATTGTATGCCGAAGGCAACGGGCGTTCGGGGAAGTGCAGTGAAAATGAATAAATGAGAGCTGCGATCAAGAGCTCAACGGGGCGTGTTTGAAAGGCGTTGTTGCTGTCACCTAGAAGGCGGGAGGTAGCTTGTTCGTTGAGAGAGAATCCTTCGGTCACGGTTGAATTAGGGGAATCTGAGCTGGAGGCAATGCCCCATTGCTCCAATAGCACGGATTCATTCTCAGGAGACTGAGTATGTCCCGCAATTGCACTTTCCCTGAAGTGATCAGCCTGAACGACTTGCCACGACTGAAAGCTAACCGATGGCGCGGGAGGGAGCTCTTGGTTTCGAAGGAGGCATTCGAGGTCTTCAGATATCACTCGCCATGAGACAGCATCAATGACCAGGTGATGAATGCTGATAAATAAGCGCTGGCCTTCGTCGTTGTCTATTAAAGCGGCTGAGATCACCGGGCCATTCTCTATATCAAGCTTAGACCGGCACTGGGAGAGAGTAGCTGATATTGCCGCCTGATTGTCTGTTTCGACAAGATGTAAGAAAGACGAGCTAACCTGCGATGGCTCTGTGATGTACTGTTGCCAGTGATTCGTCGATGACTTGGCAAAACGAGCACGAAGCATAGGGTGGCGCTCAACGAGAACATTGAATGCCGCAAGTAATGCAGAGAATTCAACCCGCTGGCGAATTTCCAGGAAGACAAATTGGTCGAAGAAGGCTTCGTTATCCGTCTGGAGGCTGAGATACAAGTGTTGAATGGGGCTTAATCCAAATGGTTGATTGACAGTAACTTCGTTGCTCAAGACCAGAGCCGTCGACATATTTTTAATCGGCGAAAGCCCATTACAGATACGACCAATTGTCTTTTTGCGCATGATGTCGCTCGTCGTGATGGGCAAGTTTAGCGAGCGAGCTGCGCTAGCAATCTGCATGGCGGTGATGGAATCGCCACCCATCCTGAAGAAGTTTTCATCCAAGCCGATACTGCTAGACTCTACGTTGAGTATCCGAGCCCAGAGTCCCTGAAGCTGTTGCTCAGCGGCAGACGTGGGCATCCTCTTCTCGCCCTGGCTTCTTAGGTCTGCTAGCTGCTGGGTAGTGAAGGATCGTGCCATTTCGCGCAGTCGGCGGCGATCTGTTTTCCCTGTTGTTGTCATTGGAAGATCAGGGATAGCTAAATAAACTGCAGGAACCATGTAGCTCGGTAGTCGGCCATTCAACAAATCATCGATGCGAGAATCAACCTTCAAGACACGTAAAGACCCATCAGAGGAGCTTTCAGGATCAGGCTGGGTGAGGAATACCGCGAGTAACGGCCGAGCCCCCTCACCGGAAGGTGTAATCACCTCCGCAACGAGCTCCTTGGCAGATTGAGCCTCAGTGAGACATGCCCGGACATGGCTTTCTACCTCTCCTAACTCAACACGCTGTCCGCGAATCTTGACCTGCGTATCTTTGCGTCCCATATAGACAAGGCTCCCATTTTCAGTGTAAGAGACAAGATCACCAGTTTTATACAAAGTACCAGACCGTCCTGGATGATCGGTACCGCACCCCTCGAGAAGCCAATCAGGGTCTGTGATGAAAGCTGCAGATGTCTTGCCGGGGTCATTGAGATAGCCAAGACCGAGGAGTGGTCCCTCAAGCAGCAGCTCTCCGACCGTTCCCATAGGCATGAGCTTGTTGTGATCAGATGGATCAACAACCCATGTTACAGCACCGGCACCCTTGCCGATATGAGCTGCTTCTGATGGATTTGCCGCCATTGAATTCACCACACTGTTGGTCGTGCATTCGGATGGCCCATATGCGTTGATAACCGAGACATGCGGCCACCACTTTTCAATATCAGATTCAGTTGACGCTTCACCTACGAGAATGAGTGACTGGAGAGTCGGCAGGTGCTTCGGGTCGATTAGCCTGGCAATGGTAGGCGTGAGTAGAACCAAGCTCGACTCCATTGCGGCCATTGTTTCTGTGAGATTATTCTTTCGCTGTGATTCAGACGGCACGCATATGCAGCCTCCAGTTGATAGCGTGACGGCCGTGTTATAGACGAAAACGTCGAAGATGTACGAGGCGAAATCAAAGACCCTGGAATCAGCCTTGAACCCCAGAGGCTCTGCCTGGTAAAAGATGTTTGAACTCATGGCCCTGTGCGAAACAACCACTCCCTTCGGCACGCCAGTGCTGCCGGATGTAAAGACGATATACATCGGTGACTCGGGATCAATTTTAGGGAGTGGGTTCGAATTGGGGGACACTGTGCGCAGGGCTGGGCCAACAGCAATTGTTCTTTCAGAAAATCGAGCACCCAAGGGCTCATGCTGGTCCGACGAGAGTATCATGCTAGCACTGGTTTGAGAGATGATTGATTGTAATCGTGGTTCAGGATACTCAGGATCCAGCATTACAAAGGCACCACCAGCCTTGAGCACAGCAAGAATGGCGACAGTAGCCCAAACTGACTTTTCGAAGCAGAGCGGTACGATAACCCCAGCCCCCACCCCTAAATCGATCAATTGATGTGCCAGTGTACTCGATAAGAGATCCAACTCCTTGTATGTGAGTTCGCCATCCCATGCACTGACTGATAGCGCGGAGGGGCGTTCTGCCGCCTGTTCTGCAAAGAGATCAGTGATGCAACGTTCGTATGGGTGAGGAACATCACTGTTCCAAGACCAAACATCCCGTTGGTCTTCCGGGGAAAGGGTCGTAAAACTATCCAGTGTCTCGGACGTGTCAGAGTTGAGAAGAGTTAGGAGACTCTGGATCGTAAAGCTGAATTGGCGGATGATTTGCTGTGTCTTCCATTGGCTTATGATTCTGGCATCGTAATTAGCGACAATCTTCATGCCGTTGCGTGCGAGATAGATATTCAGCGTGATGGAATACGTGCTGAAGGCACTCTCGTCCGAGTCATTTCGCCATTTGCCCACGTCTGATCCTCCCAAAGAATCCTCGTCCGGCGGTTGAACAATTAGGAGTGTCTGAAACTGGGCAGCGTCGCGTGCGCTCGAGCTCAATTTTGCAATCTCCTGTAAACCGATCTGTTCATATGGTGTCATTTCTGTAGCCTGTTCCTGGACGGCCTGAAGCACGGTCACCACGGACGAATGAGGGTCCAGATGAACGCGAACAGGCACTGTTGCAATGGTTGGGCCAACAATTGACTCGATACCCGCCACAGGAGCGTTACGGCCAGACACAGTAGCGCCAAAGACCACGTCGTGATCGCTGCTGTGAGTGCTTACAGTAATGGCCCAAGCCGCTCTGACGATGGTTGCGAGAGTGAAATCGGATTGCTCCACTGAAGGAACTGCACAAAGGTGCTCCAGGACAGAATCTCCCACGGGGTCTCTTGCTTGCGGTGGGAGCGGAGGAAAGGGAGTTGAGTGATAATCAGACAGTTCCGATCGCCAATAGGACTCGCTGGCATCTCGGGTTTGTTGAATATGTTGAATGAAAGACGCAAAGGCGAAGTCTGTAGTCGGCCGAACTCCATTGTATAGGCTGTCAACCAGGCGTAGAAGCATCTGTAGAGATACACCATCATATATGGCGTGATGAACAGTTAACTCAAACTTAGATGACGTCCCCGTCGTGACTTTGAATTGTGCTAGGGGCTGTCCGAGTCCATAGGTTGTACGCTTTTCTGGCTTTGCCCAGTTATCTTGATGCTTGAGCACAACTTGAAGTAGTCCATAATCAGGACTGTGAATGATCCTCGTGCGTAGTACTGCTACAGCTTTTGTGGCTTCATTCCAGGCGTTGATATAACGTGAGATATCTACCGTCTCTGAGAAGGTCAGAGTTGCTTGGAAAGTATAAGCACCTGCTTGCTTGTCGGTGAGGGCGAGAAGACCTTCCTGGAGAGGTGTGCAAGGGTAAATGTCCTCGACCTCGTCAGGTGTTACACCGCAGCTGGTGGCAATATCAGAAATATTTGCTGACTGGAGGAAGCTAGCAGGTAGCAAAGTGAATGGCTGAGCGGCTTCTGTGTCGGGCTTGGGGATTTCTTGACCAGCTAGTTGGGCTAACGCGGCCAGTCTTGGATGGCGGAAAATATCTTGCACTGAAACTACAATCCCTTCCTTCCTGGCCGTGCTGACCAACTTCATCGCGGAAATCGAGTCCCCTCCGAGGCGAAAGAAACTATCGTCAACACCAATATTGTCTGGCTTGACTTGAAGTACATGTGACCAAAGCTGCTGTAGCTTTTTCTCGATCTCCGTTGCAGGCTGCCGCTTATCGCCATTGCTCATTGTCAGTAAATCGGCCAGCTGGTCCGTTGTAAATGCACCCGCCATCTTTCTTAAAGAGTTACGGTCGATCTTCCCCGAGGTTGTCAACGGCATGTCTGGTATTGAAAAATATACCGAAGGCCGCATGTGAGCAGGAAGGCGGTCTGCAAGCCGATCTTCAGCATCAGAGGATACTGACAAGACTTGCAGAGACTCATCCTCTGTCATCTTCTTGTTGTCGTCGGTCGCTGTTCGTGTAGGCAGGAAGACGGCGAGCATGGGGCTAGCCTGCTCCCCAGAAGGTGTGAAGACTTCTGCCGCGATGTATGAAGCATCCTTGGCCTCTGGTAAGATCTCTCGGACATGATGTTCAACTTCGCCGAGCTCAATACGTTGGCCTCGAATCTTGACTTGCGTGTCCTTGCGCCCCACAAAAGTCAGACTGCCGTCTTGGTGGTAGCGAACTAAATCACCGGTCCTGTAGACAATCCCATTACGCCCAGGATGTTTGGCTGTGCCAGTCAGAAAAAAGGAAGGGTCCTTAATGAAGGCCTCGGCAGTCTTGTTGGGATCATTGAGATATCCAATTGCAAGTTGTGGTCCCTCGAGAAGTAGCTCTCCTATAGTACCAATCGGCACTAGCTTATTATAATCATCAACACTTACAACCCATGGAATCATCCCCACTCCTTTGCCGATGCGAGTGACCTCTTCCGAGACCTGGGAAGTGTAGTTGATGATGCTCTGGATAGTGCATTCTGCAGGTCCATATGAGTTGATGAGTTTAACGCGACCCCACCACCTCGAGGTATCTTCATGTGTAACTGACTCTCCACCAAGGGTCAACATTTCCAAAAGGGGAACATCTTCTGGGTTTATCAGGCGGCTGACGGATGCTGTCAGTGCCGCTGTTGTGGCTTTCATTCTGTGAATCGAGCCAGCCAAGTCGTTCTTCCGGTCCACCTCGGATGGTACGCACACGCAGCCACCAGTTGAGAGCGGAACCAATGTGTTACTGATGAAAACGTCGAAAGTGGTGGCCGTAAAGTCGAATGCCCTAGTGCCTTGGCGGAACCCGAGAATCTCAGCGGAATGATAGACGTTAGAGGCAAATGCTTGATGGGAAACAACAACTCCCTTCGGTTCACCCGTACTGCCGGATGTGAACACAACGTACATGGGAGACGATGGTTTTGTCAAGGGCAAGGTGACGCTCTTCTCATCCTCAGGGATAGTTTCAGGTCCAATTTCAATAGCATGACCTGTCAGACGTACTGCAAGCGGGAGACTTTGACTATCACAAAGAGTAATTTTTGCCTCTGTGTCCTGAATGATGCGACGTAGTCGGAACTCTGGGTGTGCTGGGTCAATCATGAAGAATACGCCGCCAGCTTTGAGAACGGCGAGGATGGCCACTGGTATCCACATTGACTTTTCGAAAGCCAAGGGGACCATGTCGCCAGGCCTCACGCCGGATAGGATCAGCTGTTTTGCTAGGCGTGTGGATAGGTCATCGAGACGCCCATATGTAAGTTCTCCATCCCACGCGCTGATAGCTGGAGCATCAGGCTGAGATTTGGCCCAATCATCAAAAAAATGGTGGGCACAGCGCTCAGATACGCAAGGTACGGTGCTATTCCAGGAAAATATCCTCTCCTTTTCATCCATCGAAAGAGAGTCCACATCTCCGACGAGGAGATGAGATTCTTTAACAAGCGTATTGACTATCTTACTCAAGGAGCCGGCGAGGTTGGAAACTTGGACGCCGGAGAGGAAGTTTGACCGCGCAGACACTGAGATATCTATCGCTTTATTTTGCTGCAATACACTCACGGTGACGGCATACTAGTATTCTGTTAGTTTGTATAATAAAAGCCTTGACGTCCACCACTTACCTCTGTTGGGTCACTCCAATCTTGAGGAATGACTAGAAGGCCAGAATCCTCCTCCACTTCATTGGAATCAGATCTGGTCAGGGAAATACCAGTGTTGAATAAAGCCATCTGATTGAGCCCGAGAGATCTATGGATGTTGATCAATGGATACGACTGGTAGGGAATACTCTCCACGTAGGTCTCGTGCGCGGCTCGAATGGTGTCCAGGATGGTCTTTGTGGCGTCGAGGTGAATTCTGCCTGTGAAAATGTTGATCAATGGACCGAAGATTTTGTTGACTTCATCAATGTCCAGGTCGCGGCCTGAGGTCAAGTTGCCAAAACAAGGTGACTGGCAACCCGTGTAATCTTTCAAAACTAACGCCCATGCCACCTGAATGATGGTAGAAAGAGTAACCTCCCACTGTTGGCAGAAAGCATGGATTGCATCAACATCTAAACTAACGACCTCTGCAGATCTTTCCCTCACATCATGTTCTGGTGTCTCAGATAGCTCAGGGAATAGAGAGGGCTCAACAGCCTCTAAGGCACCAGCCCAATACTTCTCTGCTTCCTCATGGACCTGTTGTTCGAAGAACGCGGACACGTTTCTAAAAGACGGAGCCTCTCCATCAAGCTCTTCAACGTAAGCTCGCTTGAGATCTTCAAGCAGAATGTCGCGGGAGTGGGCATCGATAATGGCATGATTGATGCTCAAACATACAGCCACTTTACCACCCTTGAGCTGGCATAGTGCAAGATGATGCTGGAGTCCCCCAAGTTGTTGCTGAGTGGTTGCACCGTAGTGCTTTTGGAATTCGGAAAGGGTCATACTTTCGCTTTTTGTTTGCAAAACCAATATTTCCGGCTGAGGGTCTCGAAGGATAATATTGGCAAGCTCGTGGGTGCCTGGCATGTTGTCCACCACCACAGCCCGCAGTAACGCATGACGACGAACAACCTTCTTCCAAGCGTTGCCTAGTCTATTGCAATCAATTGCGCTGCCGTCAGCAGCAGCCATGGTAGAGAGAGACACCACGCGGTAGTTCCCTGAGTCCTTGGTCTGACTAACCAAGATTCCTCTCTGCATGGGAGTGCAGGGAAAGACATCTTGAACGTCATCATGCTCAATACCAAGATTAGGCAGGGTGATCTGAAAAAAATCGTCCAGCTCACTATACGACTTGAACATTGATGGGAAGTCGGTCAACGTGGACTGTGCTTTTATGTGGGACAGTTGTTCGATCATCTGCATCATAGTATCTCTGTACTGCCTAGCGAAAATAGCTGCCTTTGTGCGGTCGATGTTGCGGTCGTAAGTGAGGGAGAACTTTGCACAACCTTGTTCGACGATAGCTCCAATATCGAAAACTGCCATTCTTTTATTCGGTGTGGGAGATGAGAGTGAATCGATGTCATCTGAAATGGGAAGCTGTTTGAAAAATGAGTCGTCACGCTCAAGCTGCTGGTAGACACCCACATAATTGAAGACAATCTCTACAGGGAAAGCCTTCATAAAGGATAACGCTTGATTTTCTGATGTAAACTGTGATGCAAAATATTCCAGATTGGCGTTCTTGCGATTGCGAATTTGGTCCTTTGTCTGTCGAATAAGTTCCAGCAAGTTACTTCCAGCAGATGGGATGAACGGGACTAGGCTCGTAAACCATCCGACAGTCTGCGAAAGGTCGACACTATCATCCCAAGTCTCACGTCCGTGACTTTCATTAAATATTGTGGGACATTGGCGATCACGGAATGCTTCATTGAAGGAGGCAACGAGACCGGCAATCATAAGCTCCATCGGTCGAGTCCCGAAAGCATCGTTGGAACTCCCCAAGAGTAGGGCAGTGGTAGCCTGATCCAACTCAAACTCTTCGGTAACTGTGATGTTGCTCAGATCTTCTACTGATCCAATACCCCAGTATGAAAGCATGGTAGAGCTTTCCGAGAATGGGATGTCCTGAGTTGCATAGGTGTTTTGAGAAATGTGTTTGGCTTGTATGTCGCGCCAGGCTCGGAATGTCAGCGAGTTATTTGGGAGTAAGGGGCGGGACAATAGTAGCGTTTCCAATTCTTGTAATATCACGCGCCATGAAACCAAATCAATGACTAAATGCTGCACGGCCATGAACAACCGGGATTTCTCTCCCAACGCAAAGTAAGTTGCCGACAATAGAGGACCTGTCTCAACATTGATCTGAGCACGGCATTGGACAATAGATTGGGTCTGCTCTTCCTCGGTTTCTGCCTCTGATTCATTTAATACAACTGATCTCTGGATATCTTTGGAGATCAGTTGCTCCCACTTGCCATTGGAGCCCTTCCTGAAGCGGGCTCGTAGCATTGAGTGTCGTTGCACGATTGTCATAATCGCTTTGGATAGGACAGATAGAGAGACTTGCTCCTTAAGCTCCAAGAAGAAGCACTGGTCCGAAGTGCCTGGTGTCTGTTGTTGCAGATGAAAATATAGCTCTTGTATGGGGGTTAATCCAAAAGGCTGTTCATCCAGCTCCTCCCTAGCATCGACGACGGGCTGTGTCTGGGTAACACCAGCGGCGATCCTGCCAATTGTCTTCTTCCGATGGAGATCGGTGACGGAAACCTGCAATTGTAGAGAACGAGCGAGTGCCGAAACTTGCATTGATGTGATTGAATCACCGCCTAGGCGGAAGAAGCTGTCATCCATGCCGATTGACGTCTGGCTTAGGTTCAGCACTCTAGCCCAGACCTGCTGCAACTGCTCCTCAGTTTCGTTAGCCGGCATCCGCTTGCGGCTCTGAGACTTGGAGTGAAGATCTGCGAGCTCTTGTGAAGTGAAAGACGAGATCAATCTTCGTAGCTCTTTGCGATCTGTCTTTCCGGTTGCTGTCATGGGGAGGCGAGGGAGAGTGAAGTACATTGTGGGCAACATGTAGGCTGGTAGGCGCTCCACCAATGCTTCATCCGTTTCTCGTGAGACGCTAAGTACTCCCAAGCCCGTATCATTGCTGGCGTTGTCAACTGATTGACCGGTTCCTACGAAGATCACCAATGCTGGAGAGGCGCCAGCTGGGATGACAACTTCGGCAGACAACGGCCGCCCTCGATACGCCTCGGGTAAACATTCAGAGACGTGGTGTTCGACTTCTCCTAGTTCTACACGTTGTCCGCGGATCTTAATTTGAGTGTTCTTGCGCCCCATGTAAGAGATGGTGCCATTGGGGTGGTATCTGACTAGATCACCTGTATGGTATACAGTGCTGTGCCGTCCTGGGTGATCATGGGTGCCTTCTCGCAGCCATTTTGGCGCTGGAACGAAAGCTTCTGCCGTTTTGGAAGGATCTTTGAGATAACCAAGGCCAAGTAGTGGTCCCTCAAGAAGCATCTCGCCGACCGCTCCAATGGGTGCCAGTTGGTCAGAGTTTTCTGGGTCAACAATCCAGGTGATAGAACCAATGCCTCTACCCAAACGCAGCGCTTCGACGGCAGTTTTGGCTTCCGTGTTGAGAAGACTGAGCGGCGTACACTCGGAAGGACCGTATGCATTGATGACTATCCGGTCGGCGTCCCGCCATTTCGTGACGTCTGAGATGTTGCAGGGCTCACCAATCAGAAGAAGCGTTTTGAGGTATGGCACCTCAGATGGCTGTATTGTCCGGGTGACGCTTGGTGTCAAAAATGCCAGAGTGGCCTCCAAATCTGCGATCGACCTGGAAAGATTGTTCAACCTATCCTCTTCCGATGGGATGCAGATACAGCCTCCTGTAGCCAGTGTGATGACAACGTTCATGATATATGCATCGAAGATGTGGGCAGCAAAATCAAACACTCTCGTCTCAGGTCCAAAACCCATGACTTCATATTGGTGGTGAGTCATGGTTGAGAACGCCCCATAGGGGACAACAACACCCTTTGGCTCACCCGTACTGCCTGACGTAAACACCACGTACATGGGGTGTGCAGGGTTGATCGATGGTAGTGGGCATGGTCTGGCACTGCTTTCAGCTAATTTGGCTTCAGGGCCAACGGTAATAACTTTGTCTACGAGACTTGAACTTGCTAGACGGTGAGTGACGGATGATATAATAAGGCGAGCATCAGCCTGCGAGATGATGGAACGAAGGCGGGTTTGAGGTTGGCTTGGGTCCAGCATCATGACTGTTGCGCCAGCCTTAAGAACAGCCAATACTGCCACTGGAGCAAACATAGACTTTTCGAAGCACAAAGCAACGCTCTCGCCGGGTTTGATTCCATGTTGAATCAGGCGATAGGCGAGTTGAGTTGAAAGGGCATTGAGCTGACTGTATGTCAAACTACCGTCCCATGCGCAAATAGCCTCGCCATTGGGCCGGGTATTTATCTGTTCATCAATAAGATCATTTACAGAGCGCTCAGCCGCGGCGGGGAAAGCCTGATTCCATTCCCAGACTTGATCCCTATCCGTATCGGGTAAGGGATTTAGGGAGGCGATGTGGCTATCAGGGTTGTTGACGAGAAGATTGATGGCTTTGCTAAACATCTCAGCCACCTTGTTAGCCTGGCTTAGATCTAGACAACCCAGTTTGTAGGCAAGCTCAATTTGAATTGATGTACGGCTATGCCCAACGTAGACAATAATGTCATACTAAATAAGAGGTTAGTTATCGATTGGCTAACCAGGAAAACGTGAGGGTCAAACAAACATCGGTAGGATCAGATTCGTCAATAAGGCGACACACCAAATCGCTACTAGACGCCACATTTGTCGCATCAAGATGTCGCAGTGTAAAGATTGTATTGAATAATCCCTTCCGCTCCAGTCCCAAGAGTCTGTGGACTTCATAAAGAGCGAAAGCTTGATGCTGGAGACTTCTCAAATAGTTCTCCTGCATGGCCCGGAGGGTATCCAAAACAGTCTTTTCATTCAAAAAGTCTACATGGCAAGTCAGCAGGTTGATTAGGGGGCCAACAATCCCTTCGATGCCATCTATAGGTAAATCGCGCCCAGATGTCAGGCTACCAAAGTATGTGGTCTTGAGCCCAGTATATCGGGATATTACCATTCCCCATGCAGCTTGAACAACAGTGGCTATTGTGATCTCCCAGTCTTGGCAGAACGCGTAAATGGCGTCCATATCGAGGCCTACCACTTGGGTTGTAGCGGTTTTGTCACTGACGCCGGTCAATTCATCGTCTGGTGGCTCCGCGAGGACTGGAAACAAAGACGGTTCTGCATCATGCAAAAGCTCCATCCAGTGTTGTCGAGATTCTTCGTGTGACTGAGTGTCCACGAATGAAACGACATTCCTGTAGGATGGACCATTCTCACTGAGACCCTTTGAATATGCGACTTGCAAATCATGAATGATAAGATCTCGACTGTGTGCATCTGTGATGGTGTGATTCATATCCAATTCTACAACTGTTCTTCCATTCTCCGATACACCAATGGTAAACGAGTGTTCTAGAACCTGAGGTCTTGTGCTTGACTGAAGGGAAGCTGTGCTCTTTACTTCCTCGATAGTAACATTATCGATGTCAGTGCCTAATTGTACCACAGACACAGCTATTTCCGGGTCTCTTAGAACGACATGTCCAGATGTCGAACTACCAGGGAGATTTTCAACGACGACGGCACGAAGGATAGGGTGGCGTCGGACAACTGCTTTCCAGGCCTTGAGCAACTTTTCAGCGTCGACTGAATCGCCCGAAGCAAGGCTCACTTCGAAAAGAAGACCTCCGCGATAGGAGCTAGAGTCCTTGGCCTGGCTAGCTATAAGCCCTTGCTGAATTGGCGAGCATGGGAACACATCCTCCACTTCGTCTAGGATTATATTCAGAGCTGGCAAAATGCTAGTTTGGAACTCTTGGATATCATGATAGCTCTGGAATGCCAGTGGGAAATCAGTCAATGTCCATTGGCGTGTGTTTACTGCATGAAGAGCCGCAGCTTCAGTCAGCTTGGCTTTGTACACCTGAGCCCATGTGCCGATCTTTTCGGAACGTTTCATGGACGAGTCGTAAGTAATGGCAAAGTGAGCCCGACCATTCTCCACGACCGCAGCGACCTCGAACACAGACGACCTAGCGGGGCCGCTGGCATCCTCCTGGCATGTATCCGGGAGGGGTAGGTTATGGAATACTGCATCGCTGCGCTCGAACTGTTGATAGACACCCATGTAATTGAATTCTACCTCAACGGGGAATCCGGAGACAAAGCTACTGGCAGTTTCATTGTTGACAAATCGAGAAGCAAAATATCCCAGGCCATTATGAGTGAATCGACGGAAGCAGTCCTTCGTTTCTCGGATGGACTGGAGCAGATCCTTGCTTCCATCGGACGATATCTGGGTAGGGAACATGGTGGTGAACCAGCCAACAGTCTCCGATATATCAATGCCATCATCCCATGGCTCACGCCCGTGACCCTCGACATACACGGCTGGAGACTCGCGATCACTGAAGACGCTCGAGAAGGAGTTAATGAGCATGGCAACCATAACTTCGATGGGACGCGTCTGGAACACGTCGTTGCAGTTACCAAGAAGTTGCTCGGTGATGTCTTCATCGAGCTCAAATTTCTCCGTTTTTCGTGCAACCCAAGTATTAGATGATTGCATTTCCCAATAAGATAGCTCAGCTTGTCTCAATTCGAATGGAATAGCCTTGATGGGATCAATACTTTGGATATGTTGGGTTTGAACGGCCAGCCATCGCCGGAACGAGTACGAAAGGTTTTGAGGTAACGGACGAGGAAAGAGCAGGCTTTCAATGTCTTGTAGTACCACACGCCAGGATACCAAATCAATGACTAGATGGTGAACAGATATAAACAAAGTGCTGTCGGATGGAAAGAAAGCTGCTACCACGTTGAGCCCGTTTTCAGGATCGAGCTGACTTCGGCAATTCGAAATAATCTGGTCTACAGTGTTATTTCCGTTTTCTTGAATGTGATGAAGAACAAACGATGCCTCCGCATCATCGGAGATACGCTGCTTCCAGTCTCCTGAGCCAGTTCTAGTGAACCGCGCTCGGAGCATCGCATGGCGTTGAATAACAGCGGTGAAGGCGGACAAAAGTGTCTCGTATGCGACTTTCTTGTTGATGCGGAGGAGAAAGCATTGATCAAAGTTCCCTAGCTGCCCACCCTCAAGATCTATGTGTAGCTGCTGCATCGGTGACAGGGCGAAGGGCTGTTCAGACTGCTCTTCTGGTCCACCTTCACGGCTGTCGTTTTCGGCAGGGAGCATAGAAACAGCTTCGGAGGCTAGTCTGGAAATAGTCTTTTTCTGGAGAATATCCCCGGTAGAGAGCTGCACTCCAAGCTGACGTGCTCGGGCTGAGATTTGCATCGCGGTGATGGAGTCACCGCCAAGTCGCAGGAAACTATCATCCATACCAATTGCGGACGGATCAAGAACAAGGACATCAGCCCATAGCTGCTGAAGTATTATTTCGACCTCATTTGATGGCTGGCGCTTCAAGCTAGAATCATCGGTGCTGAGCTCGCTGAGTTGCTTCGCTGAAAAAGCCCCGGCCATCTCTCGTAGACGCTTCCGATCAATCTTGTGAGACACTGTCATAGGAAGGCTTGGAAGAAGGAAATAAATTGAGGGCACCATGTAAGAAGGCAGACGTTCAGCGAGGACATCGCTCAGCTGATTAGAGACCCTCAATACCTGTATCGAGTTTCCAGCCTCCATCTTGATCCTGCGACTCGAGAGGAAAACGGCAAGTAATGGACTAGCCTTGCTCCCAGATGGAATAATAACATCTGCCGCTAGGGCATCGGCATCTTTTGCCTCAGGAATAACACTTCCCACATGATACTCAACTTCGCCCAACTCGACACGCTGGCCACGGAGCTTGATTTGGGTGTCTTTTCGGCCTAGATAGGCGAGAGTTCCATCCTCATTATATCGAACCAGATCACCCGTCTTATAGAGGGTGCCTGTGCGGCCGAAATTCTCCCTCAGCCATTGTGGCGCTTGTATAAATGCAGCTGCGGTCTTCTTTGGGTCTTTAAAATAGCCGTGGCCAACAAGCGGGCCCTCGAGCAACAGCTCACCAGCAGTTCCAACAGGTTGCAGTCTCTCGTGGTTGGTCGGGTCAACAATCCAAGTCACAGCACCACATCCGCGGCCAATCCCAATGGCCTCAGCAGGGCTTGTAGCGTTCCAGTTGATAACACTGGTACAGGCACATTCTGAAGGCCCGTAGCCGTTGCTGAATGTGACATGTGGCCACCATTTCTCAGCATCAGACAAGTTGAGAGCCTCGCCACCGAACAAGATTGTCTTCAGAGATGGTGCGTCTTCAGGGTCGACGATCCTGCTGAGAGTGGGTGTCATTGACATCAGAGTCGGCTTCATGATAGACATTGCTCCCTTTAAGTCGTTCTTTCGCTGGAACTCGGACGGGACACATAGACAACCACCGGTAGAGAGGGTTACAATCGTATCGAAGACGAAATCATCAAAGACTTGAGCCGCAAAATTGAACACCCGAGAGTCTGTGCGGAACCCAAACTTCTCGGCCTGATGATAAATGGCAGACGCAAATGCCCTATGGGGGATCATTGTACCTTTTGGCACACCGGTACTGCCGGATGTGAAGATGATATACGCCGGTGATTCTGTGTCAACCTCCGGGAGCGTCACTCTTGGCTCTGTTACTTCCAGGTCTGGTCCAAGCTCCAATACAGTCTCCGCATACTGCTCACATAGGGAACGAGCTGATACCGATGACACAATGAGCCCAGACCCAGCTTGTTCCACGATTGTTTGCAGCCTCGCAGGTGGATAGTCACGGTCAAGCATCAAAAACGTTCCGCCCGCTTTGAGAACACCCACTACCGCCACAGACGACCACATTGATTTCTCAAAGCAAAGAGGCACAACTGTTCGTTGTTTGACGCCTGCGGCAATGAGCTTATAAGCCAAACCTGTAGAAAGTCTGTCCAGCTCCCCGTACGTCAGCTCTCCATCCCATGCGCAGATTGCTGGGGCGCTGGGACGAGCTTTCATGTGGTTACCAATCAGGTCGTGAAGTAGAACAGGATTTGCCTCAGGCACAGTCTCGTTCCATTTCCAGAGCGTGTCGATATCGGTTGGCATAATGGTGGCAATGTCATCGATTGTCTGAGTTTCATCACTCTGAGAGAGCTGTTCCATGGAATAACAGAACTGCTTGATAATTTGTGACATTTCCCACCGACAAAGAATCCTGGAATCAAAAGCAGTAGAGATTTTGACCTTGTCCTGGCTGATGGAACAAGAGAAGGTGATGGGATAGGTTCCAAAAGCCTGGTCTTCGGACAATAGGTTCCAGTGGCCGAGACGTCCTAGCTCATTGAATGAATCCTCACCTGATTGCTCAACAACCAGGAGTGTCTGAAAGCCACAGGCCTCTCGGGCATTCTGATTGATCTTTGAGATGTCTGAAAGTCCAGTCTGTTCAAATGGGATCATCTCAGTCGCCTCATCCTGGACCTGCTGCAAGTAGCTGACTGCTGTTTGTTTGGGGTTGATCACCACACGGACAGGGACTGTCGCAATAGTGGGAGCTGCAATACGCTCAATTCCAGTAACGGGCGCATTGCGCCCAGAAACTGTAGCACCAAAGACTATGTCCGTGGCGCCTGTGTACGAGTGCACCACCGTTGCCCACGCGGCTTGGATCAAGGTAGCTAGAGTAGTGTTGGAGTTTGCAGATGGAACACGCTTCCAGACATGGTCCATGGTTGAGTCTGACATCGGCTTCTCAATAGAAGAAGGAGGTGGGAAATGAGCAGCTTGGTAATCGGAGAATTTTGACGTCCAATACTGCTTTGCTTTATCATGCCCTTGTTGAAGAATATGCTGAATGAAAGGTCTAAAGTCGCCATAGGGCGTTTCAGTTCGCCTCATATACTTGTTCTGCATGACGTCGAGCATCATAGGCAAAGACTCTCCGTCGTAAATGGCGTGATGTAACGTCCAAACGAATTGTCTCTTCCCAGTTGTAACATCCTCGATGAGCCCATATCTTGCTAATGGCATCCCTAGTTCGATTGGCGCTGATAAGTCGGACTGAACATAGGCATCCAGGTTTCCAGCTCTCTTCCACTGAATAGTATCCTTAACGACGACCTGTAGCAGGCCAAAATTTCCATACTGAATGATTCGGGTTCGTAAGATAGGCATTTGCTGTGCCGTCTCTTCCCACGCGTCACAGAACCGAGAAAAGTCGACGTCTGGAGATATATTAAGGACGGCTTGCTGCAAATACTTGCCCTGGGTCGTGCTGGTAATGGCGAGAAGGCCTTTCTGCAGGGGAGTACAAGGGTAGACGTCCTGTACGCAGTCCACGCCGCCACATCGCTTTGCAATTTCTCCCTTATGGTCGTCAATGTCAAATTCAGCCCCCATCAACGAAAATGGCATGATGGTGTTCTCTTCTAGTGAAGAGATCTTGACGGAAAGTTGGGCCTGTGCTCCAAGTCTGGGGTGCTTAAAAATGTTCATGACAGAGAGCTCAATATTGCATTCAGAGCGAGCCTGACTAACAAGTCTCATAGCCGTAATAGAGTCACCACCTAGCCGGAAGAAGTTGTCCCCAAGACCAATTGTATCAAGTTCAATTTTCAGCACTCTTGCCCAGAGATCCCTTAACTCAATCTGAACTGGAGTTGACGGCATTTCCTTTCGGCTTTGTGATTTACTTCTCAAATCGGCCAGTTTTTGTGTGGAAAGTGACGCAGCCATTTCCCGAAGCCGCTTCCGATCAGTCTTTCCCGTTATGGTTATTGGTAGCTGAGCGATCTTGAAGTACACGGATGGCACCATGTAGCTTGGAAGTTGGCGCTCGAGAATATCCTCTACCTCGCTAGTGATGGCTAGAACAGTCATCTCGCCACCATCCTTCGTTTCCAATGTCGTTTTTGATGAGAGAAAAACAGCGAGAAACGGGCTGGATTGGTCAACTGGAAGAATGACTTCTGCGAGCACTTGTAGCTGTTGAGCTGCGGGCACACACTGGCGAACGTGGTGTTCAACCTCCCCCAGCTCTACCCTCTGTCCGCGGATTTTGACTTGGGTGTCCTTACGCCCAACGTAGTCAAGGGTTCCATCATCATTGTATCGAACCAAGTCACCCGTCTTGTATAGGACGCTGTTCCGGCCAGTTTGTTTGTTAGTACCGCTTACCAGCCACTTCGGACTATCGATGAATACGGCTGCTGTTAAGTCTGGCTGGTTCAGATATCCAAGTCCAACAAGAGGGCCTTCAAGGAGCAGCTCGCCCACGGTTCCAATTGGCACGAGTCGATCTGAATCTTCAGGATCAGTAACCCATGTGACCACACCCACTCCCTCACCAATCCTCGTATCCGAAACCGCACGAGAACTTTGGATGTGAAGGACCGATGTTGGGGTACACTCCGCAGGGCCATAGGTGTTGATGACTTGGATCCTGGCCGGGATCCTTGCAAGGTCATCTGTTTGCACAGCCTCGCCACCGAAAATAAGGGTGCGCAATTTCGTTAGTCTCTGAAAGTCTATAATGTTAGCTACAGACGGGGTTAGTTCGACCATATTCGCCTCCGTCTTGCAAAGAGAGTCCTCGAGTGAGTTTTTCCGTTCTTGCTCTGAAGGCACGCACAAGCAACCTCCGTTTGCAAGAGTGTTGGTCATATTGCTGATTCCAACGTCAAAGGCATACGATGCAAAGTCATAGAGACGAGTCGAAGAATCAAATCCAAGCACAGTGGCCTGGTAATGCGTTGCTGAAACCATGGCACGATGAGATACAACAGCGCCCTTGGGAGTTCCAGTACTTCCAGACGTAAAAACGACATACATAGCGTCTTCTGGGTTGACCACGGGCAATTCAATTGGACTGGATGTCTCTGGTATCAGCCCGGGCCCAACCTGGATTACTCCGCCTACCAAACCGGACATGAGTGGTGTGCAAGACGTAGAGGCTAGGACGACATCTGCTTGAGCCTGCTTCAAAATAGAGCTCAAGCGAGTTTCAGGGTGAGAGGGATCAAGCATCAGAAAAGCGCATCCTGCTTTCAGCACAGCCAACATCGCTATGGTGGTCCACATAGACTTCTCGAAGCACAACGGAATAACTGTCTTCGTCTGGACCCCTGTGTCGACCAAATGGTAAGCTAACTGTGTAGATAGACGATCCATCTCACTGTACGTGAGCGTGCCGTCCCAAGATGAGATTGCTTGGCCATTTGGTTTTGCTCTAACTTGTACAGCAACGATGTCATGAAAGCAAGACTCTACTGCCTGTGGCACGGTGGAGTTCCAGTTCCAGATCTTCTCTTGATCATCATTTGTTATCGTCCTCATCTCCGAAACCGTTTGCTCTGATGACGCCTTAACAAGAAGATGCATGACATGGCAGAATTGACCAAGAGTCCTTTTCACATCTGCGTGAGTGATGACATGGGGATCAAAGACCGCCTTTATATGCATGCCATCAGGGCTGATAGAACAGTTCATAGTGAGAGCATAAGTGCTAAATGACTGCTCCTTGGAGCAAATGCTCCACTCTCCAAACTCGGAAGATGTAAAGGAGTCCTCGTCCGGAGGCTGGACAATGAGGAGAGTTTGGAAGTTACAGGCAGCCTTCGTACTACTGCTAATCCTAGAGATCTCATGCAGGCCTGCCTGTTCGAATGGGATCATCTCCGTGGCCTGGTCTTGAATCGTCCTGAGATAATCCGAAACCAGCTGCTGAGGCTGTATCTGAATACGAACTGGGACTGTTGCAAACGTGGGGCCTGTGACCTCCTCAATGCCCAACACTGGTGCACTGCGACCTGCTGATGTAGCGCCAAACACGACATCTGAAGTGCCGCCATGGATATGGGAAACTATTGCCCAAGCAGCCCGAACAAGTGTCGCCAGGGTGATATCGGTATTGGCGTAGGTGTGTGTCCAGGTACGCTCAATTGCCGCATCGGCAACGGTCTCGAGAGACTGGGATGTCGGGGGTGGAAAAGGGGTTGAGTTGTACCCGTCAAGCCGTGAACTCCAGAACTTAACCATTTCTTCAGGTTTCTGCGACACAACAAAACGCATGAAATCTCTGAAATTGACGGGAGGTTTCGATTGAACAGAGTTATAGTTGTCGCTCACCAACTTCAGGATGGGTTGTAAGGAAACGCCGTCATACACCGCGTGATGGAGGGTCAACACAAACATAGTTTCGTGTTGTTGACGAATTATTGCGTAGCGAGAAAGTGGTTGCCCAAGCTCTATGGGCCTTTCAAGATCTGACTTGACGTACTGGTCCAGGCTTTCCGCGTGCGCCCAGTCAAATCTGGTTTTGACCACTACCTGGACAAATCCGAGGTCCTTGTGTTGGATTATCCTGGTCCGCAGAATGGAAACCGAACTCACGGCATCCTCCCAAGCCTTCTTAAACCGGTTTATTTCAATACCTGAAGCTATCTTCAGAACAGATTGTAACACATAGTCGCCCTGTTGTTTGCTGGTGAGAGCAAGCAAGCCCTCCTGTAGGGATGTGCAAGGATAAACATCTTCGATCTGAGACTCCTCAACGCTGCAGGCAAGGGCAATCTCAGCCGAATGCTTGGGAAAGCTAAATCCACTACCCATGAGAGAGAACGGCTGAATATCAGCACTGGTCACGCTTAGAGGCGCATTTGCCTCGATCAACTTGGCCAAATTAGCTAGACGCGGTTGTTTAAAGATGTCCATAGCAGACACGGTTAGATTCTCTTTACGAGCCTCAGCAACAAGCCTCATAGCAATGATTGAGTTACCACCAAGGCGGAAGAAGCTATCTTCGAGCCCGATAGTTGCAGCATCGATGCCAAGCAGTCGGGCCCAGAGACTCTGCAATTTCTTCTCAACATCTGTCGAAGGTGTGCGCTTATCACCTTCGGCTTGGCTGCGTAAGGCGTTCAGATCCTGAATTGATAGTGAAGCGATCATTGTTCGAATTTTCCGCCGGTCGATCTTGCCAGTTGCTGTCATGGGCAGCCCGGGCATCATGAAGTAAAACGAAGGAATCATATAAGTTGGCAGATGTTCCACCAATGCATCCTCGGCCTTGCTGTCGATTGTGCATAAGTCCATCGTCTTGCTCTTCGTTCCCTTGGAAGAGGTGGACATAAACACAGCCAACAGTGGATGTGCTCCCTCACCACTTGGTCGGACCACTTCGACTACCATTTGCTGAGCGTGTTTAGCCTCAGGCACATGGCGACGCACACGATGTTCCACCTCGCCCAGCTCGACTCGCTGACCGCGAATCTTCACTTGGTAATCTTTTCGTCCTGCCGATGTGATAGTTCCGTCCAGATTATAGAAACCCAAGTCACCGGTCTTGTATACCACACCTCGTCGCCCAGGATGGTTGGCTGTGCCCGCTACTAACCATGAGGGGTCTCGGATGTATGTTGATGCAGTCCTCTCAGAATCATTCAGGTATCCGTTGCCCAGCATAGGCCCTTCCAGGACAAGTTCGCCAACGGTCCCGATAGGTGCGAGTTTGTCATGGTCTGCGGGGTCGACGATCCACGTCACAGCACCATATCCTCTTCCAAGACGCATTATCTGCTCCGGAGTTTCATACTCCGGGTTGATGAGAGAATGAGGAGTGCATTCCGAGGGGCCGTACGCGTTGACTACATGAACGCAGGCTCCCCACTCCCTAGCGATATCCAGCGTCATCGCCTCTCCTCCAGCGACGAGTGTTTTCAGGGTGGGGAATTCTTTGGGATTAAAAAGCCGAGCAACCGAGGGTGTCAAAATGAGATTCGTTGTTTCCATGGCTCTAATCGAGTCTGCTAAGTTGTTCTTGCGATCATGTTCTGATGGAATGCAAATACATCCGCCAGTCGCGAGCGTCATGCCGAAGTCGTGGACAAAGATGTCGAAGATTGTTGCCGCAAAATTAAAGACTCTTGACTTAGAGTGATAACCAAGAGGCTTTGATTGATGAAGCACGTTTGTACAGAAAGCTCGGTGAGATACAAGAGCGCCTTTTGGTGCACCAGTACTTCCTGATGTGAAGATAACGTACATGGGGGATGATGGGTCGTTGACAGGTAAAGTCGCGTCCTTGTCAGGGCGAGGAGGGTGACTTGGTCCTATCGGGATTGCCTTCGGTGCTATTTTCGACCCTATTTCATGGCAAGATTCCGATGTCAATACTACTTGGGCGTCTGTTTGCTCGACGATAGAAAGCAGCCTGTTCTCTGGGTGCGTTGGGTCAAGCATGAGGAAGGCACCGCCAGCCTTGAGTACACCCAGAACAGCAACAATACACCAAACACTCTTCTCAAAGCAAAGAGGTACAATAGCTCCCGGTTGTAAGCCACAATGTTGTATGAGTGCGGTGGCCAGCGCTGTTGACATGTGATCCAATTGTGTATAAGTCAGGTCTCCATCCCACGCACAAACCGCTGGAGCGTCTGGCTGTGACTCTGCCTGATCCTCGATCATATTGTGAAGACAGCGATCCAGAGAAGGTGGAACTTTATTGTTCCACGACCAAATTCGATCTCGATCCTCCAGACTCAACAGCTCGATGTCTCCGACTCGTGACTCCTCGGTGGAATTAGCCAGCTGCTCCATCACAGAACACAATTTCTCAAGTAGTCCTTTGACAGTAGCCTCTGGCAGGACTTGACTGTTGTAGTCGGCAACAATCTTGGTTGAATGCTCGTCTACCATGTAGACTTCCATGTTGAGACTATAAGAAGAGTTTCCCATGCTCTCCTTTCCTCTAGTCCACTCTCCCATTTTCTCATCTTTGAATAAAAACTCATCGCCAGCTTGAACAATGATAATGGTTCCGAATTGGCATGCGCTCTCGGTGTGGGAGTTGATCTGGCTGATATTTGCCAGGCCAAAGTGCGAGTATTTTTCTCGCGGCGTGTTTTCCGTTTCAATTGCACGCAAGTAATCGATCACAAGCGGATTCTCGCCCATCTGTACTTGGACAGGCACCGTCGTGATGGTAGTGCCAGCAACAAACTTGACTTTCGGCAAGGGGATTCTCCTCCCAGACAATACGGCACCAAACACAGCTTCGTCTGCTCCTGTCAATGACCTGACCACCAGTCCCCATGCTCCATAGACCAGTGCCGATCGTTTAACTTTAAGGCCTTTCAGCGAAACGCCTGTTGATTCATGCTCCATGCGTGTTAATGGTAGAGGTTCGTTTGAAGACACCTGTGAGGCAGGGAATTGCACAGCATTTCCGCTTGTAGCCTGCCTCCAATACTCCTTTGCCTCGCTCATGTTCTGTTGTTCCAACCAGTCGATGTAGGCCTTGAACTGTAATGGGGGACCGCGGGCGGTGCCGTGATAAAGTTGCGAAACATAGGCCGTCGCTACAACGGCGGACCAGCCGTCCAGTTGCGCGTGATGAACCGACCAAACGAAGATGGCTTTCTGGCCATCCTTGGGCGTGATAATAGCATAGCGTGAAAGCGAGCCACCGAGTTCCAAATCCTTGGCCTGCCTCTGATCCAGATATTGCTTGATATCGTCTGCCTCATCCCATTCGGGCTCCTCGCGAAGGACAACCTGCAACAGCCCATGGCTCTCATGATGCACGAACCTTGTCCGTAATGATTGAATGTCGCGATGTGCCTGGCTCCAACTTTGTCGAAATCGCTCCAAGTCCACCTCGGGGTTCAAGTCGAAGCGAGCGTGGAGCATGTAATTACCTTGTTTCCGGAGTGCTAACGACAGTAGACCAAGCTGCATCGGTACACAAGGGTAAATATCCTCAATGGTGTCTCCATCGAATCCATACGCAGCTGCCACTTCATCTCGAATGTCCATCCACCCACCGGGTGGCTTCTGGGCGTCAAGGGCCCCGTTGCTAGACGTAGCCATCTCCTTGGAGTCGCTATTCATTATTACTTTGCCGTTATTTTGTTAATCTAGAGTTGACGATTGAAAACAATTAATAATACTACAGTATCACAATACAATACAACACGATTGTATTACCGAAGAAGAGATATTCTGGTACTCGATCCTCCGGATTCAGGCCTCCCTCCCTGATTTAGTCATCACTTCTTCTTATTGATCGATTACATTGACCGCTTACAGCCACATGGCATCTTGAGGAGATCGGTATTTGGATCTGATTATTGCAGGGGTAGGGGTGCGGATGGCTAAGCAAAAAAAGAAAGGAAAACCCCCCTGTGCTTATGCTTACTATGCAGCCAGACCTCCTGATTATGCTTACCACCAGCGTACTGCTGTCTCAGAGGACCCAGAAAAAACCAGACAACGGAAAAAATAGTAGTTTTGAGGGATGTTGCAACTCTGGTCAGAGTTAGGTTGACACTGGCGTTGACAAACCACCTCCATCGATCCCTAAACCCTGTTCCCGCTGGAGGATTCCAACCGATCGGTCCACCAAGACGCGTAAGGGGGCACCAGTCAACGGGGCACACGTCTCGTGGAGCTTTGTCTTCTGATCGTGTCGTGGCTCGACGCTGGCTGGAACCTCCAAGTCATTCTCCAGGCCGCCAACGATGGACACCTGCCGCTTGGATGCCGACGATACCTTCGGGCCCGTCGTATCTCACTGTCGTGGCGGGTTCGACTTCACTCTGCTGTTCGAGCAGGCTATCCTCTCCATTCTTCCCTCGGTGCTCGTGCTTGCAGCATCCGTATATCGGCTCCTTGGTCTCCGCCGCCAATCGGTTAAGACAATCACCAAGCCGCGTGCACCTTGGGTAACGGCAAAGCAGGTAAAATATACCAAGTGTGAGTAGAATCAACCGAGCAGTCACTAATCTATCGCTCGTAATAGACCGCCATCGGAGGCTATGCGATCACGCAGCTGGTTCTGGTGATCCTCTGGGCAATCCCAGGACACGATGCCACTCGAGTGTCGGTAGCAGCATCGGCTGTCTCCTTGGCCACAGCTATAGTATTGTCCAGACTGTCATACGCCGAGCACAACCGGTCAGCGGAGCCGTCAGGAATTCTCAACTTCTACCTTACCTTCTCGATTCTCTTCGACGTCGCCCAAGCGAGGACGCTATGGCTCCGAGCCAACAGTACCGCCATCTCCGCCGTCTTCACGGTCGGCATTGTGCTTAAAACAGTCATGTTGGGCGTGGAAATGGTGGGAAAGCGCGGGATTCTCCAGGCGCCGTATCGAGACTGGTCACCAGAAGCGCTGGGCGGCATCATGAATCGAAGTGTCTTCTGGTGGATTAATTCGCTCTTGCACAGGGGTTCCGGTTCTATCCTAAAGCAGAGTGATTTGTTTCCCTTAGACCCAGACCTCCAATCGCTTCAACTCCGATCGAAATTGATACAGGCTTGGGAAAGGTCCGACAAGAAAAGCCAGCATTCTCTGTTATTCACAACCATTGTCTCATTGCGGAAGCCCATGCTGGAAGTTGTCATGCCTCGAATTGCCCTCTCGGCTTTCAAGATCTGCCAGCCCCTGTTGGTCAACAGAGCAGTCTCCCTATTGTCCGAGCCTGCGAGCCAGAGAAAGACTGATGTAGGCCGCGCCCTGATAGGTGCTACTGCGCTCGTCTACATTGGTATTGCGATAACTACGGCAATGTACAAGCATCAAACATACCGCTACATCACCATGATGCGTGGCGCGTTGGTTTCGTTGGTCTATGACAGAACTCTGAGCCTCAATTTGGGTGCTGTGAGCGACGGAGCAGCCATCACGCTCATGAGTACAGATATTGAACGAATCGCAGCTGGCTTTGAGTGGACAGACGCACTCTGGGCCGGACCGATCGAGCTCGCCATTGCCACCTACATTCTTTACACTCAAATCGGATATTCATGCTTTGCACCACTAATACTAAGCATCAGTAAGTTTCCCTTTCCTCTTGGCCTCAAACTCGCAGGGTTCCTAACGAGGCGTTGCAGTATTCCTCGCCATATGGGGTGCCCTTTCTGGAGCCTCTGCCAACTATCAAATGGCTTGGATGGAAGCTATACAGAGCCGTGTCTCTAGTGCCGCCAATGTTATTGGTAACATGAAGGGTATCAAAGGCTCCGGCCTGTCGGATGTCTTTGCGGCTGACCTCCAGAGACTCCGAGTGGACGAGCTCAAGGCTTCTGCCAAGTTCCGGCAGATCCTGGCGCTCTTCTCCATTCTTGGAAACTTCTCAGGCGCTGCCACCCCCGTTCTCACACTCATCATTTACATGCTTGTCATGAGGGCGACGACCAGCACGGATCTCGACCCCGCAGTAGCTTTCACGTCCATTTCATTGGTCTCTTTATTGGGCGCTCCTGTCCAACAATTCGCCATGGCCCTGCTCAACCTTGCTGCCGCGACTGGCTGCTTCCAGAGAATCCAACAATATATCATCTCCACCGACGAGCAGCGAGACTCATCTTCTGACCTGTCATTCACATCTGATCTCAAGGATACCGCACAGGTTCAACTTAAAGATTTAAAATCTGACGCAGATGAGCCCCGCCACGGTCAGAATATGGTGCTTGTAGAAAGCGCGAGCTTCAGCTTCACCCCCGATGGACCTGCGGTTCTCAACGACATCTCAATAACTTTATCACCCGGCTCATGGACAGTAATTACCGGCCCTGTTGGCAGTGGCAAGAGCGCTTTACTCCTCGCTCTATTGGGCGAGATGCATAAGAGCAAAGGATCCGTGGACTTGCGCCCAACTCGCATGGCTTTCTGCGCACAAGATGCATGGCTTCCCAATCAAAGCATTCGCTCTCTTATCATTGGCACTTCCGAGTTCGATGAAGATCTTTATTCAACCGTTTTGAGCGCCTGTGAATTGCACCAAGACCTCAAGATTCTATCTAAAGGGGACGAATCTGTCGCGGGAAGCAAGGGTACGAGTTTGAGCGGAGGCCAGAAGCAGAGGATTGCTTTGGCCAGAGCGCTTTATGCGAGACCTAGCCTGCTTCTGCTTGATGATGTACTCAGCGGTCTTGATCCGACCACAGAGCGCCGGATAGTCGATAATGTGTTTGGCCCTCGGGGAATTTGCCGCAAAAACAACACGACTGTTCTGTTGGCCACACATACAGGTAAGATAGCCAACCCCAGTCTCTACGAAATCAGCTGCTAACATTTGTGTGATTCTCTTTAGTCTCGGCTGCAAGGGAAGCCGATCAAGTCATCATGATGGGTACCGGTGGTGTGATTCTCAAGCAAGGCTCACCAGCCTCGCTGGACTTGATCAGCTCTGGCAGTGACATCAAGGAGAGCAGTACGCCGGTGGAAGAAGTCAGCGACGCTGATACTCCAGCAGACACACCAGGCCCAAGCGCCCCGGCAATAGATCCAGAAGACCTAAGCAAAAAGGAGGCAGAGGACGATCTCACCCGCAAGACAGGAGATATACGGTTGTATTTCTATTACTTCAGGAGCGTCGGCTGGGCTGTTACCACTGTGCTGTTCGTGAGCTGCGCTGTTTTCAGCTGGAGCGCCCAATTCCCAACCCTCTGGCTGAAGTGGTGGTCCGATGCCAATGGAGAGAATACCACCATGTACATGACCGTGTACGGTATGTTCTGCGTCATCTGTCTGCTCGCCCTCACTTTTGGTGTCTGGACGCTGGCCATGGTAGGAATTCCCAAGTCGTCCAACAAACTCCATGAAGTTGTGCTTCATACAATGATGTCTGCTCCGTACTGGTTCTTCGTGTCGACAGACTCGGGTCAAACTCTCAACCGCTTCAGTCAAGATATGTCCCTCATCGATATGGCGCTTCCAGTCGCCCTGGTCGAGTTCTCGTTCGCGGTATTCCTCTGCATAATGTCAGCTGTGCTTATTGCCTTGGGCTCTAAATGGACCGCCCTGATGTACCCGCCCATGGCCATCATTCTATACGTCTTGCAAAAGTTCTACCTGCGGACCTCTCGCCAGATGCGATACCTCGACCTCGAGGCAAAATCGCCGCTGTACTCCCACTTCATGGAAACTCTTCAAGGGCTCTCGACAATCCGGGCCTTTGGGTGGCAGGAGCCCTCTCGGATACATCATCATCAGATTCTCGACACCTCCCAGCAGCCGTTTTACCTCATGTACGCCATCCAGCGGTGGCTCAACCTGGTCCTAGATATCGTTGTCGCGGTCGTCGCGACGTTCACCATGGCTTTAGCCACGCAGCTGCCAGGGGCATCGGACTCGGGCCTGGGTGTGTCACTGAGCAACATTCTGTCCTTTAGCGGCACAATGGCGCTCCTCGTTAGTGTCTGGGCAGAGCTCGAGACTTCGCTCGGTGCTGTATCTCGTGTGAGGGCTTTTGCGAAGACCACGCCGTCTGAACATCTTCCAGAAGAAGTCGTTGAGCCGCCCGTCGAATGGCCCACCAAAGGCGAGATCATCTTCTCCAACTTCGCCGGCTCTTATAAGTACGCTATATGTTTTTTCCATCCAAACGCCTTCAACTGCTAATGAAGGAGCTGCTGTAGATCCCCGTCTGAAAAGGTTTTACAGAATATCGACCTAAAGATAGAAGCAGGCGAGAAGATCGCCATCTGCGGTCGCACTGGAAGGTTTGGCTCCCTTATCCCCAGATTATTGATACATATAGCTGACCAGTCACGCAAATAGCGGGAAGTCGTCTTTTATTCTCTCCATCCTCCGACTTGTTGAGAAGGTTGAAGGAAATATCATGCTTGATGGGCTTGCCCTCTCAGACATTCCCAGAGCACGCGTACGCAAGGGTGTCACTTCCATCCCGCAAGACCCGCTCATCTATCGAGGAACTGTCCGCTTCAACGCAGATCCCCTTCTGATCCACTCCGATGAAGACATTGTCTCCGCTCTCAAGGAGGTGAATGTCTGGGGCGTTCTCAGTGAACGGGGTGGTCTTGATGCGGACATGGACACTGTCGGGCTGTCACGGGGCGAGCAGCAGTTGTTCTGCCTCAGCCGA